ACAAAAATGTGCTTCCACCAATTTGAAGATCACATTGCGGTAGTTGATGATAGAGACACTGTATGGTACGTCTTTTAATCCAGTTAGACTTGGGAAAAATCCACTGACACGTCAGATTAGTATCTGGGACTGGCAAAACCATGCACGCCTCAGCCGGTTTTCCAATGGCAATCCATTAGGGTCGAAAATAAATGAAATTCGATTCATCAATGAGGACGACCAAGCACTTCTGATGACTGGCTCCTCAGACGGTGTTCTTAAAATATTCCGCAAATATGAATCCAAATCTGAAGTTGAGATTGTAACAGCATTCCATGCTCTCCCTGACTTGATCCCTAGCAACAAAAATGCTGGCTTGGTTTTCGACTGGCAACAAGGGCAAGGGAAAGCACTTGTCGCTGGTGACGTTAAAGTTATTCGAGTTTGGAATGCGGCCACTGAAGTTTGCACTAATGTGAGTTTTCTTTGGGCGATTTAAGTTTAATTGGTGGTAATAATTCTGACTTGTATTAGGATATATCTGCGCGTTCGGGTTCTTGTATAACGTCCTTGACATCTGACCAGGTCGCTGGGAATATTTTCATCGCCGGATTTGGCGATGGCGCCGTGCGAGTGTTTGACCAACGCCTGAAGCCTACAACTGCTATGGTCAAAGTGTGGCGAGAGCATAAACAGTGGATCACAAATATCCATATGCAACGGGGAGGAGTCAGAGAGCTGATTTCTGGTAGCCGAAATGGCGAGGTTCGTCTTTGGGATTTGCGAATGGATACGTCAATAGACATAATCCACGCCACTAGAGACACCTTGCGAACCCTAGCCGTGCATGAACACGCACCTGTATTCACCATGTAAGTGCCTATATAGTCTTTCGCCTTGAATACTCCTCACATGAAATATTCTTGCGCATAAATCTAACGCGATCGATCTACCCATAGTGGCACCAACCGCCATGAGGTTAAAACATTCAATACCGATGGCACATACCTCTCAACATACGAACCCCATGCTAGTTTTCTGCACTCTAATAGATCCTCTCCCATCATGAGCACTGCCTTCCATCCCCACAGGACACTTCTGGCTTGTGCAGCTCTCAACGATAACCATATCAATCTTGTTTCATGTTAAACTGCAATTTTGCTTTCCATAAGGCGAGGTTTTTCCGTCATGTCTATATCTTCTTCGTATGGCAGAGGCGTTTCCCACCCACATTATTTCACACTAATAATTTTTGTTGCTAGTAATGCCCTTACTTCTTCCTTGTCGCATTTTTCTCAGTAAATAAACCCCTTATATTATTCCCAGGCACCACAAAGGGGAGTGTGCCGAATTACGTTGTCTCATTGGTATGCAGTTGTATGTATTTTTTCTGTTACCATCGGTAATTATATTATTATTCTTTTCATCATTCTCAGCATTATGCTGCTTTTCCTTGAGAGATAGTTCCCACGTCGCCGTTTACAACCATTCTTTCACTTCTACAATATCTTTCCCTTGTATTTCATTCTGTTTTATTCATCGCCGTTCAAGAGGGGTTTGCGTTTTATATTGCACGCAGTAAGCCAAGTGAATGTCGAAAGAAATCTTACATTTGCCCTTTCCCTCGCCCTTGGTCTTAAAAGTTAGACTTGTATCTGTCAGTGCATTGTTTGCTGGAATATTTTTTCTTCTTTCTCCTTCTCTGCTCTTTGCTTTACTATAATTTTCACTATATAACATTTTCCCGCTTTGGTGATTTAAGTTCTTCTTACTCCGTGTTGATAATTAAATTATATACCTCTTTCCCAGTCGCGCTTGGTCGTTCTTATTTCTTATCCTATCCTATCTATGACAAGTGATTTTTTCTCCTTTTTTTGCGGTTTTTAATATTCATGCTTCGAAAGCTCCGTCGCGCAGATTTATCATTTAATTTAATCGGAATTTCAGCTTTTATCACATCACACACCATCGACACAAGCCAGTACCTTGATCATTTTTAGCCTGGTCGCGTAATGCAGAAGAGAACACGAAGAACCTTGGACAAGAGAGAAAAACCACCTTGATATAATTAACCATGATCTTTTAGAGAAAAGCCCGAATCACATTTCCGGTTAGATCTCGCTTGGCCATTGTTATACGACTTTTCGCACGTAAGCGGGACTTTATGGATCCTCAGTTCCTGCTCCTCGTTGAAAATTCAGAACTAACAAGAAACCCAAATTATACAGGAAAAAAAGGAGAGAAGACGATTAAGGCAATCAAAGAAAGCCGCAGAAGAAGGAAGTGGGAGTGAATGGCTGAGAACTGATGGCGAATGCTAAAAAGTTGTTACATAGGAGTGAGTTGCTTTGAACAATACCACGATCAAAATCTGAATTTCTACCCGTTTCAAACCAGTTTATCTCGTACCATCCAGTCTGGTGCAGTTCATGCATGATATCCCTTTTTAGCCCAGTTACCAGAATGCATGCATGCCGAGTGACTAGAAACAGAAAGGTAAAGAATAGCAAACGAAATATACTCTAATCTACCCTATCCCGTGTGCCCAATTTAAAAGGCAAGTTTGTTTTCGTTTGAAACAAGCGAACTCCTTTTCGAGGAGCATTGGTCAAGCCGATAATCGTAACCATTCAAGTTCTTAGAAGATACAAAAAAGGTGATTTCGCAAACGTCAATACTAATTCCAATTCCAATTCCAATAAGACTGCATTTCAATACCTCTTGCATGTTTCTCCGGACGCCTTTACCCTCCTTCTCCTTCGAGAGTTCCATTTATTCACCATAAAGGACGAGAGGGCTTTGAGATACAGGATAACATAGACGGGCCAATTTCCAAGTATCGGCGATATTTTCTATGTCAAAAAAAGCTTCTGGGGCCACCGCGTGTAGGTTCATCATAAAGCTTTGGGGCAGAACTAAAGTTCGCAAAGCCTCTAGTTTGATTAGAGTTACCCACGGTATAGGACTGCAGATTGGCGAGAACGTGCCCCAATAAAACCGTTCCAGCTTCAGCTACTCCTTCCCGTTCGCCAGGGCGAAGTTGCATCTTTGTAGCCCTTTGGTGTTCTGCCTCGTCTCGTGCAATCTCGGCAATACGCTGCCGAAAAATATCTTCACCTCGGGTATCAGTGTGGAACCAGATGTTGGAGTGAACAAGTCTCGACGCGGGAGTATCTTCAAATGACTTATTAGAAGAAGCCACTTGAAGGCCTGGTGGAATTGGCAACCCGGGTGGGGGGAACTTGAACTTGAACCGTGATCGAAGTGCATTGGGTGATTTGGAGAGAATCTCATCACTCTTGGGCCTGCTGGGAAATGCAGATGCAAATACTGAGCTCACGTCTGTGCCGTAGTTCGAAGAGGTGTATGTTAAGGGCATGGACGTTGATATACTACTACCTGAGTCTAGCGGATACCCCTGTGCTTTCCCATTTTTAAATGTATGCTGAATTTGCGGGGTTGCCGCATTCGTAGATGAGGACTGGTCTAGTTGGAGAGCTCTGAAGGGCGATTTTAGTGGGTTAGCCATTAATGGTATAGGATCGATTTTGCCCACACAATCCTTGACCTCACTTTGAAAGTCCTCATCGTGATTGCTTTCACTCGCAGCTTGAGAAGTCGTGATGGTATCCTTCAGATACTTGGTTATGCTTTGTCGCTTGGTGTGTGATGGTTGGTCAGAATCGAGGCGTTGAGGAATAGTACTGACTTTAGTTTCATGAGAAGTACACATGTTCAGAGACAAGGGTGAAGCTGAGGAGATTTCTATACTCTCTGTATCCTGGAGTAATTCTGCCGTACAAGAGGTCCCACTTTCTGAACACATCCCAGGAGTCAAAGAGTGCTGTATTTTGCCGGGGCCAAACCCAGAAAAATGGGAATTGCCGTTCTCTCGAATCACGGTAGATTGCTGCAACGAATAGTCATGATCGGCATGACCAGTCATCTGGCCATAGCTAGATTTAGAATCTGCTGCCCCATCACGGTACCCGGCACATCTTGGAGAATCAGTGGGACGAGAATTTTGCACTTGGTTACTGCTGCAGGATGATCCCGGCGGATAATGACGAGTTTGAAGGTTGCTTTGAGACACCATACTGTATTGCAACGCTCTCAATGCCTGCTTTTCTTCCTGTTTGGTAGGGCTAATATCGTCAGGAACCATTACGCGAGGACCAGCTTCTGGCGTGTCAATACTTCTGTGAGGTACGGCTGTAGGTCGAGGATTCTGGCGAGGGAGATTAGTACCCAAGTTTTGTTTATAATATCCAAATGCCGCTGTATGGCCCGGGTGCGGTTGTCGTCGTATTCCGTGCATCCATTGAGGAGCACGTTGGGGTGATGCCCTTTGGAAGCCAAACATATTTGATCTGTGATCAAATGTTGTAACGTTCCTGAGTGGGTGGTTAACTGTGATTGCGCTGGGAGTAAGAAACCGAGCGGGTAGCCTTGCGCCATAGCTTTGATTGCGGCGATCCATCTCATTGGAATCTTCGTTTAGATCTTCGAGACTGAACGGTATCCACGATTTCGAGCCTTTGTTCCGACTATGTGTTCGAAGAGCGAATGAACTTAGGGAGATGGGCCTTGAAGAGGGAAGGTTATCGATGTCGTCTAGTTCTGCGCTCGATTTCCGTGACCTCGCTGCTCGAAAAGGGGAATGATGAAACGACGAATCGCGGAATTTACTTTCAGAATTGCAACTGGCTAGACGTGTAGTTTGGGGGATTTGATCGTCTGCTACTGTAATTTCAGGCGGCACAGCGAAGCTAGCAGAGGAGCACACAAGAGGTAGTGTCCCGTTCGTAAAGGGGGAAGATGTGCATGGGGAAGAGGTAGCCTCCGGGGATATTGAAGAGCATGGGTTGTTAGTGTCAACAGAAGATTGTTTTGTAAACTGCTCTGGATAACAAATCGGCATGGCAATCTCTTCAGCTGCTGTTGCTATCAGGTCTGTTTGCATTGTTCCATCGCCTGAGAGACAAATATCATTGTTTTTTGTTGTTATAGGGGCCATGGGACCTGCAACAACAAGCCCGTCATCGGAACCAGTGGAGCTTTCCTGAGCCACATCCCTATTATCATCATCAATATCCACCCCGGAACAGATATCAGAGTCCATGAGCCCAGACTCCGTTGCTGCAAAACCAACATGAGTTCTGCCAGGAACTATACTCTCGACTGCTTGAGTGGGCTTTTTTTTGTGAGATCGGGATCCTAAAGATATTTTTGTCAGTCTCGATGAAGCGCAACGGAAGGAGATATGGTAGGGGCATTGGTAGCCTGAAAATGCCAATACATACTGCGATGGGTTTTCTTGGGGTACAGGGCCTCCATTATACCACATACATCTACAGGACAGCTGTGAGTGCAGGAAAGCAACAGAGCTTATGTGAAAGGAAGATTTTCTGTTGGAGATTTGTAACTGATTTCTCACAGGGAAGCAAAGACGCCGCCTCACGTGCTGCAAAGAAAAATCCAGCAGGAAGGAGGACTCTGGTTCAATGCTGCAGACTGCAGAAATAGGGAGATAGAGCGGGTTTTTGGAGGGAAAAGGAAAGACCTCCAATGGGTTTAGATGATCAGATCCTGATTCACCTCCCCTGTCTTGAACCCCTGATTCGGATAGAGAAACGTGTCCAGACAAGAAGTGAGGCCGAGATACAACTCTGCAGCCATGCCCCATTATTTATCTTTCTGATACTGTGCTAATGAACCACCTTTGTGTGTGCTGCACAGTGTATCGAAGATTCCAGTTCAAGAAAGGTCTTGAAGGCCCTAGACAAAGAACAAATGATAAAAGAAATGGGACCAGAGAATCAGGATCGCGATGCTTGGAAGACTAAGTGAATGAATTCTTTTTCGGAACAAAATCCACGGCAAAGAAAGGAGTACATAATATGCAAGGGGTTGCGAATATTACTCCCAAAAATATTCAAATCGTCGTCGTGAAGAGGAAGTATGGAGTATCCACTGAGTTTGTCCACCAAACGCAGGGCTTGATATGTACCAGTCCGATGCAGGCATCAAAACGAGGACTTGACCGCTGTAAGTGAAATCTACAGCAAAGCCCACTTCAGGCTAATAATTGAATAATTCGCTCCCGGCGGAGCCTAAGTACATAAAGAAGTACAATACATGCCAAATGTGAGGGCAAGAGCAGGAAGAATGAATGATCGAAGAGAGTAGTAAAGTTGTGGTCAGCTTTCCGTCTCACCCACAGAAAGCAGAGATAGAGAAGATAAACATTGTCCTGGAACATCTTGAGCCTATGGCCTGGCATTCTAGTTCTGATCACAACGGGTCGGAAATGATAAAAGACGTGGCTGTTCTTGAGTGGAACTTCAAGAGTTGGCAACCATTCATGTTTCTGAAGGCTGTTAAATATTATTTTACCGACGACACGTATTTTATGATATTGTATTGTATTGTAACCACTTCTTGGCAATTTGGAGTCTTCATTTACGATATATGACTACACAACGAAGAGACTTGAAAGACAAACCACACGGATATTTATCATCCACGTCATAACTGCCCCCCATATCCCAATTTGTGGGAGCCGAAATATGAAGAAAACGTAGTCAAAACAAAGGTCATTAATCAATCACAAAGCCCTAACTGAGAAATGCAAGATCCATACCCCCGAAGCAAATCACCTGGCTTCGCACTCTGTCGTCGCATATGATCGTGTGTTGCGTCATCATGGGCAACTTCTGGAGCTCCAATATGCTTGCTCATCACACTCTGGGGCACCTGAGCTGCATCCACGGGGCCCTTGTCAAAAATTTTCCAGTTCGAGAGCTTGAAGAAAAAAAAAAAAGAGGGAAAAAAAATATGAGGTTGAAGAATGAGAACTGATGTCCTCGCTTTCCAACACCAGCTCTGCGGGTTTCAGCCTACTTGCGAGTTGCGTTACCACCAACTGTGCGGCTATTGTCAAGGTCTGAGTCGACGCTGTTGTTTGGATGCTTTGTTAGCTGGCCGGTCTTTCTGTGATGGCGAACGTTCATGTACACGAGTAGTGGTTAACGCGGCGTAACTCTTCTCATTTTACTCACCGTGGGTCGAGTTTGTTTCCGACATTGGAACTGTGGGGACCAGCAGTGCGGCTGGCCGTTCCTGACCCAACACTTGACTGCGCGGCGTTTGAGCTGGAGTGGCCAGTTGCGTGATGACCTGTACCTGAACCAAGGCCTGGACTGGTACCCCCAATCCCACCGGACAGAGGATCAGTGTGCATCAGACCGGTCCCTCCAGAGCTTTTGTGGGCGGTTGTTCCGCCGGTTGCGCCGCCCACTGCTCCTGTACCAAGGGCTGAACCAGTGCTATCAGTGCTCGTGGACATCCGTGGATTGTCTGTCATTTAGCACGTCAGCTTCTCTCCACAAGCTTAGACTTGAGAGCTACATACACTGGTCCTCTGTCACCCGGGGGTCGAGTTTATTGGCGACGTTTGAGGAATGTGGTGGCTGAATGCTGGAAGTCGTGCCTCCACCGGTGCTATGGGTTGTTCCTTGGGTGGTCCCCTGGGTGCCATGATTTCCTTGACCTACTCAGAATTGTTAGTCCGATTACAGGAAACAATGCTAATGTGAGATGAGAGTAACCATACCGACACCAGAGGTGGTTTGGGTATCGCCATGGTGCGAATGGCCAGTCACGGCATCCTTTGCTTTCTGCACTATATTTGACATAATTGCGGTCACGACGAATAGGCTACTAATTCAAGAAGCTAAAGTGAAGGTTTTAGAAAATACAAGGGAAAAATAACATTAAATATGAATATGTTGTGATTTTGATAATGTTGATGAAATAAATATAATCTATGGGTGTTGACGTCTTCTTATATAGAGAACTAATTACGTTTACCTCCGTAAACGCATAATTCACTAAATGGTCGTAATCCGTGAATATTGGACCACCTCAGTGTATCGAGCAGTGTCGGATACTCCATAATCAAGATATAATAAAAGCTCCAGTGGGGCAAATGCAGTAATCATGACGGCGAAAATATCGGTCTCAGCCAATGCCGATGAATCCACCCCACACGAAACTTGTAGGAGCGGAGGCTAGAGTAGAGTAATGCGAAGTGCGGAAAGAACTTGGTCAAACTCAAGTAGCTCCCCTCTCCCTGAGATGCCTCGATGGACGTTTGTTGAGTTGGACTGAGATGGTTTACCTTTCCTCGACGCCGTTGTTGCACCTATAATGAATAACTCCCACGACAATCATGAGATAAACCTGACGTCATATTTACAAGCCACAGCTGGTTACTCCTGGCACCAGGTTATTGACCTTTCGTACTCGTCACATCAATCGAACGTTTTCCGTCTGATACGTCATTAACCTGATATCACTCATGATGAGCTGGCGGCAAAGGCATGAGATGTCGATAGTATCACAAAATATGGCTCAATGCGCGAAATCGTTCCAGCCCTTCCAATCTTCAATCTTGGTTTATCGAGATAATTACTAATATCAGATAATCCTACACTGCACCATGGGAATCTCAAAGCACATCAACACAGAACATGGTACATCTCCCATTAAATACGATTTAAATACGATTAGATCCAAAAGGTCTCGGACAACATGCAGATATGCTGGGAAATCGGGATGGCTCGTTGACGACGGAGGAGGTTTACGAAAGAAAAAAGTTCGCGAAAGGGGAAAAGAGCCAGAAACAAAATTTTGGCCGCTGCCAGAATCCACGGCGACATCGTCAATGCGAACGATATGTTATTCCTCTAACCAAGCGTATGCTTTTGTGTTTTTTCAAAAGTGTCAGGTGGCTGATCTTGGCGGAGCCTTCAAAGTTATATCTCAGAGAAAACTTCATATACATAAACTGGAGACAGGGATATAAAAATTAGCTCTATTAGGAGACAAATGATATACATATCCCTTCTAGTGATATAGAATTGCTGAATAGATGAAGTTGAATATTGAGATTCATTCAAACAGTTGTAAATCTCAAACAGCCTACTATGTAGTCTTATTGCGAATCAGGAACACATGTGAAAAGCCTTAAGTTTTACTGTGCTTGTCCTTTTAGGATTAGCGTAGGTAATTCTGGACGGTGGTTGGTTCAGATGTCAGCAAGACTTGGCAGAAGTTCGAATCGGGTTAGTACATGCCCTCCGCGGAGTGGCTGAGTCTGCTGAAACAAACCAATGTCGTGGGACGCTTGTGGTTGGTGCTGGAGCCAAGTCATGTGACCCAGTGTCTTCGCCGCGTGGGTTTGGTGGAGGAGCAGCAAGCATCCAGAGCAATCCCTTCAACAACCTCATCTCCATCTATTCCTGTTTGTCGTCTTCTGTTCTTTAGATCATTTCTGCGTTGCTGCACTCGTAGATCCTTTATCGAACAATTCTCTGTTCGTCCAAACCTACTAACTGCCACACTCTCGATGACTGGCCTCCTCCCGTGGGCGACGACCTAGTGGATTGGTCTGTGCAAAATCTCAACATCATGCGTCCTCCTCGCCTTATTCTTCTACTGGCCTGCTTTATTTTCCTCCCGATCTTTCTGACCATCTTGTCGCTCCTTTTCTCTCACCCGCAACATGGCTCCGCCTCCCAATCCTCGGTTTCTGGCGGGGCCGGGCGCCTCAGAGCCCTCTTCTCTTTCCATACACCCTCCTCCCTATTTCCGCCCTCCGCGATGATAAGCCTTACAGACGATAACTCAACCTTCTTCCTGGCCCGGCCTGCTGCGTTTGGGCCAACTTTGCCATCGAGCGGATTAAGCGGTCAGCTTTGGATTGGAAGCGGCTTCGGTGATGACGTCTTGCGAAAAGGGGGCGTAAGTACCGGGGCTGAAGGAGAGCTCGGTTGCTCCGATGTTCCAGGATGGGAGGATAACGATAAAAATCAGAATCATGATGTTGGCTCCGGCCAGGGAACCGCGAAACTTACTTCTGGCATCAAAAAGAAAAATACTGCCAACAAGCCCGTGAAGGCGCTTAATGAACGGCGTGACGAACACTCTTCCGATCTCGTTGGATTTAGTGATCAAACGAATCACCCGTCAAAAGAAGATGGAACAGATGATCACTTGCATCATCCTCTTCCGGCGTCCGGTCCTCCTGGTCTCCCAAGCGCTGCCAAAGGCAAAGAACCAGCACATGCTGATATCCAATCTTTGCAAGAGAGTGCCGAAATTAGAGGCAAGATTGTTCTGCTGAGTAGAGGAGGATGCGGATTTTTGGAAAAAGTTAAATGGGCTCAACGAAGGGGTGGTATAGCATTGGTTGTTGGCGATGATACCAGAGGTGGTGGATTGGTGACCATGTATGCCCGTGGAGACACTTCTAACATAACAATTCCCGCCATATTTACGTCCCATACCACCGCACATCTCCTTTCCTCCCTTATTCCGTCCGAGGCGCAGTCCGACCCCAGCTCCGTTAAGGACCAATCAAAGGCCACTTTTGTAGGCAAGCCAGCAAATATTGAAAATTCTCGCAAATCTGCAACAGCTACACATGTTGCAACTCAGCCAACTAAAATGGCGGATTCGACATCCTATCCCCCAAGCAAAGGTTTCTTTCAGTCGCTATTTTCGGCCATCGGGCTCGGTCGTGATAAAGCCAGTCCTTGGCAGCTCCATGAGGATAGCCGTCGCCCGCCAAGCAGTGGAAACATTGACTGGGTTATGCAAAATGAATTTGACGACGAAGAAACGTCTCCTAAATCAAGGAAGCCTACACCAAATAATATGAAGAAAGAAAACGGGGATGACATATCTCTTGAATCTCACCAAGGTGGGAGTGATGATTTCGTTATAGGAGTTCAGGATTGGCGAGATCCCGATCTCGTGACACCCCCCAAAACCAATAACCCTCCACAAACTACATTGAAACCTAAATCGTCTAGCGTCAAACAGAAGGATGATCAAGCTGGAGTACTCGGTGGGGATAATACCAATGGCCCCGGTGGCAGCGGTCTCAAAGGAGGAAGTATCACTCCGGGTAGCGGCGAATATTCCTCCCAAGATAAATTAGCGGTCGATAAGGGAACTGGGAGGGATCCTAGTACCCCTCCAGGTGCGGCAGATTCTCGGTATGGAAACTCAAAACAGGATTCGCATTGGTGGTCTGGGTGGGGGAAAACAAGCGATGATGATCAGATTTCGACTTCATCAAACGATAGAGATAAAGGACAACAGAACATGAACGTCAAAGAGACCTCCACTCCCCTGCAAAAGTCTTCGAAAGAGAGGGGTAAGCACCCGGAACACGAAGGTCTTTGGGTCACCTTGACTCCAACGAGCATGTCTACCAGTCCCTTTTTCGACACCCTCTTGGTTTTGGTTGTCAGCCCATTGATAACACTTACGGTTGTGTATGCATTGCTATTGCTTCGCTCTCGGATTCGACGCCGTCGTTGGCGCGCACCTAAAGCTGTCGTCGACCGGCTCCCTGTTAGAACGTATCATTCCATACCATCCGGATCACCATCTTCGACTAGTTCTCAGACTGCAACCTCTCCCGAAGCATCATCTGCATCTTCTCCCCTCCTGTCCCATTCCCGCGCTCGATCCCCACGACCCAGACCGCGTTCTCAAACCACCGCTGGCATTGTAGCCTCTTCTTCACATGACGCCACAAATAACTCATCGACTAATGCTGAAAAATCGAACTCAGATTCGAGCCTGTGGCGCCGAAGATATACAGGCAGACAAGTTGAGTGCGTTGTCTGCCTCGAAGAGTATATTGATGGACAGAGCAGAGTGATGAGCCTCCCTTGTGGACATGAATTCCACGCAGAGTGCATGTGAGTAATTCCCTCCATTTTGCTGTTATTAATCTATTCAAATTAGCGTACTGATTAGCCTTGTTCCAGTACCCCTTGGCTTACTACACGTCGACGAACTTGTCCGATATGCAAGGGTGATGTTGTACGATCCATGGGTGGCCCATCATCTAGTGATCAGACTTTGGAAGGTCCTGAGCGAATGTCAGAAGACATCCAAACCCGTATTGCTGAAACGCGAAACGATTCTCCATCAGCAGCTGTTCCTATATCTAACGTTTCTGGCTTTATCAATTCCGACCTAGAGCGCGGCGATGATTCCAGGGTGTCGCTTCTTAACCGCTCCGAGGCTCCAAATCCCCAATCTAGTTGGAGGAACCTTGCATCCTTAAGCATTTCTGCATTAAATGGGGATTCAGTGTGGCATCAATCCCGAAGCCCTCGGTCTGATCGAAACCGTTAATATCGAACTTTCCTCTCAACTTCTTTATATATATTTTTAATACTACAGAGTTTCTAATCTGTACCACATTCACCTTCCAGGCATATCTGTTCCCTTTGTATCTTTGGTTTAGCGAACGTGGGGGTTTATTCGATTACTGGGTACCTCGGCGTTGTACATTTGACTATTGTTAATTGAAACAAAATAAAACGAGTGGCTTTAGTTTTGCGATCCCAGTGTTTATAGGATGGCACAAGAATGGATGTCATTTGTTGTTTTGCTTCAGATTAGTTGGTATCATCGAAGGAGGTCTTCCTTTTATCGAATTGAGATCCAATTTCTAAAATTAACAGGCTATGATGATGAGATGAAGATGAAGAAGACTCGTAACGCTGGTTTTTTGTTACACAGGCATAAATTGCTTCCCATCAGCTTTTAATACACTCGTTTGTGGGGAAAAAGGGAAGGTCTCAATCAAATCTCATTGTCTTAAAAGACATGTGAGTTCGTCTTCTATATATAACTCCCCCGATTTAGATATCTATAAAATAAGGTTCAGGCATGTCACATGCCTGACGTCATTCTTCCCTGGACCCAAAGTCGCTCCAGCTTCGACAGAATACCTTAACGACCGGCTCATCTATATATACATTACAATCTCAACTCCTTGTTCATACAAAAGAGAACGTGACGGCCAGTCTTACACATATCTCATCTAACTTAACTAACTGACCAACACATCAAGGGAGAGGGAATTCCAACTTGCGCCACTCATACGCTCGTATCCATCCAAGTATAATATGGCAAACAAGCTCATATCAATCCTCGTCAGCGAGGTCAATTACCTGATAGCATTTCTAGCGGAATTGGCCAGGTCGGGCACATACATATATCCCTTCCAGGTATGCGCATATATCAGTCATTTCAACGCCTAGGAAAGCGACCCAAACTCCCAACATATGCCAGCACGTCCTAATAGACAACACCAGGGAATCCTCTACCTAGTCTCCCATCGCTCCCTCCGGCAGCCCCTAGTATCTAAACTCTCCAAAATAGTCTCCATCGGTATCCCCGTGACCACAATGATGTTCTTCTTTACCTACATCCCCCAGATGGCCGTCCTAGCTTTCACTAACGGGCCCCTGGCCCCAATCTCTGCGATCCTTCTCGTCCTCAGCGAAAGCTCCACAATTACAAACTTCCTCTCGCGTAGTTTCATTCTGCGAGATTCCCTCGTTGACACGTTCGATGGCACGCTGATTGCTCGTGGCGACACGGAGTTAGTCTGTCAGGGCCGCAAGGTCAAGGACCCCGCATCATCACTGGATCCAATATCGCGGTTGGGAGATATGATTCGCAAACCGTTGGCGACGTTCTCGTTGTCATCGCTGGTGAGGTCGCTTGTATATTTGCCGTTGAACATGATTCCAGTTGTGGGAACAATGATGTACATCCTTTCTCAAGGGAAAAGATTCGGGCCGATCTCGCATGAAAGGTATTTTCAGTTGAAGGGTTGGGATTCGAGGAAGAAGCAAGCGTGGGTGGCAGCGCACAGTGCTGCGTATACAAGGTAAGAGACAGGATGCCCGTTGGAATTGACTAGACACTGCAATATACTAACTGGCGTCCATTTATTTCCCCCGCTGTATATAGTTTCGGGGCGGCGGCATTTGCTCTGGAAATGGTCCCTTTTGCGTCTTTGGCATTTGCATATACAAACACAGTTGGTGCAGCATTATGGGCCTCTAATATGGAGAAATCGGTATATAAGCCTCCCACTCTGGAACAGCTGAAGAAATCAGAATAAGGTATTTGTTGTGCTGTTTGTGTTTCTTTCTGAAAATGGAGCCTTTCCAGCAAAAATTTTCTTTAAGAATGGTGTCTGGTAAATGTGTGATCGAAATGTTCGGCGGGCGGTATTTTGTGCCAAAGGAATAATGTCACTGGCATTTTTGGGTATCATTTTGAATTAAGATAAACTTGCAGCGAAATGTTTCTTTTCCGAATTTTCGTGTGTCGTTTGCCCGTCCAGCCTGTTTAGAACGAACGACCTGTCTTTCATTCAGAGAACCGAAACAGATAATTTCGACTTTCCGGCTTCCAACATTCGGAACATGGAGGCGTCTTCCCATCATTGGTACTCTGCCGGTCAGTTTCACATACATAACCCATTCCTGCTCAGCACCCGCAAGTACTAACTCTCAGCTCCACCAGCCACCATCCTGCTTTACTCGCCCCTTCTGCCTTGTTCCATTGCGCATACCCAAAACGTTCTGTACGAAGAATCGCCATCCGGCAACTCTCCAATTTCAGAGAGTGTTGAGCTATTTACGTAATGCCCACTAAGATGCAGGGATAAACAGTTTAGCATACTAGTACTTGGTAATTCTGTTCATTTGTATATGATCTGAAAGAGGCCAGCTTCTCCACCAGGCATTTAGTTCTAAAGCGGAGAATGAGGAGAGACCCGCAATAATGGGAGCATACAGGCAAATATTCCATGCTCACTCTAAGCCGCCAATGTCATCATTGAGGAGTATTTTGAATAAAACCTGGAACTCCGGACTGAGATAGCACGGCGCAGCTCTTGCCATGATCCCCATTGATGCTTTGCGAAAATTTTCATTACCTTTAACCGTTCTTCTATGCTGACGAGGTACATAGCTGGTGACATAAACCACACTCTAAACACGGGGAAACGGCCTTGGAGGCGAAGCCAATATTTTATTTCCTGCAGGGTCTGGAATTTATCCATGAATCCACCTTTCGACTGTGGATGTCAGGACTTTGTATTCTCAGCAAAAGAATGTTGTGAAGTGTATTCTAACAAAGATATATTCCTATGTCCCAATCTATCGCCTCAAGGGATCCAGAGAACAGTCAAGACGCTCTCGCCACTCATAGTCTTCATGCTCAAGTAACAATACTCCCTCCGAATCGTGCAGCCATAAAGAGTGACAATATTCCCAAAACGAAATTTTATGCATGACCCCATGCTCTAGTCACCTCCATCCGCATCCTTATCCTTGACTTCCTCGCGCTTATCTTCCTCGTCCTTACCTTCCTTGGACTTATCCTCCCCACCTTTATCTTCCTTCTCCTTATCCCCATTTGCCCCACCGTCTCCAATATTGGTGCTGCCCTCACATTTTCCAGAATAGCAGACTGTAATGCCGCAATGTCGTGACGAAGACCCACAGAATCCTGATGTTGAGCAACTGCACAGAGCGTCAGTTTTCCGGCTAACCTCTTCTGACAATCAACAGCACACACAAACTTGAAAATTGAATCTTGAATATGTGGTGTATTCGGTCAAATAGCAGATTCCAAGGACTGGGCTATGTTGTTACTAACCACTCTCCAAATGCACTCCCCACACATGTCATGTTGCCACGATAATTTGGACCACAGGTCCCATCCGTGCTTACACCTCCGAGAGACATATCACACGACCCTGAGTAGCAATTCGTGTAACCTAAGAATGATTCCACTGTCAGATAACGCATACACCCCTCGGTATATATTATATGCAAAAATTTAAAGGTGAGAGCAAAACATCACTTACCACACCAATCAGGGCCTGTACCGCAATATCCAGATACACTGCAGCAATCGCCAAATTTCGAGCCAGAACATGTCCTATTACCTGGGAATAGAGGGCCACAAGTTCCGTCAAAACTTATGTTTCCATCATCTCTCTCACAGGCGCCAGCCAAGCAATTTCCGACACCTAGTCGTCATTAGAAAGCGAGAATGCGGAACCGTAAATGGATAGTTACCAGCTAATTACTTACCGCACCATTCAGATCCAGTCCCGCAATACCCACTGGTGCTGCAACAGTCACCAAAACTGGATCCTGTGCATGAGACATTTAAAGAGCATTTCCCATCTACGCTAATGGCCGTAGTAGCATTGTCAGGACGTCCTGTTTCCTTTGGTGGGACAGGTTTTGTGGAGGTTGAGTCCCCCGGGGTGGGATCATTCGCACTAGGAGCTGGTTCAGGGGTAGCAAAGTCGTCCTGGGCATTATCGCTCGGGAAAGTGTTGCTGGGAGCCGTACTGCTGGGAGCAGGGAGTTCTGGCACCGGCTTCGTTGGCGAAGAATCAACGGGTGTAGAAGGAGCTGGGTTATTGGGCATAGTGTCCGTCGGAATGACGTCTTCTGGATCTAAGTCATCGAGATCACAAGGCCCACAGCGATTGTTCGATTTACACTGAAAATAATGGCAGATTAATTAAAGGTAGTGAGAGTTTGGAGATATTGAGCCTTACGCATCTAGCATATATATATTAGTGGTTTAGACAGCTTTTTTGGTAACGAGTAAAGTAAACTCACGCGCCAAACTCTGAGCCCTTACATACGGTCCCATATCCTTCTCCACAATTTCCATCTGTGGAAATTGGCTCTTTTTCAATCGGAGATATGCAGATCGCATGATCTGCCCACAAGTTGGAGCAAGTCCGATCCAGCTAAATTTTGAGCATTGATTAGCAACGCTGAGGTATGCGAACCATAAACTGTTGATTAAATCTACATTGAGGACTTAGTTGACACTCACCTCCACATTAAAGCGCTTGATTTCATAGATTGAGATTCCCCTGGGACTTATGAATAAAAATCTTCACATATGATTAACGTTAATCACACTTACAACTTCGCCGCAATCCTTCCGCACTATAATTTTATGATTAGCAAGCATTAATATGACAATTCTATGAGGTATATAACTAACAGTATCACCTTCAACTACGTCGTAATATTGGCCACAGTTTTCAATAGCCCCTGGGTGGGTTGGGAGTGCTGGGGTAGCTAGTGGGAACATTAGTTTTAAAATCTGTGATAAGAACTTGGATTAGAAACTTACAAGCTCCATCATAGACCCCATCTGCTCTTTTTGCAACAGGCGAAGGTAATTCACCTACTTCGGCAGCCGTAGGTTCCGTGCCGGGCGAATCCGAACAGACTGCGTTAATTTTATTGAACTCGTCAACCAGGTACTCTGCAAATTTGCCGGGAGATAGGATAGGCGAAAGAAGCCTTTGTCTCCACATCTTCATGAAACATTCACTACAAAACTACAATATAAAGTCAGATCCTCCAGGAGCCCAGTTGATGCAGAACACTCCATCACTTACCAAATCCTTGCTATACATATTAGTCACAGATATCTCATCTGGATCAGCGGCAGCGTCTGCTTCTATGAGGACCTGGTCATCGCACTGGGATGGAGGATCATCGCCATAACATAGGTCCAAGAACCATCTTAATATTGTCAGAGTTGCATACCGACTAAAGGATTCAGCACGAGGACATACTTAGAATTTCCATCGCTTTCCCAACCCTGAGATTCCAGAAAACACCAATTATTAAAGCTGTACAGTGTTAGATTTGACTGACAAACTTAAAACATAAACAGTCATACCTATCTTGCAAGCAAGCCATATCAAAGCCCGCAATGTACTTCAAGGGGATTGTATAAGGCTCAATGAAATGGTCGTCAATATCGATTCGGTCTCCTGCACATTGAGCTTCCACGTCGGAAAGCCATGTTGAAAGAGTCTCCGAGCATTCTGCTGTACACAACGCCGTTACATTATCCCTAAACCAGACTATCAAATTATCATCCATCAGTAAAGGCATTTCTACCATGGATATGAGAAGGAAGAGACATATTGGAAGGGCGAATACAATCATCATCGGCACCATTGGCAACTCGGGCGATATTGATAGCATCACAATCGATGGTTTGGTTCCTTTGCAATTATTAGCAACATGTTCAATAAACAGGGGTTTAACTGGTCAAATCATACAGAGCTGCTAAACAACCATCTGATATCCCAATGGCTGTACCAATAGCAGTATCCTCATATTTAGCGTATAAGTTGAATTCAGCTGTTGCCAGTTGAACGAATACCAAGCTAAATAACAGCAATACAAACGACTCCATGTCTGTTGCAAGGACAGCACAAAGGAAGAGTTCGCCGTAAGGAAAATTGATATGCTGCCAGTAGTTTTAAAAAGAGGGATAAAATGAGGATGTAACAATTCAATCAGTTAACGGAACAGCCGTTGCTATTATATATTTTCCCGTTGAAAATGAACTAGTCCGTAGGATAGAACGAAGGAGGGAAAGAAAACGAAAACAAGTAGAAATTAAAACAGGGGAAAATAAACAAAACAGAGAAAACTCTGCATGTTGTATAATGGAATGAGCAGCCCAGAAGCGTGGCCGAGAGGAAGCAGCAATCCACTCCTGCAGCTCCTGAGATAGTAGGTCCATTGCGTATGGCCGTACGGAGTATCCTGTTGCGAAGATAAATCTCTGAGGACTCATTTCTCTTTTGCTATGAGTTTGTACACCTGCATGTTGAGCTTGTTAATGTCTTAAACTGAAAGGTGTGATCAGGAGTTATGCGTACAGAAGAACATGTATATATCGACCACACATCAGTTGCAAATCTCAAGAGCTAACATTCAGATACAGGACAAACAGCCGCTTATTCCAACCGACGAACCTCCCGAAGCAATGGAGGTGACAAAAAGAGGTCTGTTCCGTGTGTTAAAAGGAGAGGAAGGATTTCCCAGGCTTGGATGGTTGGCTACGTATCTGCATCACGCAAAAATATATTTCCGCTAACTTCTCAACTTGAATTTTGCACGTTTTCGATTTGAAAATGAAGTTTCTATCTGTTATTTCCCTTCGTTACACATAACTATCTGCTTTATCTCTTCTAGGTACCTAACTAGAAACTTAATGTCATCGCAGCTCTATACTGGTCGACCCATCACCATCATAAATTCATTACATATCCCACCCTTATTTCAGAGTAGATATATATATATATATATAGCAATGAGTCTCTCAGGGGGGGAATTCCCTTGCTCTAACCCCTCAAATTCGCACGGATAGTCTCAATATCTTCACTGGTAAAACCCAACTTGTTCCGAAGATAACCCTCTGCACCATTCTCAAATCCCTCTTCCACGAATCCTAGGAACTGCACCATCGTCTCATACATTATCCCCCCAGCGACTAGAATGCCCCGAGTCGTCGACTCATCAAGATCTTTCTTACCAAGTAGCGAACCATACAGAGCTTCCCTTACAGGCTCGAAACCCACTCGAGTTAGCACGTAATCGTCAACGATTATATCCGGCGAATAGCCGGCAATACGAAGGATGAGGGCAGCTAAGACTCCTGTCCTATCCTTGCCAGCTGCACAATTGGAGAACAGGTATAGTTAGAAAGGGCGAATGTCAAAGGCTCAGAAACCAATCTCCAAAGAAAACTCAGGGGAAGGAGAGATATTTCTTTACCTGTACAATGGAAAAAGAAGGGCTCCTTCGGGAAGTCCCGTATATGCTCAAAAACAGCTCGGTAGATAGGCACATGAGTAACCAAAATATTTTGATACATCTTAAGCATGGTTGCTGCAGGGTCGCCCACGGCATAATCAGCCCAATTAAAACGCACTGTGTCCTGCGCTGTTGGCAGCCAGTGAATTTGCACACCCTCGATTTCAGGCGATGGGAACCTGTCCCGTTCTGCCGCAGTTCTCAAATCAAAGACCTTTTTCACTCCCAAGCCAGTTGTAAGTTTGACCTTGCCTTCATCCTCGAGAAAAGCGAGCATTCCAGAGCGGAAGATGTAATTCTGCTTCAGGGATGTTAGCGTGGTATGGGGATAGCTAAGATCCCTAAAGTTAAAAAGACCAGGAACAGAAATGAATGGAGGACCGGCAAGAATATGGGAGACGACATCGGCCGATATGGCGTTCAGAACATCGGTTTCGACGACATCGCGGAGGACGTAGGTTGGAACCTGGACGCTGGAACCCATGTTGAACTCGCTTATCGTATCTGTTTCCGATACGGTTCGCAATTACGGTTTTTCTTTCAACCCCTTCATAAATCAGCCAAATGCGGGAATTATGTGTGCTTTGAGAAACCAGAACATTTAACCCTTCAGCCTTAAAGTCAACAGCCGCCACGTCGTCCCGGAAAGTTATTGTCGAAGCCCCTCATCATGATCCTGGCCTGCACGCTAACAGGCAACTGCAGATGAACTGATGTCTGGCCAATCACACGCCGACTTCCTGGTCTGGTGAGATGCGTAAAAATCCCAAGCGCACTTTTTCCAGCGCCGTATTCAGCGTCCTTGGTGGACCAAACTCTGCGAACAAAATGAAACAACAGGAAGAATTCTCTTTGAAATCAAGTGGTTTTATTTGCTTCCTCATCTGATATATCGTACCTTTCAAAGTAAAGTACGTAGAATATCTAGTGAAAATTTCAACCTGTATCGTGATACTGAGAAATGTAACTCCCTCTTTCTCTTTCGTATTTCTCAAGCATTTCATCGGCGAATCATAAACAACCAAAAGAGAAGAAGAAGAAGGGGGTGGGATTTGTTGCATGTTAAGGACAAATCATGTACATGAGAAATATCGTATAAGGTAGGAGAGAATCGAAAAGAGGAAAGTTGACATAAAAGACAGTAAGGGAGACTATTCTCGAAGGTTCAATCGGGGTAACTAACAAAGGATAATCAATCGAAGGAAAAAAATAACGTAAAAGAAAATAAAAATAGGATGAGGGAAACAAGGGGAAGAATGTTAATATATATAACGTTGAGAAGTGAAGTAGGTTAGGTCAGTTAATCAACCAACTCCTGAAACTTTCAAGAGGGGGCGAGTTCGTCATCATCGCCCAACATACCAAGTATACATGATTGGTGCGGGACATATTAATTGTGTGTGTGAATAAAAAGTCGAAGTAACACAGAAAGGGTGAATCGGCAGTTGGACAAAAGGCATAAAAATGTAACTCCAACAAACCAACTTCGAATGGACCGCCAGACCTGCTTGCAAGAACCAACCATACAAATTGGGAGAAGGTAAATAAGAAAACATTAGGAAAGAAATAGGCTGCAAAAAGGAACGGAAACGGTCGTGTTATACACGCCATGGTCGGATGTCAGGAAGACCGCCTATCCTAACGATTAAATTTCTAGCTGCTGGAAATAGGACGAAAGAGAGGAAGGAGGGATAATAGGCGGCACAGTTAGTTAGTCATTTATCCCCTCTCTGCCAGCCGTTTAAATACGCCATGATTCCCACACCTAAAAGGACTACACCGAGCATCGAAGCGTACGGCGCACTGTGGTCCAGCATGTTTTTATGACGCTGTTTCACATACGCCCCATATACCTCCTTGCTTGCTTGATCGAGATGGTGTGATGTTGAGCTAGTGTTTTGTGGGCCTTTTGCTTGAGCCAGCCTCTCGTTCAAGATATCAACCAGGGTATCACCTTCAGTGTGAGTATCATCCAAACCGATTTTGATGGCTTCCGATGATGAACTAGCGGAGGTTTCAGTTTGGGTCCTTCGAATCTGTTCGATCATTTCACCAAGGGTTTTGCGGCTCTCAAAAGCCTCGTTTTCAGCTTTCTCTGCAGACTGTTTATACTTGGCCACTTGTTTCCTCATTTCGTCCATTTCAGCAATCATGCTATCGAGGCGCTGTTGGAGCTGCTGAGAAATTGCATCGGACGACGTCTTGCTCTGCTGAGGCAGGGTCGAATCAGAAGATAGGTTTGACTCTTCCGGTTCTGAAGGTTCGACAAGAGATACCTCTTCAACTACTACAGTGGCGCCGTTCTCTGATGTAGAATGCGGTTCACAGACTGCCACTACTTCCGAATCTGCTTTCTGTTCAGAGGCACTTCCCTCTAGGTTTCGTGCTCGTTCCTCAGCCTGTTCTCTGGCTGCACGCTCCGTCAAGAGTAGATTTTCTAGCTCTTTAACTCGAGCACCCTGTGCATCAAGGTCTTTCTTAGCTGACGCCAACGCTTCTATAAGTGATAGTATCTGGCTTGATTCCCGATTTGCTGACGAACGAATGGGAGCCTTGGGTTTCTCCGTGTCAGATCGTTTCAAACTCGGTTGTGGCATAGAATCCGAGTTGGTACGAGGCGGAGCATCAGGCTTCTCTGGTAAGGGTTGTTGTGGTGGGGGGGCTGGTGGGTCTGAAAATCTGGATATCTGATCCACTTTTGGCATCTTGGGGCGTCCGTTCACTAAACGCCCACCACCTTGACTCTCGGTGGGAGAATGTTTTGCCCGTTCTTTTTCTAAGATATCATGGGAGACCAAATGACTTAGAAAGTTGTTGGTTTGGTTGAGATCGTGAGCCTGTTGTTTTGCTTGTTTCATCTCAGACTGGGAGGAGCAAATGCATGTCAGCACCGTTCAAATTCCGCAAGGGGCGCATCTAATACATACCGATAGCCGTTTCACCACCTGCTCGATAGAGATGGGGGAGAGCCAGTAGTTCATTTGTCGCTGTTGGTGTAAAATGCCCACATGATTTCCAGCCGCGCTTTGGTTGCTGCGATTACTACCAACAGAAGCAGCGCTCCCAGGTCTGCCACGCATGTGCGAAAGAGGTAGGCTGAGATGTGAAGGAAGAAGCCCACCGCCAGCAGTCGGGTCAATGTCGCCAAAGCTCAAATCCAAGATGTTCATATTCGGGCCATAAATTCCAGCATGCTCTACTTTCGCCGAAACTTTATGGTGGACAATAGATTTCTGGTCTTCACTCACAATATCAATCCCAAGCTCAAGCGTGTCATGTTCTCGAAGTTCGTGTGGTTCGGAATCGCGATTCTCCGGAGATAAACGTTGCCCATTGACGAACGTTCCATTGGATGATTTCACATCTCTTATCCAAATTTTCCCCGCCCGGTCAGCCCAAACTTCTGCATGCTGTCGTGAGAGCACTTTTGAATCAAAATAACCATTCACCGGCGTGGGAACCGTTTTCGCGTTAGTTTGTCTTCCGACACGGAGTACTTCAGGGAAATAGGGAACCGTTATCTGCTTTCTTTCAAATGTCCCATTTACTGGCAATAACGTCAGGATCGCCGGAGGGTCACTGGGTAAGGCACCATTGGTGAGTCGGCTACCATTTTGTTGCTGGTTTTGGAGCGCATGTTGAGATGGGGCAACTGGGGTCGGTTGATGAAGAGCAGACATAGCGGATGATGCCGAGGTCCCAGACGGCGTTATGGACACAGGTTGAGATCTTGCATTCGTCACCCCCGACACTGGTTCAGCCTTCGAGTTAGACCAACTATATTTGTATGGCTTTTTCTTAGATGCCGCAGATCCCGACTCGTTGGATGCGTGGTTAGCATTACTGTGTTGCGAATTCGCGATTATAGTAGATGTTGAAGACGAGTTTGAATTCAGTGACGATGAAGAGTTTGCTCGTTGGACACTTTTCCGAGGCATAAACATTCGTAGTCCTTCGTCTGAGTTCGAAGGGGCAAGCGTTCCTTGTCCACCATCAACGGCAGGATGCCACCCCAAACGAGGCCCAGATTGCACACTTGGTGGAGACGCCACAGCAGTCATGGATAAGGATAAGGCAGCGAATCCGGATGCAGCAATCCTCGTTCAAATGGGTCAATCGCAGCAGACTGACTAAACTGCTCCTGATCAGAACAATCTGTGTCGACTATGCGAGACACACAGGCGGCTCGAAAACACGTAGAGTGTTCCAACCAGCATAGGGAACCCTTTGGCGATGCGCGGATATGGGATATGAAAAGGGGGGGGGGGGGGGGGTGTGTGTTTCGCTTGAGGACCGTAAACCTTGAAGGATGGATAGATAGATGTAGGATCGTCGTAAGCTCGTGCTCAAATTTTTTGTTTTTTAAAAAAAGTCGGCCCTGAACTTAAAAGGAACAGATACAGCATCAAGGGAAGGGCTAAAAGACAATTGCTAGGTCATGGAAAATTGAACATGTCAAACACTGCACTCACAAGCCTAGCAAATTGCGATAGGGCCTAGGTCGTGAAAGGTCTGGGCAGGCGACTGGTCTCGCGAGATGTTCCAAGATGGGGCTCGGCGGCAACAGCATCCACAACAGCAGCAAACAGAGAAGAAGATGGGGTCAAGAGATGGATAACTCTATGGTAACCAAAGAAGCTCGCAAGAAACTATCACAGCACCGGGTCCAGGGCAGCTGGAAGGCAATGTTGGCCAGTGAGGAGATGGACAGCAGAAGAATCATCCCAAGAAAGGGTCAAGTGTACGAGATGTCACGTGAAGGATGGGCCGGCTTGTGGATAAGCGAAATTAGCCTAAAAGGGGTTAGTCTCTCCTGAACTGGGAGCCATTGCGCGCTTAGTCAGATTTCATGGCCCGTAAACTTTGGGGAAGCTCAGGGCAAAACAAAACCGAAACGGCTATTTGAAGCTTCTGTTCAGATCCTCCACCTCCCTTGCGTGCGCTCTGGGAAAATTTCCCACTTTGTTCAAAAGAGAGTCGTATTTTGTCGTCCGACAACAATGCCGCCAGTGGTGCCTGCAAGTGGTGGGGGTGGCATGCATGCTCCCTCGACCTTTGACAAGTGTCAGTCTCCCACTGCTCCATCCAAGTTAACCATTGAGATCTAGAATTTTGCTGACTGATCTATCGCAATAGTTAAAATGGGGGCAATGATGGGCGGATGTATGTTCCTTCTTCTATTCTACGACTTGTCCAGAATTTTTTTGGTGTTGCTTTGCTTTGCGAGTCTTCCATATTAACGGCTTACAGCGGTTGGTCTCATTATGGGGTTCATTATGGGTGAGAATCACGGATTACCGCACAAAATGGAAGAAATTAGGTGTGATTGACAACTCCGTCAGAACTGTTGCGATATTTCAATACGGTGCCGGACCGAACGCGTGATGCGCACCCTGGGCAAATATATGATCGGTTCGGGCGCAACTTTCGGGTATTTCAATTTTTCTTATTCGTACCCGCTGATATCTCGACCCTTTCCAAGGAAGATTTTTTTTCTGATGAGGCACGTCTAACAAAACTTAGATTTTTTATGTCGATTGGAAGCGTTATCCGAACAGAAGGACACCCCAACTCCTACCAAGTGTGGGCTAGAGCTCGAGGAGCTCCCATGATGATTCCCCGACAGTACCACCCCCGCCCACGACACGATTAGATGTGAACATGCATATATGTGCAATAGGATAAGGAAGGCATATTCGGGGACTAGGCATATTTTACAACATGTTATATTTATTTATTTAATGGGAGCAGGAACCGCACCCGTGTATCTAACATCGACGATTCTTCCCCTGGCATGGGACCGAAGAAACATTTCATCTCAACACTCCTAGGATATGAGGTTGTTTTTTGACTATGGCGTTCGCAGGATGGAAAAAAATGAAACAACCCCTTTGTACAAGTAGTCGAAATCATTATCTTCACAATATTGTACGGTTTCGGAACTTCCAGTGACGATCGATCCAACAACTAACAAAGTGCCCGTGATATGTTGATGGGCTAGCCAAAAATTACGACCCCTTAGAGATTATTTTGAATGACTCGCCTCGATCTGCTCCTATGTTGGGCTCGGGAGAAATTGATCGTCGACGGACATTAGAACCGCGAAATGAAGCGTTGCGCAAGTTGAACATTGTAAATTGCCCAAGAACGGGCGAAATGTAATAGTCTCGCACGGCAATTATGTCTGCAGAGTATACACTGACTGGGCCAATGAATCGTGTACGAATCCTCTATGCGAAAGTGGAACACAGGTATCAATATTCTCCCTGATTTCAGTGCCCAATCAACCATATGTAAACATGGTTTCTCTCCGTTTGTCCTTTCTGAGTCCCTGGACTGGAAAGAAGGGGAAAGTAGGCCAGCAATACCTACCGCGAGAAGTAGCCCGCGATGTCGCAAGTCGCCCCACGGATACGCAAAACTCGTATAGATTCCAAAAGAACCTTGGAAATAAGGTGCCTGAGTTTTTCAATGATGAAAGCGAACGTATAGTGTTGCGCATGCGCAGCGAGTGGTGGAAATGTTTCCCAGAACATCGTAGTTTCGGGAGTTTTACCCCATTGGATGTCATGATTCTGTGCGAAAAATGAATTTCTGAAGATACAAAAATTTGGGCTGCCTACCCAGGTAAGCAAGTACCTGACTAGGCCAACAGGGAAATAAAGAAGTTTGATAGGAGGAAAATATGTACGGCAAACCAACCTCAAAATATCGAGGTAGCAACACGCCATAGAAGACCAGGAATACATTTTCTCTTCTACAAAAGAAAGGGGGTTGCATTGGCAATAAATCCCGTCCGAAGAAGAAGGGGAACCGCAAGGGACATGAGCCCAGTTCTTGTCATTCTCCCTTGAAGTCGCAGGCTGGGCAGCAGAAGAGATGACTTCAATGCAAGAAACAATGGCATTCCTGAAGGAAAACACATGGCAAAAAGGGATACGAAAAGCTGTGGTCTCCAGCTCACTATCGGCGACCAACACGCTCAAAGCTCCAGGGGCCCTCCGTGGCAGAATAGGGGGAGCGCATAAAGTGATCGTCCCTCCTGCTCTCCAATAAGAGAGTCCGCAAATGGCAAAAAGCAAAAACGACAAGATCGCAAAGTACGAACAAGGAAATCGCGCGGCGATCAGCCAATCGAATGCGATGCGGCTCAAATAATCTCCTCAGCCTCGCCACTTTTCCAAGGAGGGAGCGCAAACAAAAAGCCAGACTCATCCCCTTTTCCCAGAGAATTGCTCCAGTACGCATTCTGTCAATTACAGCGCTGACGGAGTATTGCCGACGTACATACATACATCGACTGCGGATGATATTCTTCATCACAAATATTGACACAGAGAGTCGAAACGAGAGACAACGATCTCTCTGCTGCCTCGCAAAGAGGTAATCATCTAGGCTGTTCTATTTATTTTTTTTTTCGCTGATCTGCGATCGTCGGTCAGGACCCATACGGACCAAGCTCCGTGACAGAACAGCTAGCTACTGCGTATCGCTCAGTGGTTTTAAGATGACAGAGCGTGCTACATAGCTGCCCAGAGAGTGCTGAATTTCTAGCTTGGTTGAACTATAGAAGCTCTTTGCCTGTATCTTACCGTCACTAATAGAGATGAATGCACGAACAGTGAAAATCTTGGTCAGGAACAACTTAGACCCGGCTCGCGTGTAAGTACTAATCCAGGTCGCTTTCATTTCACTTGCAAATGCCACAAGACGGTATTTGATGCCATGTTGTGGGAGGAGCAAGCAGGCCGCGAGGTGAAGCTGGCGAGCGCACGAAACATCGAGTGGGAGCCTGCGTTTGTTTGGTTGTGAGAAGGGAAAAGGGAGGTACGTTTAGGTAGATTCCACGAATGTTATTTTTAACAACAGTTGGAGCGAGCGCTTCATATTCTTCCCGGCGTTAGCAACAAGTTCAAGCCCCGGCGTCCGAAGTGTTAGTCACCTTCGTGTTCATGGGTCTCACGGGCTTTGGGAGTTTGAAAGGCAGAGAAGATGACAGAGTGAAGTTTCAAAATAACCATAGTTAAAGATCACTCCGGATCAAAAAGAGTGTATGAAACTGAGGCCAGCGGGCGTTTTGTGAGAAAGCTGTTTCGAACGGTTTAACATCCGAAACGGTGATTGAGGCTTGTCCTAGATATTAGTTCGTAATTCGTATATTTCTAAGTTGGGACTCTCCCAATGTAGCGTAAGACTCATGAGTAGGCAATAATAATCCTCGATTCAACCTCGTAATTCATGAGAGAATAAAATATCCATCCCCTTGTCTGGGGTGAGGCGCATTTATGTAGCGTATTTTTTCTGCCAGCGTTTCATGCATTGGGCGTTGAGTTTGACAGGCGACGGACTCGGCCACTTCCAGAGGCTGTACTCCTAGGCTAATTTAGTATATGAAGTGACCTCCAAGACGAACAAGACGAACACAGCAAGGCTCGTTGTAACTTCTCAAGCTAAGTTAGCCTCCTACGTAGCTGGCTCAAGTTGACCAAACTCGCTTCGTTTCTCCGACAAAACCAGTCTGCTGCAGCCTGCAGGCATATGTGAGCGAGCAACATTCTCCTTGCTTCTTTCATGATTCACCAGATACTGGAGAATTCCAGGCAAATCAAAATGCCTCGCGCGATCTTCCAAGCGCTCTCGTCACGTCAAGGGTACGGGCCAACCACAAGACAGCATTGTTGGAGATTGGCTTTCAATTATTGACGCGAGCAAGGTTTTGGTGTCCGTTTTTTGATTACCATTATCAACTACCCGGAGCGAAGTCCATGCTTTCATCGAGTCCGAGGAGAGCAGTTGAACTCTCTGTCACTGCGGCAGCAGAAACAGCAAGCCCTTCAAGGGGTTAAGGGTTGTCATCGTAATGCGGATATCAACTGGAAAAAGTTCTGTTTCTTCTCCTTTGTTTGTTGGTGGGGAAAAAAGGAGAGGAAAATGTTTGTTGCTTGTTGAACAATGATGCAGCATTTCCCGCCGTGCATTTTTCCCGGTTTTCTCATCTGTGCAATCTGTGCTCGCATGAAATAAACAGGGGCCTTCGTTTCAGCCGGTGATGACAGGCGGTAAGCAGCCAAGAAGCTCGGTCCAACGTATCGAATTACATTAGCCTTGGATAAAATACAAGGAGCGAAGAGATCGGTAATTTTATTATTATGACATGTCAAGAATCTTGTCAGAGTTTATTCTTTCGCTGCTGGAAGAACAAAGTCAGAATAAATAATACATTCGATAGTAATGGGGCAGCGCCTTGCCAGTACCAGGGCCCAACGTCGTCCGTCTTCCTTCGCGTTCAAGGTTGGCCAACGTGGACCCAACGGAGTCAAAGGGCTTTTCTTCAATGTTGAAAGGACGAAATCCAATCAGGGCATGCGCTAATGGCGTGAGATGGTTGAGATCCAGGCACACACAGGGGCAAAAGGAAGCCAAACCGTGGAACCTGGCAAGAGAGAAGTTGGTTGCCGAACCCGCAAGCAGTAAGCAGAGTATCATTGTTCCTTGGTTTTCCGCAAGAAATACTTCATCTAAGAGGTTTGCCCGGCTGCGCTTGGCTTGGGCCGCCCTGCTGGTCCCTTGGTCGGCAATGGATGGGGGCTAAACAATTGGAAAGCTGGTGCTTGGTTGGGTGGGGAACAGAGTTTGCTCAGTTAAATTGTGTTGCTAACTTTCGTTGTTGTTAGCGCGTGAACTTGGGGTGTTGTGGCGGCCGCTAAGGACGATGATAATACACGGATCTTGGTTATTATTTATTCAACATCGTGCCCCCTGGTTATTGTGGTTTTTTCCTCGTTCCCTCCCCTTGCCAACTCTCCCTTTTCAGTCGCGAAATACCGCTCTTTTCGCTCCCAGGCATTTCCCAACCACCCACGCTCTTTAAGCCTTCATCCCATTTCGTGTGAGCCGCGCTCTTTACGCTCTCTTTTACCAGCTGTATTTCCGACTCTTGAATCGTTTCGCACCCTCACGTCCCTGCGCTCGATCAGGCCAGAGAATCCCCCCCATTTAGATCCAGCAGCGCCTGAATCCCTCCCATCTCGATTTGCGAATCCAAGCTACATCAACTGAAGAGCTAGTCTCCTTTGCCCTCGCAAACCTACGGTCTCTCAGCCGACTCCGATCCATAATACGAAATTATCGTCGCAGGGCGCCTACCGATAACAACCCAGACCAATATTCCCTTCTTGTCCAGTCTGAGTGGGTTTCGGTTACATAAACCAACACAAGGACCAACCACCTCCTACATACATATACACAGAATCGCTGCAGAAACGAAGAACCAAAAATGAATATCCTCTCTTTTTTCTCCGCGCTGTTCCTTCTGCTTGCGACTCAGCTCGTAGCTGCTGAAGATAGCATGGTCACCTCCACGAGAACCACCACGACCACCAACACCATCACTGTGACCATCATCCGCTCCGTCGCCAGCTCCTCCACCATCGGGGCCACTACCATAATTCCCACGGCTGCTGCATCTACAACGGCAGATGCCTCTTCGTCTTCCACGCCAAACATTGCCATTGCTGCAGCACCAACCGCGATGCCAATGCTGATGGCTGGAGGTCTCGCCGTGATCCTAGGCGCGGCGCTCTAAAATCCTTTGAAGAAAAGAAGCTAATCGGAAATGGGTGTGGAGTGGTGAAGGAAGCGGGAGTCGGGGAAGTGAATTGGAGAGAAGGGCTTGCAGAGGAAGCAAAGATAAAACCAACACATGATTGATGGATTGATTGATTATTGACGGATTGATTGACACCTAGGGGGTTTTGGTGGCACTGCTGTTTTCATTAACTTTTGTATACGATTTTTTATTGTTCTCTTCGAAAGATACCCACTTTATTTTACCCCATTATTGGTGTAAGGTATATGGGGGGCTCATTGGAAACTTATCCGAAAATCCATCCATATACATATATCCAATATTTTTTTTTTTTTTTTTTTCATTTGTCTTGTGTGCTCATTGCCAAATTCGGAATTTATTTCAATGACACAGTATCCCCGTTCGACTCTGGCTTTGGATGGAGATTCCAATTCGAGAGTCGAACGCGACAGACAAGACAACACGGAGCAGGCAGACCCAACTCACCACAGCATGTCCCTTCCGCCAATCGTTTGCGCACGAACGCATCCAGCGCAATCCATATTCGCTTCTACCCGACAACCCCATCCCATCCCTTTCACCCGCTTTCTTCGCTGCGAAACAACCTTCCCGCTTTTCCTCTCTTTTCCCATTAACATAACCCGTTTCCAACTTAAAAGACCCGGTCGCCTTTTATTTAATTCTCATGTTTGTTATACGGCAAACCCTTTTTGAACGATTCTACCTTGCCTATTACTTCTTGCTTACTACTTTATTCTCAATGATACAACCCCCTTGCTTCTTTCTCAAACTTACTCTTCTTATTGTTATTTACTACCTTAAACTTCATTTTATGACTATGGACACTACCCTACCCCCCACCCGTAAACAGGAATATCTCATTGCTTTATTGGAACAATAACAATACCTATTATATTTTGGGTGGCTTCGATGATGAGCCTGGATGATCGCTTCTATTCTAATTCACTACCCTTCTTCCTTTCTGTCTATCTATCTATCTTTTATTTACCGCCATTTTATTTGTTCTTTTCACTTCGTCCTTGTCAGTGTACGCATCATATGGTTATGATATATGTTGTGTGCGTTACTATACTGACAAGTTTTGAAATATTGAGGAAACGACAGCGAACCGGGCTTCTTTCTCTTCTTCCTCCCATGCATTTTATGTATTTATTAACTTTATTTATTCTCAATTTTCGGTCTGAGGCGTGACAGGCGCAAAAGACAAAGAAACAACAAATGAAAACAAATGACATATTTTTCGGTCCTATATCACCTCTGATGTTGCAAATTGGCTCGTTTCGTGTTCCCCCCCCCCCCCCCCACCACTTTTCCCTCCCTGTTCACTCTGCATATTTCATTTAGCAGGCAGGGCTCGTTGTGGCATTTTCTGCAGGGAGTCAGTCATACCCCAGACATACGTATTATAACTCACTTGTCAATTTATTTATTTATTTCACCATTTATTCTCTTCATGCCACGAACTGGCTTGTACTTTGTGTTGCGACTCTCATCGACGCCAATTATGCAATTCATACGGGCTTCAAATCTGCTCTTTCGCCGCCATTTTTCGCCTGTCATCTCAAGTGAATGGATTCTTCGGGTCCTACCAAGGCACGGTGCATTTATAACGGGCCCAGTAGTAGTCAATTAACAATTAAGAGGATGTACTGTACATAATACAAATAGTTGGTTGTCACAGCTCCCATCCATACACTATTATAGCTCTGTTACACTCTACTCCTTGAAAGCCTTCCCACAAGGCTTCTGAGATTTAGAAAGATGCATGGTCTAGATTCTCTGTCAATGTCAATAAAGCTGAAAAGGAAGAAAGAAATGAAAAGAAACGTTTGAAAAGATTAAGCTAGCTGTCAAATGTTGGATGCGACAAACGGTTTCTATTTCTAGCACGTTGTAACCGCAATCCGAGTAGCTTTCAAAACGTGTTTGATATTCTCCCACAGGAACCAAAATTCCAAATTTGGTGGTGTCAGGAACAAACTCCAGCATTGGAATTAAGTTTTTCCGGCCGAAATCAGGGTCCGGCTTAGTCATTCCCGGATAACGAACATCCTTGTTTATCTCGCGCGACTTCGCATCAATATTTTGTGCTCTACCCTTTTGTTTGGACAGCTTCCAAGCTGCACAATTGGGACTCAAACGAAGAGAACCACAGTTCAAACATGCCATGAATAGATAGCTATCCGATATACATATATATATAAAATTGTCAAAATGGAACGCGACATCCCGCTCCCACCACCGCGTCGCGCCCGTCAACCAGCTTTGCCCGGGCACCTCCCTCACCGCAGCGACCATTTCACATTCGACTGCAACTTACCGTCCAGCGACCCCCCGCTGTTCTCCAGTGATGATTTTCAATCTTCCGCGCTCGAGAACTATCGTAATAGCCCTGAGCAGCAGGAACAACAGCAGCAGTTGGGGAACGCGCCGACGCGTTCTGGTAGCAGCGGCAATAAGGCACAGACGAAGACAAAGAGGAAACGGCAATATCGAGGTACATGGTGGGGAAAGGAGGAAGGAAAGAAGAATAACGATGCCGTGACTGAAAAGAGGAGGCGGACGGAGTTTAAAAACAAGCGCAATTTAGACAGTGGGGTGTGGCTCGGCAGCGATGATTCTGTGGAGTCGGCATTGTCAAATAGGAGCGGATTGGAGGGGAATGATCACCATGAGCGTTTTGTTCTTGGCCCGTCTTATACTACGGATATTGGTGGTGTAGGTGCTGCTACTAAAGGCAGGAATGGAGATAGGGAAGCTGGGGAACAGCAAGCTGCGCTCTTATGCGGCCCTGCATTTGCACGGAGTCGTCAAGTTGCTAGAGAGAATTCTACCAAGCCGATGCAGGTGGACGAGCCATATCAACATCGCCACGCGCGGCAAATTATCGCGGATTGTCTTGAGACGGGTCATGAGTTTATTGACATCTCGTATGCATATGCCTTAAGGCCTTCCTATTTCCGCCTTGTTTCAATTCTCGGCACTCTAGAGGAAATAAAACATCTTCTGCTGCTAACATAGATTTAGAAATCTTAACCTGCGCACTATTCCCCCCGGCCTCCTCCGACCAGTCTCGCAATTCACAAAATACCCCATCATTGAGGAGATGGATAAAATATCCTCTTTAGCCCGCGCCAACCACGAGCAATTTTTTAGCTCCTTCGAGCCCTTCCTCTGTCTGTTCATGACAAACAATCAACTGAAAACCCTACCAGCCGAAGTCTTCGAGCTCTCCAATCTCAGAGTGCTAAGCGTACGCCACAACGAGCTCGAACAGATCCCGGGCGCCATCGGCAACCTGACAAAGCTGCGCGAACTGAATGTGGCAGGGAACCAGCTCTCGTATCTGCCGATTGAGGTGTTCCACCTATTGCAGAAATGCGACACGCACATGAAACAGCTGACTGTACATCCGAACCCGTTTGTGATGCCTGATAGCTCAAATGTGGCAGAATGGCATTATCATTTCGAGTCAGATGAAAACCAGCAAGAAGTCGTAGCTGAAGTCATGAGCCCGCCTTCATCCACAAAAATATGTCCAAGATCCGCAGGCTCAAGGCCCATACCCGTTCCTATTGCAAGAGGTAAGGTGCAATTTTTCGACGCAGAGGGACGTCCAATTGACACAACCGAGCCAACCACCAATTCTAACACCAGCACCCTACCCCCACTTCCTCCTTTTTCTTCTGCATCAGCATCGTCAATGCGCTCTCCCAGTCTCTGCGACCTCGCCCTTCGCGCCTACAACCGTGGACCCCAAATCTCGCATCTCATCGACCCGGTCACCTTCGCTGGACCTGCCATTATCCTTGACCTTCTAAAACACGCTGAAAAGGTCCGAGATGCAGGCGGCAAGAAGTGTCCGGTTTGTGCGCGGTCATTTGTGATTACACGCGCCCAGTGGATCGAGTGGTGGGATTGTGAGTCGTATAGTGTGAGTCGATATAATGACGGCGGCTATGAGGATGATCATGATTCTTCACGTGCATCTAAGGTGGAGAGATTTCGGATCGCGGGGGTGGCGATGAAGCCCCTCCCGTTTATGAGTGAAGTTTGTTCTTGGGGGTGTGTGCCCACGTTTGAATCATGGCGAGGAGGGGCTGGGAAAGCGAAGTGAATAGGGGTTCGTCCTGTTACTGTACATGGCTCACCCTGTCTTCTGCATAGCGTTGGGCGCTAGTTACGGAGCGAATACCCCCAGATATATTATGTGACTTAACAGCTGTGGATATATAAATATATATGTAATTTTTTTTTGGCACATATTGCTGTGCATCTTGCATAAGTTCGGTGCGGAGTCGATGGGGACTTGCTTCTCGTTTCCATTACCCTTCTCTTTCCATCTAGTGGCATATCTAGCTGGAATTTGATTGAGTTGCCTACTGGGGCAAAATAGTGTTTAGAACATGGGACTTCTATGGTTCAAATAATTTAATTGAATTTGTTATCCCTTTCATTATGAGGTTTGCCCAAACTACCGTCCCACCCAGATGTATCCATGCAGCGCCCCCCAAAACAACACGGAATAACGGCAATGGGGTATTCAACGTTTAGAAAATAACTTCAAAAAAAGAAAGAAAGAAAGAAAGAAAGAAAGAAAGAAAAACGAAAAGGTAAAAAGAAAATTCTGTTCTTTCCGCAAGCCCAAACATACACCCTATCCACTCAGCCCACTACATCCACATCCACCCCGCCGTCCTCTCCCACCTCATTCTCCCCAACGATAACCTCAACTTCCTCCAGACCGCTATCTTCAAACATAGCATCGAGCCACTTCAACATACCACCCCAAGCCCTGGGCATAATTGATTCGACATTCAGCGCCTCCCCGGAAGAATAGCAGTTGCAGCCGAACTCGTAGCGGCCAGCGACTGGCGTGTTTAGCGGTTTTTCAGAGAGTAAGTAGGCGCGACTGCGCGTGGACATGAAGTTGGCGAAATCTGGTGGGTGTAGGTGGTTTGTGTCGTGGAGGGGGTTGCTGAGGCAGAGAGAGGAGATGCGGGGTTTCCAGGCTGTCCCTGTGCTGCTTGTTAAGGAGGGCGTTGGATTGAAAAGTGGGGTCCGTCATAGGACATATATATATATATATATGTTTACGCGAAACATAAAACTTACAATGTTCTGCCAAATATCTCACGGCGCCCAAACCACCCTCCGCCAGCCCAATGATATCGATCCTCACATCCGGCGCGGCAAGTTTCCCCAGCACCTCCTCAAAGACATAAGTAATGTGATCCTGCCATGTCTCGTTACCGGGGATTTTATTCCGGAACGTCATCCGCATAGGCGGCTCCACGGCGCTGCGTCGAGGAAGTGCATGCCACATTGGCAGCGACATAGCCTGCTCTTTGGCGCAGTGCCATACCAGCTGCCCTGGATTTGTCAGAATAAACCCAGTTCCTGCAGGGAAGCTAGAGCCGTTATCCTGGTGTGGGTTATTATTTGCGTTAGCAATGTTAGTGTCGATTGTCTGGCACCCAGAGTCCCTCGGGCAGATGTTATTGCCTAGGATCGCAGCTGCAAAGTTTACAGCGGAGCCAATATTGATACCCTCCTTGCCGATGACACGATACGCCCAGATACCCAGGTCTTGGGTCGGCTCGCCAAACACGACGATGAGACGGGGTTGGGACTGGAAGGCTGGGGATGTCAGAATAGGCACATGTTGAGAGTTTGCGGCAGCGCCAATCGGGAGACGGAGAGTCTCGAGGCCCAGATTGAGCAGACGGGAAGCGACGATGTGTCGGATACATGCTAATTATTTTCCGAAAAAAATTAAATAATCGTTTCATGGAGTCAGCCATGTATACAGTTTGACACACGCAGTGTAGCTTCTCCGTTGTTTTTTGCATGAAAACATGCAAATGCGCCAGAGGAATACAGCAGTAGCGGAAGAATAAGTAGAGATATATATACTATTCATAGCTTCTTTCTGCATTTCATTGTAGCGGTCATTGGTATTTATTTTGAAGACAAAGTCCTCTTCTGGGTTCGAAATCTTCTTGATCTGGTCCTGATCGTTGATGAAGTAGCTGTTCGAGGGCTTCATCTTAGCTCAATGAACTGTATTATTTCTATGGAAACGGACTAAGAACCATGATCAAGTTATACGTGGAGCATACCCGAGCTGCTTCAAATCAGCAGGAAAGACAGGATCCTTGGGCAAGGCTTCTGCCCGGAAGACAAACATGATGCTTCGGCTGGAGATGCGGTATATGGGCAGTAGTAGATGTGAGTAGAAAAAAGAAAAGAAGGAAAGGAGTGGAGTTAGCATTGAAGAGAGAAAAATAAAGAGAGAAAGGTTTGGTTGTATTTACGATAAATAAGAGAGGTATTTAAAGAACAGAAGGAGAACTGTCAGACGAAATGATTTCATGGAGCGTGAATGAGGTGAATGAGAACACAGTGAAGGCGTCACGGAACAGAAACACGAGATGAAAAGCAAATAAAAATGGCTGCGGCCTGCCGCTATGTTTCAGATATTTTATTCAAGAGAGAAAATAGATATAAACAAAACGAACTTAGAGATCTCAGATATCGCATACGGATATCCCATTGCATGCTCGAGGAAATGGTTCTGGGGTTCCGTTACTGATGTTGGAGATATGAAGAAAGTTGGTTGACACAGGTTACCTGGATAAGGCAGCTAAAAGCGCGAGAAATACCAGGAACACAAAATTGAATAGCAAATGCTGAAATTTTAATATATTCTCATAATATAACTACTACACATAACTTACATATTTATCGATTACACACTCCCAATCCTAAAAATGCAAGAATTAAAAAAAAAAAAAAAACAAAAAAAAAAAACAAAAACGCCGGAAAGCAAATAATAACCAGATTGAGAAACAGCGGAATACGCCCATATATTCGCTCAAATATATTACCAACTCGCCTTCCTGACACCTGGAAGTTTTCCAGCAAGGGCTTGCATACGGAATTGGAACTGTGCAAAGTGAATCGTCCGTCAGCACACGGCAGCCAAAACAGAAGTGCAAACATGAATTTGGAAATATTGAGCACTCACCCTTCCCAGTCTGAAATCTCTGAAAACACCCCTCGCTATGCCTCCGGCCGTACATCTGTTCTTGATCTGTGTGGGATTGGTGTAGCAGTGCATTTGGGAGAGCTTGAGTTGGGCTTGGGCGCGGACACGCATGGGGAGAGAAGTGTTGCGGACGAGGTAGCGAAGAGCTTGTCTAGAGAGTGTTGGTAGAGGTTAGCAAGTTGCGTTCGGCTTTTATAATATATATTGCTTTGGATATTATAGTGATAAAGGAATTGTAGATCGCAGGGTGATCGGGTATTTCATTACCTTTCAGGTTCAAATTGTTTGAAGACTTGTCGCTTTGTGTGATCTCTGATGATGCGCGGGTTGATGAACCCGGCAATGTCCAGCTTTTTGGCGCGAAACTGAGACATAATTATCAGTTCGCAGGGAAAAGCTCCCGCTGTTTCCTTGTCTTGAGAATTGCGAAGAGTGATGGCTGTGGTGGAGGATGGAGTCTAACATCTCGTTAAGGGTTTGATATATCAGTTCATCGGCGAAATCTGGACATTGGACCAAATCGGGTTAGCGCACCCAATGGCAATTCGACGCTGTGCGAAATTTATGCACTGCAATCTACGGGAGGAACTGGGAGCAATTGAGTAAGTATGAACAAATATAATATGGTAATGAAGCATTATAGGATGCATGTCTCATATATAACTTGGGAATGTTGTGGTGGCGCGTTTGAATTTGTCTATGGCTCCAAATACAACCTGCACAATGACAACGAGGGGAACCACCAACCAGGCTACAATTCCCGAGAGAAAATATATCCGTAAGGAACATCCGGAGGTTGTGGAAGATCAAATGGTAAAATAAAGGGAATTTATTGGACGTTCAATCCATCTCTATTCAATGTACATATGCAAAGCATTTATTCCCGCCCGGTTATCTTAATCGCCACTGTCAAACGGATTATCCCCTCCAGACGAACATTAAGAAGAAAGGAACCTTCTCCTGTGTTTAATGCTTCTCCTCAGGCTTGAGCGGCTTCGCGGTTGGGTTGCGGGGATCGTTCTTGAACTCAGGGGCTGTAAATGTGAGACAAATACTCAGTACACATGCTCCTCCATGACTCTCCGCAATTAATTCGCGCTACTGATCCATTATCTGGAGACAAGAGGCCGAACATTGAATGTGGCGACAAGGTGGCCACTTACTTTCCATCATAACGTTCGCGAATCCATTGACGCCGTAAAGGATAATGAGGCCTAAGATCATGAATCCCGGTTAGTAATTTAACTTCGCATCATTCTTCCGTTCGTTATGAGAAGCTCTTCGAGGAATGGGCGACACGAAGGGTGTCTAATGAGGAAGTTAATGCGGCATACCGGCAGCGAAGAAAGGAAGCATTGGTCGGGCTATAGAAGAGAAATTTTGGGTCAGCATGAGTTACGATTGGGTCGATCGGGATATCTGTGGGTTGGAGTATTTAACATACCGACTGGCGCCGCGTATTTTCGTCCTAGTAGAGACATGGTCGAAGGCTGTGTGGGTGAGGGAGAGAGGGCCTGATGTGCGCCAGCTGGTGGGTGGGATAGATGGCTGAGATACGATGATGCTTGAGGTGTTTGTTCTGGGTTGCTGGCGAGAGATAGTAGAGGAAGGTATGTATCACGTGATATAGCTGTTTTAATCGATATTTACACCAGCTTCGATACATTGTTGACGATGTTCCGGCAAGGATAATGATAGACGAGAGATGGCGTCCTCACTCTCCTCTTCTGTATCTTCCCTACAGACGTCCCTCCAATTACTAGAGTCTTCAATCAATATTCTCGACGAGGGGGTAAATGACTTCCCGCGCATTTGCAAAGTGCTCCAGACCACACGGGTAAGTTCGCCTCGCGTTATCTCCGACTGCTAATAATCTTCCCAAAACAATCTAATAACAGTAACAATATTCAGCACTTCGAACTCCTTCCCGAGCCAACAGTCCGCGAAGCTCAGAAGGCCATTCATGATGAAATTAATCCAAGCATCGCACACCTTCTCTCCCTGGCCTCCAACCACATTGACAAGCTAGCCCGCCGCGAACAATCCCTCAAAGCTAAATGCGAGTTGCAGCAGGGTAGATTATCTCACGATGATGATGACGGCGACGACAACAATAACAATAACCCATTCGCTTCCCGACGAAGGAACAACTTGCAGCAGGCGAGAAAGCCGCTGTCGACAGGGAAGAATGTGATGGAGACAGCCGCGACGGCACGAGCGGCGGAACTGCGCAAGTTGGTGCAGAAAAAAGAGCGTCTACGATATACAGTTGAGAGATTGGAGTTGCAGTCGAAGCAGAGGGAGAGGCAGTTGAGGAAAAGTATGGCGGCGCAGTGAAGCGGGTCCGTTGCTGAGCGAGAGAAAAGGATCTGTTGGATGCAACCAAGCGCACAATGTGTTACGCTCAACTTATATTATGTGCGGGAGAGAAATGAGTCGTATTGTTTACGATATTATGTTCAATACGTCAGTAGGAAATACTCCCACGTGGATGGATCTTACGACGTCGACCGCATACATTGAACAGGGAGAAGATTGGTTTACCTTTCATGCGTATTCAAGCAGTTGTTGCACCATAAGCATGCATCGGTCTCGCCGCTATGAAGGCCATGCGGATAATGGGAGAACCGCGGTATCGGGATAGATGGACGGCTGGCGATTGGTGATGTCGGAGATGTCCTTGAAATTAACTATCTAAATTGTTATGACAAAACCGAGCCTGTTCGTCCCGGCTCGAGCAGCTCCAATTTTCCATAGACGAAGTCTGGGGTGAATAAGGACTTCATATCTTGATTAAAGATAACCATTCGGCAGTATGACTGCCGATACTCACTGTTGATCTTCACTTAACAACGTACTGAAGATATGGATTGGATGGTTGTTCCCTGCTTTGTTTGCCGGGGTGGTAGAGGAGGAAATATGGGGGAGGATTTAAACAACTTACAAAAGTTTAGGCGAGGAGGCAGAGCGTGGTTGCAGATGATAAAATTGAGAATCCTAGGAACATTGGTTTGATCTCAGATCTGTATAAATTATTTCGATGCAACGCAGATCGAGTGTACTCTCTATGGTATCGTATACGTACTGTACATGTGCTCATTTTATAAAGCATTCGAGCTGAGAGAAGATTCCACGCCATGACCCAAGTCCCCTGACAAAAAAAAAGGCACCGCCCCCAATCTAAGAAAGGAGAGAGCTAGTACCCTATCTATTATACATACGTGATATGGTCCAGCAAAAATGTGCAAAACAAACATTCTAAATCGGATCCGGTAGTCGTCCTATTTTTCCTCGATTCCACATCTGTAGATTGAAATTTCAAAACGCCGCCCGCCAATGCCCATCCAGTAACACAGTCCGCTCCGAATCGATCCATCCTACACTGTCCTTCCTGCGAAACGTGAAATTACACGCCTTCAAAATCGTTAATCCGCCTCGCCTTCCTCTCCTTCCGTACCTCCATCTTCTTCACCCAAGCCGGAACTTTCTTCCGCTTCTCCGGCTTCCTACTACTCCGCTCCCTGCGTCCAGAGGGATCCAGCCGGCCCATCGCCTCCCGGAGATCGTTCATTCCACGATCCTCCCCCTCTCCTTCCTCCATTACCTCTCCAGAAGTACCGGAAGTGCCAAGTTGATATTCCTCATCCGCCATATCGTCAGCCAACGATTGCTTGCGCACGCGCCTCTCAAACTTCTTACCGCCACTCTGATCATCGACGAAGCCAAGCTTGATGTTGCGTGGTGAGCGCGACTTGGCACCCAACGCCCATAGATCGCCCCAAGCGGACTTACGGGCGTCACGGTAGGCCTGTTTGCTAAACGAGCGTGGGACCGTCCACCGCTCAATCTTGCCTGCAGGAGTGCAGAGGTCTAGCGTGGAATGGCCTTGGCGCTTCAGCGGTGGGAGGATCAGTCGTGGGAGGGAGAGGGTGTGGAATGGGATTGTCTCCCCTGCAGCGTTACCTTCGACGTTGCCCACATCGATTGGGATGTTTTCGAATCCAGCAAAAGCCGCATCGGTTGCTCGTTGGCCCTGAATGATGCCGTGCGTCTCTCTCATATCAGTACCTCGTTGCACCGCGACGTAGCTGAATTTTGCGTCTTCATGGTTCGTGTCTTTGGCGCCCTTGATACGTTGTAGATACGGGGGCCGGATATAGCGTTGTTGGAAATGGCAAAAATCTTTGCGCGCGATTGACTTCCCTGGATTTGTATACATAGGGCACTTGGCGTGGGTGGTGCAAGGAGCTATGATCATCCCCTTTCCTTTCTGAAAAAATCTCTCGGACTCCGGAGATTGAGTTGGATTTTCATACTCAGTTGATCCGGGCGACGCAATCAATCGCTCAAGAATCATCTCGCGGGCACCCGCAATAGCCTCGAATCCCCGCTGAATCCCTTTTTCAAGAAGGATAAGCACCCCTCCATCCGGATTGAGAAGCGACCATAAATTTTCCACATGCTCCTTCCGGTGATAATCCTCACGTATTGGCCATATTGTATGTGGGGCGATGATGACATCGAACTGCTTGCGCTGTGGAGGAGGCCGTTCGTCAGCTGTTGTCAACTGGTCGCGCACGTGCACATAATCGGGCAAGCGGGGAAGGAATGTGGTGTTCTCCAACAACTGGCTCGCTCTATGTCGCAACGCGTGGGATCCTGTTACAACTGTCGACCTCCCGAACGGGATAGGGCTGCCTGGTGGCCTGTTGGGGGACATTAAGGACCATTCAGCCTTCAACACTTCCCTCCAGGCTAGAATTCCTGCTCCACCTCCTCCGACATCAAGAACCCTCGGGCCATCCTTTTGAGCCATCAAATCGCGAAGCCATTTCGAGCCTAGCCGTTTGCGCACTTCGACAAGAACAGGAAGTACCGAAGCGTATATACCAGGGTAGAGGACCGCAAGGAAAGCATGACTTTCTATCTCTGACATGATACGCTGTCCTGCATCTAGCTGGATAGGGGTTGGAGGGATGTTCTTGGGAGGGGTAGACGTGGAGTAGGGCAAATTTGCCCCACCAAACAGTCTGTGTGCAGTTTCTGCGAGATGTTTGTTGGAGTAAGCTGAAAGCATACGGGATATCGGTTTCGTCATGCTGTCATAAGGTAGAAATAAGGTTTTGGTTCCGGTTGTGAATTTCCCCTCCGTGGTAAGCGGATGCGTTCGCGGACCACTGCTATCAGCGTGGTCATCTTCGGAAACCACCTCTGAATCAGTAAACGGTACAACTTCCCCGCCTAGCATTTTTGCTATCGAGCTTGCTCGATCCTCCAGGGACATTTCACTGTAATCCACTTCGGTTTCGGTGTTATTTTCGTATTCCGTAGCCATTGCAAGATTGTGCTCCGTCTCTTCCTCCACGGCTGTATTTGCGCTGGGTTGTTCGATCTCAACCCATCCTCCTTCACCGTCATCTCGAAATAGCTGGTCTGGTTCCGGCCCATCCTCAACGGTGGTGGCAGCCTCTTCCATAGGTAGCGGTTCGCCATATAATGTTTTATACAATTGCATCTCTTCTTCACTTAACATGTTTTCCGGAAGAGAATCACGGAATTGCTGCCGGACCCTCACGACCTTGGCAGTCAACTCTGCTTCATTTCGATGACCAACAATAGCGGTAACAGTATCCACCAGGTCGAGGTCTTCGGAGTAAACAAGGTGAGGGAATGCGTCGACAAGGTCCAGTTCTTGTAAGCTTTGTACAATGTCATCTTCCGCTTGATATATATTTTCGATTACAGCAAATAAAGCCTCTTTTGATGACTTCGCAGCGAGGTCGTCGTTGGTAGCGGCGGCAGCGGCAGCGGCAGCGGTGGAGGTAAATCTTTGTTGAGTAACATTTTTTTCTTTTCGGACTGGTGCCTGGTATTGCCTTTGTATAATAGTAGTAGTTAGAGATCGACTGGAAGGGAAATGGTGGTGATTCGTCCTGCGAACGTGTGATGTGAATTGTTGCTTTTGAGAAGCTTGAAGCACTTGCAGAGAGAAGGGCTGGACCCAAGCTTGAGAACATGCTGTGCAAACGGTCCTCGACGATCGTTTGGAGAGCATAGCTTGGCTGGTGCAACGGCAGTCTCAGCTACGAAAATTGAAATAAAAAAAAAAAGCACAGAAAAAATGATAACTGAGTATTTCGCAAGAATCTCGATCTCCGACGGTTGTCAAAGAAATTTTGGCGCGAATCACGTGGTAAATTACATAATATTGATTTGAAACCCTTTGATTGGTTGATGTTGTCCAGCCAATAGAAATCAAAGCTACAAGCCATGAACAAATCACTCATTATCCGTGTCGTCTTGCTCCATGACAACTGCTAGAGCTGTTTTCCACCTTGAAACTTCATGCCCGAGAGCTGTCAGCTTCGCCATGGCAGATAGCAGGCTCGGGTCCTGACTCTCTACTCTAGCCTTCTCCTTCACTTTAACCTCCTCCCCTTTCCAACTGAATACATCTCCTGACTCGTCGTGAACGGGATGTCGCGGTCCAAAGAGGCGGTCTCGCAGGGAGAATCCGCTGAGTGAAATCTCAGGTGCAAAGGATGTTGTTGGTGTGTCGCCAGGAGATATGGGCTCGAGTGTTCGTAGATTTAGAACTAGAGCAGCTTCGGAGATGGAAAGATGAAACGACATATAGGGCGGGAGTGGGGGGTTAAATGACTATTATCTCAACAAAATGCTCGTGCGGTTAAAAAATAAAACAGTAAAATCAAAAAAAGGGGGGGGGAGGACAAAAAGGAGGAGAGGCTAGAACATACATTCTTATCCACGCTATCTTCGTTCCAGAGTTTTTTTGATTCTTCACCTTCCCCTTTCAACGTCAACCGAGCCTCACTGAGGTTATCATACAGCAATCGCAATTGGCCCGCTATGAAGCTGGCATTCATGGGATCACCAGTCCATGTGCTGACGTCTATCACATCAAGACTCTCGTTGACTAGGCGACGCACAAGCACGAGCTGACGAAGTGCTATCTCCGGCCCAGTAGCATCATCGGAAATTGTCAATCTTGTGGAATTAGACCCTTTGGGAGGGGTCAACGATTGTAAACGTAATTGGATGTCCTGGGATATAACAAGCGTTTATTAGACAGCGTTGACTGGGGGGCTGTTTTATGTCCCCTCAAGTAGCCAAACGAATGTCGGAAACAATAAATCTATCAACAAACAATACCCACCCCTTTTACAATCTTGGTCCCGACCCTCGTTACAAACCCCTTCACATTTTCGGACCGCAACGAAGATAGAACCAGCGTAGAACCTGGTTGTGAAGGTGCTAAAAGCGCCGCACACTCCTGAAGACCTTCCCGCAATGAGGCCAAAGATTCTTGCAGAGAGCCCAGGACCCATTTCAACTCTCGGGCCTACTAGCACGCGGAGAGTTAGTACTGGTAGCGAAAGTGACAGGTAGATTGGTAGGGATGGTTTTGAGTTTACCAATGAGGCATCTTCCTCCTTCTTCAGTTGATCTGGCGGGAGTTGTGGATATGCCCACGTGGCCATAATTGAGTACGCAATCAGAAAAGGGATCGAATCAAAAGCAGGTGTCAAAGCTGGCACCAACTAGATCCTTGATATTAGCAGCCTGAGCCGAGTATAAGAGCACTACAAGTAGACTCGTTGACGTGTACACCCACCGAACAAAAAACTCGAGCGGGAACCGGAGCAGAGCGGACAGTAGCGAGCACCATCCGCGAACACCAACAACAACAGCCCGGTATCGTATCGGTGTGGCGGCTTCCTCTGGCGGCGGACTGACAAACAAACTGACAGACCAACCCCGACGTCATAGAAGCAGACACAAGCAGAGGCAGGTTTGTGCTGGGCAGCAAGGCCTTACTTGATCGGGACGCGTGGCCCAGAGCCGACTCGCACCAGTCCCAATGCGGCTGAAGCTCAACCCGAATAAGGTTTCGGGACTAGTCGTCTCCAGTTAGCGTGGCCGTGGGCCGAAGCTTGATCGGCAGCTTCCAAGGTTCCCGAGGTCTTCTGCGCTTCCGCAGATCAAAGGGCTGGACCCATTATGTCATCGCGAACACTAACTATTCGCAGGGAAGGCTTGCTGGGCCCCGGTCAACTCCCCCATTTGCTGCCCTGCTCTTTGCCTCTGAATCGCTTTGAGATGCTGTCTTACCTTGTCCCGTATCCTCCTCCTCGATCTCTCCATCTGTTTCTTACAAGAATAGCACCTACCCTACCAAGTCGTGTTAGGATTTTTGCTCAAGAAATCAGGAAAGGAGACCAGAGACCACGGTCCTTGGTTTAGATCAAGGAATAGCCAACTTGCTTCGTTGGTTAGCTGGGTTTTCAAAAACAGCAGACTCTTCGACACTATGGGTGCAGGCAGTGCGTTCATACTCTGCTCCCCAATGCCAAAGCCAAGTTTCATGGAAGCCAGGTGCTAACGTTGGGTCTGCCAGGACCACTTATCGCCCTACTGGGCCTTTTGTTCACGGCTGGAGCCTTTATCCTCATGATGCTCACACTAATAGGCGGATCGCGGAATACCAACCCTCTCAATCGTACGTGGTTCCTCGAGGCCGATACGTCGAACATCCCTGGGGCACCAGAGACATCGAGATGGACTTTCTGGGGCGTGTGCGGTGTCTCCGATGGGAAAAATGACTGTCATGGCACTACAGCCGCTTTTCCTCTTGATCCGCCATCGTCGTGGAATTTCGACACTACCGACGGTGTGCCTCCTCAGTTTATCGGGTATTATATCCCTCTTCGTATCCAATGCTTCTCTGCGTGTGCACCTTATGTGCCCACGAGGCGCTGTATGATTTAATGATGGAGAGAGACCATAACTATATATACATATATACATACTATCCATGCACAGCATAGAAGGTGTTCGCATAACTAACAAATAATAACAGAACTAGTCGATATTTCTATATCACACGGTTCATGTTCGCGTTCATGTTGATCGGCGTCTTTTGGGTGGTTTTGTCGCTGTTCACTGGGTTGTTGGCTCTTTGCACGCGCATTGGGGCCTGGATCTCCGCTTTCTTCGCCGTGCTCGGTCTTATTTTCCAGATACTGACATCTTCTTTAATGACGTATGGTTCACTCTCCCGATACGAAATCTTTCTTCCCCATTTTGAACCCCAGACAAAAGCAACTCTCTCGTGAAATGAACATGTTTTCCTCTTCAGGGGATACTGACTTATGTGTGTATCAACAGTGCCGGATATGTCAAGGGACGCAATAACTTCTCATCAAACGGCCAGCCGGCCAAAGTCGGGCCAAACGCATTTGCGTGGATGTGGACGGCAGTAGCACTCCTCTTCCTCTCCAGCTGTCTATATTGCGTATCTGGGACTGGAAGGTCGAAGCGGCGGGCCAATGCTACCGCTAGTGGAGCTACGACGGGACATGAACGGAGAGGGTTCTTCAAATCCCACGATACACAGCGGGCTCGCACTGACGGCGCGGTTGACAAGGGTTACGCGTGAGGATGGAGGGTGCCAGGGCTCATATAGCCTTTTATCGAAATGATCTGGCTGAGGAAGATGATGAAAGGGATGGAAGGGGAAAAAAAAAAAAAAAAAAAAAAAAAAAAAAAACTACTCTCGTGTCGAAATACTTTATTTGGATTGGATTGGATTAGCGAAGGATTCACCCCACCCTCGTTTTTTATTTCATCGCACGCATTCTATATGTTGTTTAACATAGCTTAATTTCTGCGTTGGAAATGGGCATTCGTTTTGAGCTCGCATCGTGTCCCCGTCCCCGTCCCCGTCCCCGTCCCCAATGCATTCGAAATCCTTTTCGTGTCTATCCTTGGAAAAAAGTTACTTGCTGATCAATTGGAAACCAATTTTTTCAAAAAGCACTCTCGCTATCAAAATCTCAAGCACTGCCACAACCACAACCGCAGCGTATGGCGTTGGACACTTGGCTGGCTTATTACTTTCCACTTTTGAAGGTGTCGATTAAACGGGCCTTTTTTGCCTTCTAATTTCGCCGGAAGGGGTTTTGAGATGTGGTTATTTCCGGTAAACTAGGAGGGATGTTGGTCTTTGGATTTTGTGATTCACTTGTTTACTTACTAGGGGAAAATATGTATGTAACTTATTTTTAACATCCTGAAAGGAAAGGTTAAAAAAAAAAACAAAACAAAACAAAACAACCATAAAAAAAAAGGTTACCCAAGGAACAGGCTAACACATACATTATCTATTGCTCTAAATGCCTTTTTATTTATTATTAAAATGGATGCAAGGCGGGGTTATGGAGGGGGAAGGGGGGATAGCCCGACGGAGTGAGTAACAGGAAACGAGGAATTTGTGCATATCAGGGCATATTTTATAACGCGAAACAGGAAGAAGAAAGAAAGAAAAACGAACCAACAAACCATTTATGTACTTCCATTCTCCACTGGCTTCGGCGCATCCACCAGAACCCGAACACCATCCTTTCCACCAACTTCCCGACCCATTATTTGGACAGCCAGCTGCTCGCTCACGCCTACCATCACCTCCACTTTCCCATTGGCCTTGACGCCCCTGATGGCAAATTCCGCAATAGGTTTCGAGACCTTCCAGACCGCTTCTCGAATCTCCTCCTCCTCCTCCTCATCGTCATCATCGGAGTCGAAGTCTGAATCGACGTCCTCATTGTCATTCTCGCCGCCGGCTTCCTTGGCAGGCTGCTTCCGCTTGGGATCCGGTTTCGTAACCTTGATCTCGCGAATGCCCTCGCAAACACGGACGAGGACGTCGCCGCCGGCCTTGGGGACGGCGTATCGGGCAGTGCGTCGGGCGGGGAGGGCCGTCTCGGCATTGAGGAGCGGTTTGAAGATGGCGTGTGCGTCATCTGTTGCGGAGATGAGTTGGATGCCGATGGCTTTTTCGAGGTGGGGGGTGACGGTGACCATTGGGTGGGTCGATTGCTCAATGTCGTCCTTTTCAAATTCTTCGATTAGGGAGGCTTGGATGGCTGCGCCTCGAGCGGACAGGTCGGATGGGTTGATGGCGGTTGGCGATGTGGCTGGCGCAAGCACTGTTGTTGTGGCGGGGAAGAGAGATTGAACGAGCCGTGCGATCTTTGGGGTGTGGGATGTTCCTCCGCAGAGGATAACCTGTTTTGGAATTGTGAGTTAGCTAGGAAGTCTCTTGAATAACTGGATGTTTTTCCAAGAGAGAGCAGCTAACCTCATCAATATCAAGGATGTCAAGATCAGCCTTTTTCACGGACTCTTCGATAAGCCGGGTAAAGTTTGCAAACACTTTGCCGGACAAAAGCTCATATCTCGTTCTGTTGACAGTAGAGCTGAAGTCAACTCCACTCGCAAGACTTTCTATACTCAGAGTGGCATTGGTACCCAGACTTAAAGATTTCTTGGTTAGTTCCGCTTCTAATTTCAGCTTGGCCAAACTCCTAGCATTTTCCCTTGGGTCCACCTTATGCTTCTTTATGAACTCCTTGGAAAAATGATCAATCAAAACTTGGTCCAATTGGGCGCCTCCCAGCTCATAATCATGAGCAGTTGCAAGGATGGTGTACATTCCGCCCCGCGACGCAATGACAGCAACGTCTGATCTCGTGCCTCCAAAATCAGCCACCACGACTAGCTTGTCCTTCACTACAGCCTCAGGGCGAGCGTCATATGCAAGTAGGGAAGCAACGGGCTCTGGGATAAATTGCAAAACTTCAATGCAAGCATCCTTGGCTGCTGAGGTCAAGGCCGTGCGTTGAGCATCTGAGAAGTTTGTTGGGACTGTGAAAACGGCGGCATTAACGTCTTTTCCTAGGAATTCCGATGCAGACCGTCGGAGACGACGAAGGTGGCGGGTGGTTATTTCTGAGACGGTCACTGTGCTAGGCTCTGCATTCGTGGTATCGTGGATTGTAAAGGCTACCGTGGAGTCATGCAATTGGGGGTGAGCAGACGCATGGCAAGGAGTAGGATCTATCGATTTAAAGCTTTGATTGGCGATATTAGTTTAAAATCTAATCTGGTTGTAGAATATGATTACCCGGGATTGAAACAAGGTGGGGAACAAGTATTTACTCTTTTCCTAGGAAATCTCTGAAATAAGCAACCGTGTTGGAGGAATTTCGGATTAGCTGTATCTTGGCCTGGTTTCCATGGTATTCCTCTGCATCAACGTAAGAAAGAATGGAGGGAATATGGCGATCTACGCAAACTCCATTAGTCGCTGAGGATCAAGAGGTTCTGCGGCGGGTCCGAGTGCAAACGTACCTCCCTCCTCATTAGCTATGACTTCTGCTTTTCCCTCCTTTAAAGTAAGAAGAAGAAAGAAAAATTATGATCAGCAAATGCTTTACTTCAAGATATTAATACCGCAATCATGTCACTTACTGGTGATGTATACGCAATCGAGCTGTTAGTGTTTCCAAATGATAATCCGATGGCGCATCGCTCGGCATTCTCGGGAGAAACCCCGTTAGTCTCTTCGCTCATGGCGTTGTTAAAAGGTAAATACGGCCGGTATACACAAGGAACTAGCGGAGAGGAGAATAAGTACAAAGGCTGCTAGATGTGATTTGTGTTTGGTTTTTTTTTTCTCGCTGTCGGGCTGGGATTATCTAGTAAAACTGCTAGAAATTTTTTGGCAAAAAATCTTCAGGCGAAGGTTGGGTAGGGAAAAGTAGCCGCATTCGGTGCAGCTATCGATAGCACGAGCAAACAAAGCAAACATGCGAACCGATCATGTTCAACTCGCTCTTCAAGCCAGTCAATCCAATAAATCCATCGTCAGAAACACAATACCTGGCTAAGGTCTTTGCTTGATACCCACTTGCAGTTATGACGAAGCCAAATCCCTACCCCGAACTGAAGTTCGAGAAGAAAAATAAAAATATGCGAAGGGTCCCCAGCTGTACGTATTCAAACTTCGCGTTGCAGTGCCACTCCATTGAATCTGCTACTAAACAACAAACCTTCGCCGTCGGTAGATGCACGGATTCAAAAGCGGCCAATCCCGCATCCACCATCTGCCTCTCCTTATGCCGGCGCGAAAGTTCCTAAAGTAGTTTATGTTTCAACCAAGACACCATTTATGAGCGCCGCGAAGCGCGTGCAGAAACTGCTCAAACATGCAGAAAGACGGGCAACAGCTAAGATCGATCTAAGTGAGAAAATTAGCGAGAAACAGAAGCTCACACAGCTTACTGAGAGTGCTGATGATCTTAAAAAAGAGGAGGTTTTCATCAAAGCGACAGGGCGAGCTATAGAGAAGGCGATGAGCATTGGGAATTGGTTTGCGGCAAAAGAGGAGTACGCGATTAGGGTGAATACTGGGGCCGTGATGGTGGTGGATGATATTGTGGAGGATGATAAGCTTAAGCGGAAACAGGAGGGGATAGAGAAGGATGAAAAGGAAGCTGTTTCTGGCACTCCTAAAGAAACGCCAGGTGAAGTTTGTGTCAACCCAAAGTCCGCAGATGATGTAGACAACTGCAATGTTGCGTCATTACAAAAATCGAAACCCTCAACAAAAAAAAGGAAACGAAAGAATGAGGCCGTCGACTCAACGGGAGAACTGCTAGAATCTCGAACACGTTGGGTGAATATGGTAGAGATTGCAGTCACGTTGAAATGAGGGTTCATCGGCTAGGCTAAACCTTTATACGCCCTATCCAACGGCACAATTTATTGGGGAATGCCGATTACTGTTTCCCCATCATGTCCATATCTGGACTTGATATATCGATGTGCCCCACAAGTCCCCAATACAGTACTGGACAGAGTGAAGCTTGGATGCTGGGAAGCGCCGAACATTTTCGTCAGAACCTATTAACTTTCATCAGGAACATGGGGACATATTGTATATCTAGCGCCTTCTAGGTGTTTAAGAGCACGGTAGCGTTGCGGTCCGCTCCCGAAAATTCGTTCGGACTTGCCGCCCTCTATGTTTCTGAAATGGACGGTGAAAGAATCCATAGATGGCAGAGCGGACAAGGTCCTATCCTGTCTTAGCAGAATTTAACCTCCCCTGAACCACAAATAGGCGCGAAACACGCGGACGCGGAAATAATTCACAGAGGACACTTGATTCCTGGGGTCCACCAAGAGAAACCATATTCACTTGTCGTGGATGGACTCATATCTGGCTGATCTTGGAGTTGATCACTGTATGCTATGTATGTACTGTATTTGGTCGCGTGCCGCTACCTCGTGGTTTCCAGAGCTAAATTTAATGTGGCGGAAACGAGCTTCATCGTAGCAATGTTGAAAGCAGAAACTTTTTCTTTACTGTCTTCTCCGAGAAATAAATAAGTTAATATATAAATTAATACATAAGGAAATAAGGACCGATGAATAACGAAACGAGACTAAATCCTTCTGACCGACCGCCCGCCTACGAAGATATAGAATCGCACCACTACGAACGATCCACACCAGAGCCATTACCTCATGCCCACCCTCGACTTCAATCCCAATCAACTCCATATCTTCATCTTACCGCACAACTTCCTCCGCCAGTCCTTTCCGATATAACCCTAGATGGCACCTTAATTTATCCAACGACACCACCAGCCACTGCCCTCTATGCGATCTCCAATAACCTCAACTTGGACTACAGTACAATATCAGTATCCCGGCTGGAGCCCCGACGCTCCAGCACCGGCGGCCTTAGTCCAAACCTCAACCCGCGGGATAAGATCATCTATAAATTCACACGTCCAGTGATGTCTGAGACGGTGGAAATTATCGGCCAACGCCGCAGCACCCTGCCCGGAATTCTACTACTGAAATCCACCCGACAGCTGCTGAAGACGGGATGGGCGTTATGGCATGTGTATAAGAACACGGAGTCGATGGTGTTTCGTGTAAAGCCGAAGCGGAATCCGGAGAAGCATGAAGTGCTGGAGTGGCAGGATGGGTGTGGAACTACCGTTGCGATTGAGACTTTGGCCACCGATCTGGACGATGTTCAGCGTGATCGTAGTCGAGCACGGCGGCCACGATTGCAAATTGTCTCTGCTACGCCGCTAGATGATATAATGACGGATGTCCTGGTGACGGCGTGGTGTGCGCGGATTTGGATTACGTTTTAAGGTTAAACAGGAGGCTGGGAGGGAGAAGCATATTGCCGGCATGTTTTAACGATTTATTGTTTTTTCCTAATGTCTCCTCCTGCTTGATGGCCTTGACTTGTGCATCCTCGATAAATTTGACTTTCGTACTCTAGCTCTGGGTTTAGATCGTGAATTGGTGAAACAGCGATTGGGTTATGCTTTCGAGTGAGCAAGTGGGACGATGTATGAGCCAAAGCCGAGAAAATGTTGCTGTTTCTGTCCATTGTGTGTTTTCTATTTCCCCTTTCGAAGAAGAATATGTATATTACCCAGAGAAGATAGAAGTCGATGTTTCAATACGACACAGGGGCGATGTGAATATTAAGTACCATGGGTATTTTTATTCTGACTGGCTGAACGAGCACTATGTGGTGATCTGTATGGATTCGCTGGAAATCTCAGGGACATTAGACCAGAGATCGCTGCTCAAACGCTAATGTCATTGTTTATAATACAAAAAAAAGTAACTCCAATATAAACCCCGCAGTCCAAAAAGGCAAAGACCACCAAGATATATATCTGATATAGATTTTTCGATGATCGCGAACACCTTCACAATCCCATCTCCCTCAACACGACCCCAACTAATTTCCTCTGCTCCGAAGTCCCAAGCCTTTTCTCATCCGTCTCCCTCAAACATCTCCCCACCGCAACTATAGTCTTAACTGCCTTCGCCGCATCCACATCTCCACCGCCTCCCTTCCTCGCAACCGGGCAATCTACCCAAACCTTCCCATTCCTCCCAACTGCAATCTCAAACCCGCCATGGCTCTCCAATCTCGACCCCAGTTCCTCTAACACCATAACCCCACTAACTCCTTCACTGCCACCCCTCAACGACAACCTCTCCGCCAATCCCGTAGAGATATCAAACACCATCCCACCAGCCAACGGCCCCAGACCACCAGGCTCCGCCTTCCCCGTAGCCGGGTTCACACATGTAAGCTCCACCTCCCCCGCATTGCCCAAGCCGGTAGATAACACGCGCGCGTACACGAGGTCACCGTGTTTAAGGAGCGGGCGGGTTTTGCGCGTCGCGCCCTCGAATGCTAGCTGGCCCAAGAGCGCGTACGGGGTGTGCGGGGTTATGTTGCAGTGGAAGTAATCGACGCTAGAGTGGTGGATTTGGGCGATCAGAAAGTCATTGGGGGATGGGATGTAGCGGCGTTGGGGGAATGTGTGGAGCGTTAAAACGTTTCGTTTGGGATCGGTTGTTAGGAGGCCAGCTTGGGTTGCCGTTATTAGTGCAGTGCTGTTTTTGTTGGAGGAGGGTGTTTGGAGCGTGCGTAGGCCTGAGGAGAGCTTGGTGGTGGTAGCAGGATGGCTTGGTTGTTGATGAGGGTAGGAGATTGGATCTCCTGGAAGTAGGAGTAGGTAGGATTGGGATGCCATTTTGAATTGATCTAGTTATTATTCAATCAACGTTGCTGGATCAAGTGCTGCGGGGAAGGAATCGGCGGACACTTTGCAGAAGGGATGGTTTGTCGTCAACCAAAGCGTTGTTCCTGCGGCAATTAGAAATTAAGTGATAAAACTGCCTTGGCCACCATGTACTTCTTTGTCCAGCGTCCAACAGAGAGAGGGATTGAATAGCGGTTAGCGATGCAAGGAGTCGACAAATCGGGTAAATTGGGGGTGTTGAGATATTAGCTCTGAAGAGGTAAAAGCTTGGCTCCTGAAGGTTCGTTATCGATAAGGGCTTGCATTGTCACGTGGAATTACTGGCCCTGCCTGTCTTGGCAGAGACCCCTTCGGAGCAGCTCTTGGGTGCCGACAGAATTTACCTCGCTACCCTTTTGTTGCTTCGGTGCAAATTGCCAGTTGCAGCACTTAGGTAGCTAGAGATCTACTTCCGCGGAGCAGGGGAGATTCATAGAATTTGAAGTTCGCCATGGGAGGGCTCATATACTACAAGGCCGACTATTTCCTTTATCTAAGAACAAAACAAAAACGCTAGCCCCTGGCGATTTGTTTGTATAGTAGAATCAAATTAGACACAATATCCACAGATAAGCGGTAAACATCCATGCGTCACGCAAACATCCACAAGCCCAAGAGAGAAAGCGGGATCCTATATCTTTCTAATGACGAGGCTCACAGAAAGGACATAACTGAAAAAGACAAACGAAATCATGAATACAAAGAGAAAGCACCAGCAGTACATATAGAATACAATAAAGACGTTAAACGGCACAAATGCCACAATATACAAAACATTGACACGTAGGGGACTAGACGCATTGCAGGGATCGGACACGGCACAGTAGAGTACGGGAGAGCTCCAACTCTCAGAGCGTAGGTCCCGGGGTTAAATCTGAGACTACACCTGTTCAAGCAATGAATGTTCTCTTGCTAAAAGGGAAGCGTCCCCTAGCGCGACCAAAAGGGAATCTGTTTGGAAGCTGGCCTCTGCCATTGCCCCGGCCATTTTCGCCCCTTCTACCCTGACCTCCTCTACCCTGACCTCCGCTACCCTGATTGTTCTGGCCGTTGTTCTGACCGTTGTTCTGACCGTTGTTCTGACCGTTGTTCTGACCGTTGTTCTGACCGTTGTTCTGGCCGTTGTTCTGACCGTTGTTCTGGCCGTTGTTCTGACCGTTATTTTGACCGTTATTATTGTTGTTGTTCCCTTGACCCACAGTAAAGCGGATACAATCATCTTGGGCACCACGTTGAGCAACCTAGACAATAGAAAATCAGTTCACAGCTACGCTGGGGGTAGGTAATATTGCCAGAGTACTCACAGGCATGATTACGGGCTGGTGGTTACTGGCCGAATTAATAGTACAGAGACGGTAGACGCCAGCGGGGAGGCCGCCGTTAACCTGAGCGCTGAGTCCACCCTGCCCGTTACCGGGATCATTGATGCCCTTGAAGAAGACGAAATTGTCGGGGTCTGGAGGGTTCTGCGCGTTGATATTATTTCCAAGACTTTGGATCGTGACGTGACTGTGCCCCTGGACCTTCCCTCCAACTAGTTGCTGCGGAGCCGAGTAGTAAGTGACATCAGGGTTGGTGAACGAGCCAGCCACGAGATTGTCAACTTGAACGTCGACATTGAAACTCTGATTTTCCTGGAGGTCTTCACCGTTCTTAGGGTTTAAAATGATGGCGGAAATCATATTGTTGCGGGAAGGGATGTCGCCCATAACTGTTTAATTCTGATTAGGAGCTAGCACTTCGGGCAATGTACAGTCTGTAATATACAGCGGGGTGTCAACACACTTACCAATGCCATTGCAAGAACCACCATCCAGTTGAAGACCGTTGGTCAATGTCTTGCCAGTGCAGAAATTGATAAAGTTGGCATCATCACTTTGTAGATCATTAGCATGTTTCTCTCTTGTGGGGTAAATATTGCAATTCTCACGTGAGAGAGGCAGATTGTCCTTTTTCGGGATTGGCGGCTCCGTCGCTCTTGCTAGCCTCCTGGACGTTGTTCTGGCTGAGTAGAAGCTGATTATTGTTTCCGCCATTGTTTCCGCCGTTGTTCCCGCCATTGTTGCCGCCGTTGTTCCCGCCATTGTTCCCGCCATTGTTTCCGCCATTGTTTCCGCCATTGTTTCCGCCATTGTTTCCGCCGTTTTGCCGCTGACCTTGGTTACCGCGGCCACCTTGTCCGCCCTGGCGCCGACCACCTCTACCTCGTCCGAATGGGAAACCTTGCCCGAATCGGAAACCCTGCCCACCCTGCGCCTGAACTTCTTGACCTTGCGCGGCCTGGTCATCTTGACCTTGCCCGGCTTGGGGTTGACCATCTTGACCTTGGCCATCTTGACCTTGTCCGGCTTGGGGTTGGCCATCTTGACCTTGGCCATCTTGACCTTGATCATCTTGACCCTGGCCATCTTGACCTTGGCCATCTTGACCTTGTCCGGCTTGGGGTTGACCATCTTGACCCTGGCCATCTTGACCTTGACCATCTTGACCTTGTCCGGCTTGGGGTTGGCCATCTTGACCCTGTCCGGCCTGGCGTTGGTCATCTCCACCACCTTGGGCAGCGACTTCAGCCTGGCCACCATTCTGACGAGCTCGGAGATCCGCACCGACAACTACATCGAGAAACCCGGACGAGAGAACCAAAGCAAGCAAAAGGTTTTTGTACAGCATGCTGTGAAACGTTGCTGTGAGGTTTGAGAGTAGCAATAAGATTTCTGAACTCAGATGGTCTTCAAATTTCGGAAGGAAGGTAAAAGGTGATTTTATCACAGGATGTGTACCGCGCCACAAAATATATGTATAAAAGGTGCACCGCGCCCCGAATATAAAGAATGTAATAATATGCGATGTTTGTAAGGAATATTCCACGATCAACGTGGAATTATTTCAAAAATGAATGATGAAATTTCTCTTTATCGAGTGCGGGAGGACGGGGGGTAAAGAAAAAAGAGTGCAATCCCTCAAAACGACCATATGGACATTTGAAGCACCAAGATTGTGTATGGAGGGAAGGAGAATGGCAAACACATACAAAAAAAGGAGAGAAGAGAGAATGGAGATCAAAAATGTATAGATATGTAGAACAAGGGAAAAAGAGAAATGTAGGGCTGTACAACAGCCGCCAAGGCGGCTATATATGAATGATCGATATGAAGAACCCATATCGAACGCATGAAGCAGGAGTGCTAGAGTGAAACTACAGTGACATCCAAGCTGTCGCAGGGCCGACTGGGCACGGATGTCAAGGGGCACCATGATGCAGGCTGACAGGAGAACCATTTCAGTCATATCCGCTAAGGGTTGGGTTTAGCCAGGTTAGTGAGATCTTGCAGGTTTTGGGTGCTGAGAACATGGCCTCTGGGATTGTCGTTGAGGATGGTGAGGTTGAAGTCCGGAGGGAGGGTTTGAGGTTGATAGAAGGTTGGCAGATGCGGCTTAGCGTGGGCGGCTCCGGCTGGCATCGTCCAACACTAACTGCCGCACCTCAGCATGGAGCCAAGCTTCTTCAGACGTCCGTCGCTTGGGCAGCGTTATGCTCTGTGTCAATGCCTCCTGTTTCTCCTCTTGACATATCTTCTCTTGTCAAAGAATTCTCCCTCTATTTCTCGTTTTGTCTGTCGCTCGTCCTAAACCCTCCACCCAGCTTTCGGCGACGAAAGAGCTGAGCCTTCACACAAAGCATCCGCCACACCGAACTAGGAGGTGCTCCGTTCCATATTGTCAGAATCTCGTTTTGCGGCGCACTCATTGTGGGGACTCTGAAGGATGACGGCGACAAAACAAGCTAGAGCAGCAGGGTTTTTACCTCAGATGCTCCTTTTGGCATTTCAGGGAATACTTGAGCGGTCCATTTCTTCCACATCGGGCTCACTGATCCCACTTCCTCCCTGTATTTTGCCTGATCCGGAGATCTTGTCTTGCATTGGTGCGGATGAGCTTGCAGTTGTGAACTGATTTCTACAGCCCTGTGTTTGACCTTTCGACCGCTAGTGCTACCTGGTTAATTAAACTCTATGAACCACCTTTATCCCCCCCGATACTTTTTTTTTGTGCTCTTTATCTCTGAACCCTCCACGGAGAATCTCTTCCAAATTCAAAGAATACAGAGGTATCGAAAGCTGTCACCCATCGGAAACACTACTGGCGTTGATTGCAGGGAGGCCTGTCTGAGATCATTGCTCTGGAGCTGCTTTCATGACATTCTCTTGGTTCAATGTCCCTTGCTTGACTTCCCTTGAGCTGGGAAATAATTTAGCTAAACATCGAGCGGTCCTGCACCCGGGGCCAAGGCATCATCAGATTGCTGTAGCTTCGCAGGAGTCCCGTCAAACTGCGAAACAAATCAATGCATCAATCATTTCAAACACTGCTTATACAGTACATGTTAGGACCAAAATTCGTCCTCGACATCCTTCTATGGACAAGATTTTCTTTTCAAAGCGTTTCCTTCAAAAACCTATGTCCTTCCGCATCCTGCCACAATCTGACTTTGCCAAGATTAAACAAATGAACATTTCCTTTTGCCGCCGAAGACAACGTTATCGAAGTGGGCCATGCACAGGACGAATAACTCCTTTAAATTCCAGTCTTGGGCGCCTAAATGCATAATGCAGATATTATTAAGCGTCCCTTGCTTCGGATTGTTATATCTGCCGATATCCCTTGAGGGGTTTTGGGCACAAACAAACAGGGTGTTAAGTTCCCTTCCACATCTAAAACGCAGCCAAACGCAAGATGAGTAGATGAGCGAATGAAGTAATAGAATTTCCACAGTTAAACCCTATCCGTCTAAGGACTCGTAAACAGATATCTGCTTCAGAAATTGAGGTGAAACGTCAGGTATTCGACTCCGGGCAGAAATATTAAGGGGCGGAGCAAATCCTCCCATCGCCCAGTAGGGCTATTTACCATGAGACCCCCTTTCTTATCCTGGCAGCTGGTAGACGAGGAGATTGCGGCATATAAATACGTAGTATCATATACCCCGACCCCGCGCGCAGCCAGAAACCAACCCCGCAGTTCGGTCCGGCTGGCCTCATCTCCTCGCAGGGTGAAAGGGCCGGTCGTTCTGGGGACATAGGCTGTCATGCCCTATCTTTTACTTGCAAAGCAGGTATTTATTTAGTTGAAAAGGATATATGCACTTTTCCGCATAATCCGGATGACACGGGACTCGAATAAGAAGAAGAAGAAGGACAAATACAAATACAATTATGAGGTATAAAATTAGTGTATTAAGGAGTTGGTGGATTCCCTCCCTCCCCGTCCCTTGAGCGGGCCACTTCGCTTTTCATACATAAGCATTCTTGCAGTGGGTAACTAGCAGCTATAGCTTCTTGGGCATCTATATGCGGCGCGTGTGCCGTACGTTACTAGTGTGTATGCGACGTAGCACATGTGCGTGCGACTCCGAAGTTAAATCGCTTATGGATATTGATTGTATTGTATTTGATTCTGCCATTGCCATTGCACGAACGTTACATGAGGGGCTGGGTAATACCTCTAAACAGTGACATAAAGTCGTGGACCCCCCGAGGCAGCAGGCATGCATAGTACATGTATAAACATATAGTTAGACCCATTGTCCTGGATAGGAAGTTGAATGTATGGACTACGAAAGGGTTGTATAATAATATTTTTATCTTCTTGTTGTCCCTGTTGGCTACTATTTTACGATGTGTAAAAAAGCGAGGAAGTTGGATATTTTCAACCGGGGGGGAAGGGAATGAGGACCTTTTTAGTCATGTGCGAATATGCGTATCTTCTGCTATCCAGCTCCATACGTATAGGTTGAAAGCTTATGCAGGAGGTAACGTAGTAATGGACAGTGCTGACTGTGGAGATAGTAGGTGGTTTTTGTCCGTGGGAAATGTCATTATCATTATTGTTTTGTTTTCGTTCATATGATCGTCTGTTATTTACCCAATTCGCCATAAAACGATTGGAACAACGAGGTATTTATGTAGTCAATGCACGGATATGCAAATGCAAAAATTGGGAAAGGACATGAAGTAAACGCTCAATGCGATCAGAAAAGTAAGTAAAAGATAAATAAATACCCATTGATCAAATCTTCTACAGCAACCTCCCCTCCATCACAAACGTCGTTTTAGCTGAGAGTGATACCCGGGACACACTGGTCCCGGTCTCATTCAACCTCACCTCAACGCACAACTGACTCGCCCTCCCGATATCAACCCCCTGCTCAATGGCGTAGGCATGCCTTGAATTCGCCCCTCCTTTTTGGAGCGCCAGGTACGCCGCCAGGGCAGAGCAGCCGCTTGCTGACGCCGCCTCCTCCAGCCCTGCCGCAATCACCCGCACCCGTAGCCGCGTAATATATGGCTCCTCTGTGAAATCCGTCTGCAGCTGGAGGAAATACACGCAGCCACAAAAGGGTGTGGGGGCGTCTTCGCCTACCCGTACCGTCCAGCCAGCATCTAAGGTGGGTTCAGGCGCGTAGCCGTGTTCCAGCTGCGGGAAGAGCGAGGGGCACGAGGTGAAGTCAACAAGGGTGAAGGTCATGCCTGGGGCAATGGAGAAGATGGGGTAGGAGGCTCTCATCTTGTCCGTTTCCTCCGGGTGAGGGAGTAGCTGACGCTGGACGGCGAGGACCTCGTCCTTTGTAGTTTCACGGGCGTGGATGTGGATGTTATGTGGGATTTCGATGGCGGCCACCTGGCGAGCGGGATCATAGTGGGCCTGGATAAGACCACCCTTTGTCTCGAGGGTACAGCGGTTGATTGACTTTAGGGCTTGCCGTTTCTGTTGAATTTCTGCTGCCGGTGGGTTGGACCAGTCGTTGATCGAGATGGAGTCCTCGCCCTCGAGCTTCTGGAAAATGTAGTGGGCTGCCCCAAGGACGGCCTGGCCGGAAAAGCTCCGTTCTCCAGTCTTGCTGAATATCTCCACTTTCCGGGATAGGCCAGGCTCGGGGGCATCGTGGAGGAAGACAGTGTTCACGTAGCCGAATTCTAAGGCAATGCGCTGCTTTCGAGCCCGGGAAAGGGCATTGTTTCGCACGCTTACGATCGCTAGCTGGGTTCCGAGATATCTGTAGTTGCGAATGCGAAAGGATATGTTAGCTAAGAAGCACACACCCCAGTGCCAAGATGGCAATATATGTGTACGAGGAGGCTGGTTTACCTTTCCGAGGTGAAGACATCCGCAACGACTGCCAAAGTCGGTTAGCTACACATATATCCTCCACCCCTCGTCACGGATACTACTTCAACTAAGTTATGCAGTGGATTGAGCAGTTACTCACCAAAAGTATGCGGTCCCGCTGCCATGACTGTTGCGAGGATGTGTGAATAAAGATACTGTTCAAAAGAAGGAGTCTGGGCGCGGGGCGTTCAAGCAATTGGTATCGTGAGACGAGGGTAAAACAAAGGCGGCAGGCATCAATAGCGCGGGTAATCAGCTAGCGGAAGAGAGTAATCAGAAGAGAAAGGAGACGTAAGAATAATCATGAGTGAATGTTGAAATAAGAGGGCTGGAAAACGTTTGAATCCCATGGGCAGATTACAAAAAATCTCGGGAGATGAGGTCATTGTAGTATGGAGCCTGATGGCAGGCCTAGGCCAGTCAGGATCTGACGATTTTCTCGCTATCGCAATAGGAGAACAGAGAGGGCAAAAGGTGGAATCGAACAATCCAATGACTTGTTCAGCAACTCAATTGTACCATTCCATCCAAGTGCATTCTGTTGTGTGAACGCGGCCACAGTGACAATGTAATTCAGAACAAAAGCCTGGATGAAATAATTAACCTACAATTTGTGACAAACTCGAGGGCCTGCGGATCCAAAGCTTAACTTTGCGTTAACTGCCAGTGGTTACTTAAGTGCATGAATGTATTTCTCATTTCTCGGCTGATTTTTGATTTGCGGGTCCAAATAACTAGTGGTTATACAGGGGGGGTTCTGGGTGGTGTTATAACCCATGTTACTATGTATGTTAGCCAAGCCCCATGATAACTTTTTTAGTGTTAATTATACTGTACATACATTCAACCCCACTTGATTCATACCATACAAGCAGGCATCATCATTCAAGAATAGATTTTTAAGCATCTCTGCTCTGTATTCTTCACCATGATCTCTTTAGCTGACTTTACAGAGATGGAGTGGCAGTTTCAGATCAGCAAAGATCTCTTCTCATACAGAAAAAAGACTCTGACTCTGACTCTGTAGAATCAATCAAAGAATATCAATAAGCAGTATCTTCTCAGACAGAGAGAATGATGAGTAGATGGTACTGCTTCTCTGCATTCAGATTGATCATTTTTATTCTAACTTTTATCTTTTTATACAGAACTTCTGCAAGAAGACTGATTTTAAAAATGAAGAGATGATAACAGAGAGAAAACTGATCTGATTTCTGAAGAAAAAGATACTTTGTCATTCACTGCAGAGCTCTGTTTATAAGAGTAAGAGAGTTTATATAGACAGAGATAATAACACTGTGCTGCAGACTGTGAGCAAGAGCACAGTCAAACTATATAACAGCTGTGATGAATCTATACAGATTTCAGAAGAGCAGAGAAATCAACTTCTCTAATTATTTATATAAGCAGCTGATCAGTGCAATTCTTTGTACATATGAAATCAAGAAGTCTGTATGAAAGCAGATACAGTATATAAATTGAGAGATTAATATTCTGTAGAATAAATATAATAAGAAGATGATGATTCATCTGATAAAGTTCTGTTGAACTGACTGATATAAAAATAATCAAATATCTGTGATGAATCATCTTTGTATAGAGTTGAACTTTCTTATAAATTACAATATACTTCTGCAGAGAAAGACATTCTGTATAATACAGCTGTCTGATCTTTTCATTCTTCAGCTTTTAAATAAAGAATTTACTTCATACTGATCTATAATTCTCATTACAGATAATGACAAAATCAATCAGCTGAGATGACTGAAGTTAGACTGGCCGTGTGACCATGCATGGGACTGGGACCAAATTTTTCCTCAGTCCCATTATTAGATATCTTAGTCCTGGTCCCATATAGTGTTTAGTAAATTAGTCACTTTACACTGTTTATATTATAAATCTAGTCCCAGATCATGTTTTACTAATAAATTAGTGGTCTCAGTCCCATTTGGTCCCATTTTACAAAATGGGACCAAATGGGACCATGATTTACCCTATATAGGTTGGCAGCGATAGATTAGCAGTGATAGATTAGCAGTGGTAGGTAGGTTGGCAGCGGTAGGTAGGTTGGCAGCGGTAGGTAGATTGGCAGCGATAGATTAGCAGTGATAGATAGATTAGCAGCAATAGATTAGCAGCGATAGATTAGCAGCAATAGATTAGCAGCGATAGATTAGCAGTGATAGATTAGCAGTGGTAGGTAGGTTGGCAGCGGTAGGTAGATTGGCAGTGGTAGATAGGTTGGCAGCGGTAGGTAGGTTGGCAGCGATAGATTAGCGGAATTCATAGATTAGCAGTGATAGATAGATTAGCAGCAATAGATTAGCAGCGATAGATTAGCAGCAATAGATTAGCAGCGATAGATTAGCAGTGATAGATTAGCAGTGGTAGGTAGGTTGGCAGCGGTAGGTAGATTGGCAGTGGTAGATAGGTTGGCAGCGGTAGGTAGGTTGGCAGCGATAGATTAGCAGCGATAGATTAGCAGTGGTAGGTAGGTTGGCAGCGATAGGTAGGTTGGCAGTGGTAGGTAGGTTGGCAGCAGCGATAGATTAGCAGCGATAGGTAGGTTGGCAGCGGCATAGATTAGCAGTGGTAGGTAGATTGGCAGTGGTAGATAGGGGATCTAATAGCGAGCCATCAGGGCATTGAGCACTAAGCAAGATAGGGGTAATATCTCCACCAATCATATCATCAGATTGATGTATTATATAATCATCAGAATGGGACCAAACTTGAGTCAAAATCATGATCAGTCCCAGATCATGTTCTTATTTTTGATAGTCAGTCACTTTACATGGAATATCAAGATTTTTTAGTCCCATTTCACTCATGTTTTGATAATTCTAGTCACTTTACACTCCCATTCTGATCCTGGTCCCACTAAAATAATGCCAAGAAATGGACTGGGACCAAACCAAACCAAACCAAATGTGAAATTCATGGTCCCACCGGCCAGTCTAACTGAAGTATACTGCTGTGATAAGATATAAAAATTCTCTACTCTGTACAATATCTCATCTGATATTCTATCTATTCTACTGCTGAAATATTGTATAGAAAAGTCTTTCAGACTTTTAAAGATACTCTCTCTAATATGATATTCATCTTCTCTGTGAATAGAATCTCTTCAAGTCTCTTTTATATAATACTCAGCTTCAGTGAATTAATTGTATATATGCAGCAGCTGAGCTTCTGTTAAATAAAAAGACTCATTTTAATTGAAATCAGAGATTCAGATATGCTGAGCTGAATGAAATATTAGAGGATTAGATTTACTGAGTTGATTGATGAAATAATAATACTCTAATCAACTGCTATTTCATTAATATTTCTCAAAAGTTTATATAAGTAATGACAGAGTTTGAGTTATAGACTCAGAGCAATTATTTTCTTTCTTAAGCTATTATTATCTCTTCAAAACAGCTGAAGACTGTCATCTGATTATAAGTGAATGTCTGACTAGATAGATTTAATTTATACAAGAGATTGAGTCAGAAACAGAGATAGATACAGAGGAGAAAAAGAGAAGTAGCAGAGATGAAAAAAGTGAAGAAGATAGTACAAGATTTGTCAGAAAATGAATAAAATCTAACAGCTCAGAGATTTCTGCAGCTGCTGAAGCAGCTTTGTACAGTGATTCTTCAGAACTCTATATTTCTACAAAGATAGTTCTCTGATCATTCTCTATAATCAGATTCTTTTTTTATATAAGAAAATTATCAGAAGTATATTTTTCAGATTATTCAGACTTTTGAGACAGCTGTAGAGTCTCAGAAGATTCAGATTTAGTAAATAGTATCTGTTATTACTAATCAACTGAAAAATGTACAATAAAAAATGATTTAATTCATTGATAAATGAGGTTGTAAGAATCAGCAGCTGCAGTAGAAAATAACTCAGCAGCTTGCTGATCTAATTAATAATCAAATTATTTTCTTTATATAGACAGTTTCTCAGAGCTCTGCTGCTCAGAATTCTGTGATGAATCTGACTATCATTCTCTCTATTTTCTCTCTGCTCTTCTCTTCTTCTATTTTTTTCAAAGATATTATACAGAGATCAGTGAAGTCAGAGATGAAGATGAGATAATTATTATTTAATAATACTGAATCTATAAATCTGACAGTCACACTTCTCACTTCTCTCTGAATGAAAAATAACTACTCTTTTTCTTATATAATACAGTCAGTGTCTGATTTGTGGCAGAAGTGAATCACTGATCTAGAAGATAATTTATCAGTACAGAGTCTGAAGAATCAGAAAGACAGCTGATATAAGAACTTCTCTAAGAAATAGATAATATTCTATCAATAAAAGATTATTATTAATGAGATTTATATATATATATTCTCTGATATAACTGTCAGTGCTGCTGTAGAATCTCTGAAGCTGATTTATCAGTGAAAAAAACTCTCTTTTAATAAATTGACAGAGTTGTTGAAAAGACAGAGACAGCTCTAGAGAATCTATCATTTCCTTTCTCTTCATACAGAGTTGCTGAGATTTTGACTTTATATAATAATATAGAGTGTATTTTTAGATAAATTAGAGTGTACTGCTAGCAGCTCTGCTCTTTATTATATAAAGATTTACTACTATACAGTGTATTCTCTCACTACAGCTGGCTATTGTACAAAGACAACAGAGATGATAAGCTGATTAAAAAGAATGAATGAATTGATAAATTGATGATGATGATAAAAGCAGTAAATTGTATCTACTTCTTTGCATTCACTCATCTCTCTATAATAATATCTTCTTCTTCTCTCTCTTCTCTTCTTCTTTTCTTCTTCTTTCAATATATTATCATATTAATTATGTATATACAAAGCTCTGATAGATTGTTTCATCAATTAGATATCACAGCATTAACTGCTCTCTTCTCTGTATAATATAGAGCTCTCTCTCTTCTTAATCTCTCTGATTCTCAGAGTCTTCATTATATTCTTTTTATAACTGATCAACAGCTGAGTCTTTTTATTCACAGTTCATAATTCAGAGCAGTTCTGACTCTCTCAGAGTAAAATATATTTTTTATATAAGACAGTATGACAGAGCTGCAGGTTCAAAGTCATCAGTCATTATATATTAATATCATTCTTATTCAATTTCACAGTTAAATAAAGTTATATATATACTTTGTCTGTCAGAGTGTTTATTCAGATCTTTGATCATTCTCAGAATGCTGTCATTTATCTGATTACTTTGATGAAGCTTGTGGCAACTGCAAATAATGTGATCATATCATTCACTGCTTCATATAAAATAAAAAAGAGATGAAGATGATAGAGATTGTGAATGATGAGAAGAATGACTCTTAATAACAGATGAGAGATTTCTCTGAACAGCAGCTGCTCACAGCTGATTCAACATCTACTGTTTCTATAATTTTTGATTAACTCTCTCTCTTCAGTATATACAATTTTTTTTTTTTTTTCTTTTTCTTTTTCTTTTTCTCTTCTGAAGAGATAGATATGTATTATTTCTATTTACTTCAGTTATACAGAGTCTGTGTATGATATTTAGATATGATTTGCATCTCTATATTGATGTTTAGAACTAGTAGCTCATATAATGAAGTTAAGTAGATTATATAGATAGATAGAAGAAAGATAGCTAGCTAGCTAGTCAGATCTATAGTAATTGATTTTTATTTATATTATTTTTCTTCAGTCAATTATTTTATACAGAGCTTTAATAACTGTCAAGATAATATGTCAAGCAGACTCTCTCTGTATAACTCAGTTATTCAGAGAGGGTTTGATCTGAATGATGTCTGATATAACTGTGTTATCTGAGAGAGTTATATTATAACACTGCTAACATACCCTCTGAATAACTAGTGGTTATACAGAGGGGGTTCTGAGTGGTGTTATAACTTATGTTACTATATATATTAGCCAAGCTCCATAATAACTTTTTTAGTGTTAATTATACTGTACATACATTCAACCCCACTTGATTCATATCATACAAACAGATATTATTATTCAAGAATAGATTTTTAAGCATCTCTGCTCTGTATTTTTTACTATAATTTCTCTAACTGACTTTATAGAGATAGAGCAGTAGCTTCAGATCAGTAAAGATCTCTTTTTATACAGAGAAAAGACTCTGACTTTGACTCTGCAGAATTAATCAAAAAATATCAATAAATAGTATCTCTTCAGACAGAGAGAATGATAAATGAATGACACTACTTCTCTGCATTCAGATTGATTATTTTTATTCTAACTTCTATCTCTTTATACAGAACTTCTGTAAGAAAACTGATTTTGAAGATAAAAAAATAATAATAGAGAGAAAGCTGATCTGATTTCTAGAGAAGAAAGTACTTTATTATTTACTGCAGAGCTCTGTTTATAAGAGTAAGAGAGTTTATACAGATAGAGATGATAATATTATACTGCAGACTATAAATAAGAGTACAGTCAAATTATATATAACAGCTGTGATGAATCTATATAGATTTCAGAAGAGCAGAGAAATCAATTTCTCTGATTATTTATATAAACAGCTGATCAGTGCAGTTCTTCATATATATGAAATTAAAAAGTCTGTATGAAAGCAGATACAGTATATAAATCAGAGAGTCAATACTCTGCAGAATAAATACAATAAGAAGATAATAATTTATCTGATGAAGTTCTGCTGAACTAACTGATATAAAAATAATCAAATATCTATAATAAATCATTTTTGTACAGAGTTGAACTTTCTTATAAATTATAATATACTTCTGTAGAGAGAGATATTCTGTATGATACAGCTGTCTGATCTTTTCATTCTTCAGCTTTCAAATAAAAAACTTATTTTATATTGATTTATAATTTTTATTATAGATAATAATAAGATCAATCAGCTGAGGCAACTGAAGTATACTGCTATAATAAAATATAAAAATCCTCTACTCTGTATAATATCTCATCTGATATTCTATCTATTCTACTACTGAAATATTGTATGAAAAAGTCTCTCAGACTTTTAAAGATATTTTTTCTGATATAATATTCATCTTCTCTGTGAACAGAATTCTTTCAAGTTTCTTTTGTATAATACTCAGCTTCAGTGAATCAATTGTATATATACAGCAGCTGAGCTTCTGTCAAATAAAAAGATTTATTTTGATTGAAATCAGAGATTCAGATATGCTGAGCTGAATAAGATATTAGAGAATTAGATTTACTGAGTTGATTAATGAAATAATAATACTCTGATCAACTGCTATCTCATCAATATTTCTCAAAAATTTATACAAGTAATGACAGAGTTTGAGTCACAGACTCAGAGTAACTACTTTCTTTCTTAAACTATTATCACTCTCTCAAAGCAGCTGAAGGCTGTTATCTGATCATGAATGAATATCTGACTAGATAGATTTGATTTATATAAGAGATTGAGTCAGAAACAGAGACAGATATAGAGGAGGAAAAGAGAAGCAGCAGAGATGAAAGAAGTGAAGAAGACAGTATAAAATTTATTAGAGAATGAATAAAATCTAGTAGCTTAGAGATTTCTGCAGCTGCTGAAGCAGCTTTATACAGTAATTCTTTAGAATTCTATACTTCTGCAGAGGCAGTTCTCTGATCATTCTCTATAATCAGATTCTCTCTTTATATAAGAGAATTATCAGAAATATACTCTTCAGATTATTCAGACTCTTGAGATAGCTGTAAAGCCTCAGAAGATTCAGATTCAGTGAATAATATCTATTATTACTGATCAGCTGAGAAATGTATAATAGAAGATAATTTAGTTTATTGATAAATGAGATTGTGAGAATCAGCAGCTGTAGTAGAAGATGACTCAGCAGCTTACTGATCTAGTTGATAATCAAATTATCTTCTTTATATAGACAGTTTCTCAGAGCTCTGCTGCTCAGAATTCTGTGATAAATCTGACTGTTATTTTTTCTACTTTCTCTCTATTCTTTTCTTCTTCTACTCTTTTCAGAGATATTATACAGAGATTAGTAAAGTCAGAGATAAAGATGAGATAATTATTATTTAATAATACTGAATCTGTGAATCTAACAGCCACATTTCTCACTTCTCTCTGAATGAAAAATGACTATTTTTTTTTTTATATAATACAGTCAGTGTCTGATCTGTGATGAAAGTGAATTACTGATCTAGAAGATAGTTCATCAGTGTAGAGTCTGAAGAATTAGAAAGACAGCTGATGTAAGAGCTTCTTCAAAAAGCAGATAATATTCTGCTGATAAAAAATCATTATTAATAAGATTTATATATATATATTCTTTGATATAACTGTCAGTACTGCTGTGGAATCTCTGAAGCTGATCTATCAGTAGAAGAAGCTCTCTTTTAATAAATTAACAGAGTTGTTGAAAAGATAGAGACAGCTCTAGAGAATCTATTATTTTCTTTCTCTTTATACAGAGTTGCTGAGACTTTAACTTTATATAATAATATAGAGTATATTTTTAGATAAATTAGAGTGTACTGCTAGCAGCTCTGCTCTTCATTGTATGAAGATTTACTACTATACAGTGTATTCTTTTACTACAGCTGACTATTGTATGAAGACAACAGAGATAGTAAACTAATTAAAGAGAATGAATGAATTGACAGATTGATAATAATAATAAAAGTAGTGAATTGCATCTGTCTCTTTATATTCACTCATCTCTCTATAATAATATCTTCTTCTTCTCTCTCTTCTCTTCTTCTTTTCTTCTTCTTTCAATATATTATCATATCAATTATATATATACAAAGCTCTGGCAGATTGCTTCATCAATTAGATATCACAGCACTAACTGTTCTCTTCTCTATATAATATAAAGCTCTCTTTCTTCTTGATTTCTCTGATTCTCAGAGCTTTCATTGTATTCTCTTTGTAGCTGATCAACAGCTGAGTCTCTTCATTTATAGTTTATAATTCAGAGCAGTTCTGACTCTTTCAGAGTAAAATGTATTCTTTGTATAAAGCAGTATGACAGAGCTGCAGATTTGAAGTCATCAGTCATTGTATATCAATGTCATTCTTATTTAATCTTACAGCTGAACAGAGTCACACATATGTCTTGTCTACTGAAGTACTTATTCAGATCTTCAGTCATTCTCAGAATATTATCATCTGTCTGATCACTTTGATGAAGTTTGTGACAACTGCAAATGACATAATTATGTCATTTGCTACTCTGTATAAGATGGGGAAGAGATGAAGATGATAGAGATTGTGAATGATGAGAAGAATGACTCTCAACAGTAGATAAGAGATTTCTCTGAACAGCAGCTGCTTACAGCTGATTCAACATCTACTGCTTCTATAATTCTTGATTAGCTCTCTTTCTTCAGTACATACAATCTCTTTTTCTCTTTCTTTTTCTTTTTCTTTTTCTCTTCTGAAGAGGCAGATATGTATTATTTCTATTTACTTCAGTCATACAGAGTCTGTGTACAACATCTAGACATAATCTGCACCTCTATATTGGTGTCTAGAACTAGTAGCTCATATGATGAAGCCAAGCAGATCATATAGATAGATAGAAGAAAGGTAGCTAGCTAGCTAGTCAGATCTATAGCAATTGATTTTTATCCATACTATTTTTCTTCAGTCAATCATCTTGTACAGAGCTCCAATAACTGCCAAGATAACATGCCAAGCAGACCCCCCCCATATAACTTGGTTATCCAGGGGGGGTTTGGCCTGGGTGGCGTCCGGTATAACCGTGTTATCCGGGGGGGTCATGTTATAACGCCGCTAACGCGCCCCCTGGATAACAATTGTTTTCTCCTACCACTTACTCCTCTAAAATATCCCGTTGCCATTCGCTCTCTATTTCCTCATTCGCCCTTCCGATTCGTCTATCACCCTTGGGCTGCAGAGTTTCTGTAGGTGCTCCAGGTCGCGGTTGAGCGTTCCACCCTAATAAATGGCCAGTCTAATCACCAATATCTTCCTGGGATCGTTGTATTTCATCCTTGACCGTCATTTATCAAAGAGCACTGCTGTGTATTGTCTAGTGTGGAAACCAACGGCAATTGTGCAGTAAACATTGCCTCGCCTGACATGGATCAGTATTGTTTAGATCTGGCTCACCAGATTCTACAGCAAATTTTCACCGCTTGCATTTATAAAGCACTTGTTTTGGAGACAGGCAGACCGTGGACTAAGATGCGGATTTGCCCATTCGACCCTCTCTACCTTTGCTTCTACAATGGTAAACGCCGTCTATTTGAGAGAATACTCCATCAATGGCACAATGGCACAAATCTGTCCAATTAATTGCTCCTCCCCCGCAGGGCTGATCGAACAGCAGTCATATTGGAGATATGTATCCAATAGCACGCGGGTAGGTAGAGATTTCTGTGCGTACGGAGCAGCTGTTGATTACCCCTGAAGCCGTGCAGGCCCTGTCTAAGAAGCAGTGGCCCCGGAAGTCAACTCTATATGAATCACACACACAAAGTGGCATTGTCTCTGAGCCGAACCTGAGAGGCTGAGAATAAATAAATAAATGAAAAAAAAATGTATGTATGCGGGTTGGAGTGATGGGATGGGAATGGAAATGCACATTCCCGTCCCTTCGCTCTTTTGACATTTAACCATTAGCTCTGTACCCCGTACATTTTTTGAGTTTGTCTTTCAAACAAAATTTTGGTTTGAATATGGCTTCGAGGGATCAGACAGACTTTTTTGTATTTGCTTTTTCTTGACAAATTGGGACGATACGAAGAGAAGGTTTCAAAAAAAAAAAAGTGAAGCGATTAAGGACGAAACATAACCACATCCGATTCACATTATAGCCGACCCGTCGGGAACCGGGGATGGTGATTGACAGGTACTAGGCGCGTGCCGTGGAGGGAAATATATGTAGCAGCTGCATTTTGTTGTTTCCCTTTGTCTTGGATGCAGGGGAGACGGAGAGACAACGCAGATGCGAATTTGTGGAGAGATAAGGTGACTGGGGAATCCAAAATGTGATGTACCAGGATTTTGGAGAAGCTGGAGTTGTACTATTATTTCCCGTGTCTTGTTATTCAAAGCTGCTTCGTTTCCTTCAAGAGTGCCGTGTTGGTGAAGTAAGTTCGTCCTAAGATGGGTGGTGTTGGCCTGTCATTATCTCCTTGTTTCTAGAAATTCTAACGAAGAGGGTGACTCTTTCCGCCACGATAGACGGATAGTTAATGTTTTACAGATATCACAACGTCTAGTCAATAATATGCGATGCCAATTTTCCTCCATAGCATCTCCCTTTCCACACAGGATGGTCATTTCTCTTCCACAATCCCAGCCCAAAATTTTGTTTCGGCATAAAAGTTGATAACAGCGACATTCACCAAGAAAGCCATCACCGGGTTGCTGCTGGTCGCATATCTGGCCACATACTGCGTACATATACATATGCAAGGTAAATCTATCCTCGCCTCGGCTTGTTCCAACCCTCCAGTCTTTCCTAGCCCTGTGGAGGGGTTTTTTTCATTTCGGTCTCCTCTCAGCAACTCACTTGATCGCCCGACCCGCCTGCGTACTCCGTCAACAATGCCTTAGCAGGAAAGTAGGTAACGTAGGGGAAAGCAGGTAAAACGCCATCCACGACATGCATCGTATGCCGCTCCGGACCCCGTTCCTTACCCCCCCCCCACACCACAGGGGTGAGGACCCTTCCTAACGTTTAACCCAGCACCAGCATGCATTCGCCACTTTGTGGGGAGTTCCCTGCATCAGTAATAACACGCTGTGCAGTGCACATCCAATGTCTTATGTAGTTTTATATGACTGTACTGTAACATGTTACAGGGGACAAGCGCGAAAGAGAGAGAGATACATATATATATTAAATCCTTCTTAATTTCTCATCTCCTCTCCCCACTATTCTCATATGAAGTGTTGTGTCAATTGGCTGATTCGCGTCTTGTCGTAGCATATAGGTGGGATGCACGTATAGGTATCATTTTGTGTGTGTGTGAGTGTGGTTGGTGAGATATTTCCGGTGGGGAAATACTGAGAAAGAAGAAGAGAGAACCAAAAATATTGATAGGAGGATGATGGGCTCTAGCTGGGGTTGAGAAGGACCAACCGACGTGTGCTGGTTGGTACGAGCAGAAGGAGAGAAGAATGCCATGTGGTGGATATCTCGTCAGACAGCCAGAAGGGCGTAAGGAATACAGGAGATAGCGAAGAGATACGACCAAAGGAGAGCACAGTGGAGTAGAGATAAGAGGTGGGCTATCATGTTCACATTTGACGGAGGTTGAAGGTATGGATTGGATTTCATTGAATAGAATAGGTAGAGACATGAAGCAATCCCGTCACGGGACCCTCATAAGATTCATGGACTGGGACAGCTGGTCGCATCGTGCGCATGCATTTCTATCCAAGTTCTGTACCCCTACGTACTGTACATGAATGTACCTGTGTAGGTGAAGATGCAGGGCACAGCATGATGCAGGTATCCCGATACCCCGATGGATCCCTAGTTGTTGCCGAGGACCGTGTAGACCGCTTTCCGAGGGTGGCTGGAGATAAGTGATACGGATTATTGTAGAAGAGAAAAAGGGGCATTGTTTGCTTTTACCTACCAGGGTTTTAGTCCATCAGGGTAATCAAAGGGGCCCACCAAAAGGTTACTAGCAATCGATGCTGGAGGCGATTTCCAGGAAATATCATGTTGGATATTAGAACGGAATCCGTGTTCCATATCTTATCAAGGTTCGAACAGTTTTGCTGTAAGCTGTAAGTAAGTATATGTTCATGTGCATACATGGACATGCCCTGTACAGCACATAGCTGATAACTGGAGCCCGACGAATATCTTTACTCTGATTCTCAAACGCTCGTTGAAAAGACATCAGGGGGACTCAGGCGTAGATATGTTCCCGTCAACATGTCCTTGCTGTCTCCAGCATCCATTCCCTATCTCTCTCTCTCTCTCTATTATATATTTTTTACACCTAAGATTGTAACTCAGGTGGGCGTTTTCAAGCTCTTTCGGCCTCGGGGGTAGGATTCCTTTAGCTGGGTATAATGGTGCCTGCAGATGTACTGTACATGTACAACAGGAGTCACTTGCCTCATGATTATCCCCCTCGTCAAATGAACAGGATGACTTCTGCCTCAGTCCTGTTTTCCGTTTTCGATTGCCCCACACGCAATACCGACACAGGTCGTGAGCACGTTGCTGAGTTGAAGCGGGGTTGGCAGATGCTACATCGCATTAAGACGAGAGAGATAAGGGAACCAGATCTGGTACGATGGTCTGATCGTGTGCTACCCCGCCACCCCATATCTGTGTTGCAGAGTCGCACACCTTGGGAGATGTAAACAATGTAACATTTTCTCATCCAGATTCCGACCCCATCCTCATGATTCATGAGGTGTGTGAAAAGTGTCAGGCATAGAAAGATGGATGGGTTGAGAGAAGGAACAAGTCAAGCTAAAACAAGGTAGAGAGAGGTAACTAGTTAAGTAAACTTGTTTCTGATTTCAGAATTATGCATTTTCCCCCCCTCGTGCCAGTAGCTGCGTAAATAATCCCGGATACCTGGGACCATGTGCGCCCTTGTGTGTCATCTGGACAGGGTCTTGATGTTAGAAAAGCGATCCCTCTTACCTTCGTATGTTAAACACATGCACCAAGGTTCCCTCATTCATGGATCGTTTTGGCGAACACCGTTGTGTGGCGGTCGACATCCATCAGGGGGTTTAGGACTCATGCTCTCTGTTTGATACAATTCAAGAGGTGAACCATTTATTCCGTGGCTAACCAGACCAGTCGGAAGCTGAGAAAATGGAAACACACACAAGCACAAAAAAAAAATCATCTCTGCGCTTTTACTGGACCGGCTTCTCGTGGTGCTCTTGTAACCTAAGAAAGTTATTGGATCAAACATTCAGCTAACCTACCGTAGTTCTTCGGCAGCGATAGTTGCCCACTAAAACGAGCACCAGCCCGATGATAGATCGAATTACCCGATCGAGTACGGAGTTATGTAGCTGCAAGGTGGAAAAATATAAACAAGTACCTCAGCAAATTCAACAAACAAATAAATAAACCTTTTGGAGGGCGATTAAATAATTCCATCCCAGAGGGATATTTTCGAGACCCTATTCTACATAATAGACATGAGTGAAATTGACGTCAAAAATAAAATGGACGAATTGTGGGAGGAAAAAAAAAAAAAAAGAAAAAAGAAACGAAAGCGAAGAATAATAGCCGCATCATCGACCATGTAAAGTAGTAACGGTACCCCGAGACTTTGTTTGCGTCATTGATCATTGATGGGGGTTTGGGAGCAAATAATTGATCCTCTTTTCGTGTGATTTTAACCATTTTTCGGTCTTGCAACTACCCCCAACACTACCATAACTCACGGAGTAGTGCCGAACAAACTGCTACCCTTGAGGTTCGGCTGGAACTGTTGGCCATTGGGATTCGGTGCATCAGAAGGTAGAAGACTACTGCTGCTTCTGGGCCGGCCCGGAACTTTCAGAGAGTTTGTATTTTTGCTTAGTCCAGCAGATCCTGCGGCGCTGCGCCTAAGTAAGATGGTGACGACGATAGCTGTCCAAACGGATGAATTCAACCCAGGAGGCCGGGGCCAGTGGACCGAATCATGATCGGATCCTTGGAAAACCCAGGCCTTCACACAAACTAGCTAGGGGAAGGGCCGTTGGAAAAGCTGGAGAATTCTTGATTTCAACCCACCACAGTGTGTACCTACACTTGAATACTGGTATTTTCTATTTCCGTTATTGTTTCCATGCGTCTGGTGGCATTTCGGAGGCTTAAAAGTTGATTGTGTTTGGTATTATTATCCAAAACCCTTTCAATCTTTATTCGAGGGTTTTCTTGATTTCATTCGATATTCAAGAATGCGAGGAGAGCATGTCCCGAAGCCGTCCAAGGCGCTTGTCAAGGGCTCCACAACACGTTTCTTTTTCGTTCTTCTTTCAATCACTCGGATTTATTTATTGATCTGCACGATGGCCCATCGATGCGGGTTTACAGGCTTTCCACAGCCCTAAAAAGGTTGAAAAGTGGAACATGCCGTAAGCTGGAAGAAACGGGCCCATCTGGTTCCGTTCCCCATTTTCAGTTTGGGGAGAACAGGTCAAAAAAAGCAAATCTCAGTGAGCGAAAAGAATTGTGAGACAGCAAGTTTCACCTTTTGACATGCAGCAGTGGCAGCAGCATCAGCAGCGCCAGAAATTGTTCTGTATCTACCTAGGTGGCTTGTCTGTAATCTGTAGATAGGACTCAAATATCATTGAGCCAGGGCATCAATGGACGAAAGCAGAGGGATGACATACTGAGGTAATTATTGCCAGTAACTTAGTTATTATTATTATTGTTATTATTATTAGATCCTATCCTGGGCAGGATCATGAAAACAGCTGCAGAACGGATTCGCATCCAGGTCCTGTTATTCCTCGTAAACTATGAATGACTAGTCTTTTTCCACAACAACAAATAACAAAACACTGGAAACGAATAGGCCAATCAGTGTCCCAGGATGCGATGTGGACAGCCCCAAGTGGCGTGGTCCAGATATGCCGGGGAAAGATGCAGTTCCTGTGACGCGAGCTGCTTTGGCTTCGGCAGAGAGTTTAAAATATCTGAGGCAAAAAGCAGAAAACGGGAACGAAAGAGCGGGAAACGAAAAATCCGTGTCAGAATGTTCTGATAACATTTTCTAGTGCTGAGTGGATCTACAGCTTTCCGGTATGGACCTGTAGGATGTAGTAGGATGTGCACCTCTCGGTACCTGTAGGCTGTAGGCTCCATGGAGGCTGTCGCACCAACCTGCTGCGGCCGCTTCTGGTCCATAATCACATTACATATCGTGCACTCGAAGGTTAGCTAACTATACATTAACTTATGTCTCTCCCGGCGGACAAGTTCCGGGCTCTTGTTTTATTTTTCTCGTTTTCACCTTGTGTTCGTAAGTCAGGACGGAGTCTGCGGGCTGTTTGAAGCATCCTTTGAATTCTTTCAACGTCTTTTTTAGATACTTCTTTTATCTCCATCTCGAGACTGAACATTTCCCCATTTCCCCATACGAAAAGCAATTGTTGCTTTTTGCCGGTTCTGCTTACTGCTGGGCCATATACAGGTATTCTAACTTGGAAGTCATTCATTATATCAACACCTGGAGTGCTTTTGCAGAAGGTATATAATTTATGTGATTTTTGATTCCGCCCACCCACTCACCTTCTTTCACATTCTCTAACAACAACATGACACCCAATCACTCTCATTTTTTGTTTGAATTGTCTTGTTTCTGTGTTTCTATACTCAGGATAATGACTGACGATATATTTCAAATGCAATTGATAGCTGATGGGTTCCGTGGTGTGAGATAGTTGCCACCACAGCAACCAAACGTCCAACATATCTCCCAACGCACGCCTCTTATCATGGAGGATGTAGTGACGACGTGACGTGTAGCTATAAACATTTGCCGTCAACATCTTCGTAACTTTTTCAACAAACCAATTCGATTCAAACCCTGTCAGAGCTGGCATCGTCTCTGTTGTATCACAAATTCACAATCCATTGTGCACTCTTTTCTGGTCTCTCTTTGCGCTGCATTTTTTCGCCGTTATATCGACCTTTTTTTTTCTCCGCCATACTTACCGGTCTTGTTGCTATTGCTACTGCTACTGCAACTATCGCAATATCCCGCCCTTGGACCATGGCGAGCTGTCAATTCGCCAGTCCTCCAAGCAGAGAGGACTCTGCTTGGGTGTGGATCGCTGAACACTACAGCCAGCCCGAGACATATGAAATCCCCCTACGCACCATGTATGCCCTGAATTCAACTGCTGGGGTTAATTCCTCTTTCTCTCTTCTCCCCAAGAGCCCTGGTTCAAACGCTGTCTCACCTTTCTCCCGTGAATTCGACGGCAACGCGTTCCCTCCATCGCGTCACAGCCCCGGACACAAGGACGACAAGAACCCCGCACACAACATGAACAGCACTACCGCGATTTTTAAGATGCACCTTATGTCCCAAATATCTCAATTACCTTCTCAGCCATGTTCTCTACCACCCAACTTTATTTGTTCTTTTGTCCGCCGCTGTCTCCCGGAGGACCTCGCTCTCGTTGACTTTCCCCAGGCATTGACAGCTCTAGACTACCTTCGGGACCTTGAGCAGCGTCGTGGCAAAGAGATCAAAACTGCCTTGGAGAAGCTTGGAGTGCTTGATGATGCTTTTGACAAAGATGATCTTGTGAAGCGGTATCCTGGAGTTTCAAGCTGGATTGACTCTATCATGGAGAAGGATAGATATGCTGCTGCTCTATACTCACAAGTCTATCTCCGTCTTAGACATTGGGTAAGCCTCTAGCATGCGAACAGTTTTCCTTGTTTGAGGTTGAAAATATTTTTTATTCAATGCTAACATTTGGTGTCAGACTCTAATTAACGAAATGCTTCTACCCCCTTTCAACAAAGCAAACTGCGTTGCCATGCTAAACACGCTTTTCCCCGCTGTTATATCTGTCCGGCCTGCTGCGCACGTTTGTGAAAGGATGCTCATGGAAGAACGTCATACGTTCTTCAGATACATATGCCAAGTAGAAGATAAAGGCCAACGCGTACTCGATCCGCTCATCTTAAAGGACAGGCGGCCGGGGGAGTCTACAGGATGGCCTGTGGTGCACGAATATATCAACAAATTCATGTGTTCAGCGATTGATATCATCAACGAATGCTTCGAAATCAACAATCGGGACAGCCTCGAGGAACAATCTGGATACAACAGAACCAGTAAGGGCCGAAAGGTCGATTCGGGAATCAGCTTTGGATCTAATAGTGACTACCGCCGCCCGTCAACCAGCAGCAGCACCGGTAACACGAACAACAACGATAGCAATACCAACATAAACCACAGCTACAGCGGCAGCACCAGCTCCGTCAACGGCGGACCCCTCAACAAACCACTCCCACCATCCCCAGCGCCCAAAACGGTCAAAATGCCCAAAACGCCTAAGGCTAGCAAGACGAGCAGTAGCTCCACACTTGAACGCATCGGCAAGGAGCTGCGCAAGATGCGCTCGCGTGGCGACTTCAACGAGGACAAGCCGCCCAGGTCATCGCGCAGCGTCAGCACGCTCCGCAAAATGCGCTCCACGAGCATTCTGGGCGAGCGCGATCGAAATCTTGGCAGTAGCCACGGTGAGAGTGAGTTTGATGCTGAGGAGTTTCGACGAAAGCGGATGATCTGGGAAGCGAAGCATAATCACAACCATGCCGGCAACAGCTCCAATTCCAATGGTACAAAGGTTGATGGGTCTACTTCTAATGAAAATCAGAATAAACGAGTCAGCGCGTGATATAACGTGCAAACCTTAGATTTTTCTTTTCTTTGAACCCAATCGTGATATCTGTTACGGAACGAATTGGCATATTTGCTTTCCATTCGTTTTAATCTTGTGTTTACATAACTTATTTTTTCGTTCTGCCACAATACAACGTATGTGAAACGATATCCGCTCACTTATGGAAATGACACGCAACATGAAACTGGACGGGCCGCTCTTTCATCTTTTTCTTTTCCTTTTTTTCTCCCATATTTGCTTTTCCGAAGATGGGGTGGGGGAGTTTGTTGTTTTGTTTCTGATCTTTCCTTTCCCATCTCGCCAGGTCGTCCTTCATTCAACGAGTTATGTTGATGATGGAGGGAGGAACATTCTCTTTCGTTGCGATGACTACCTACCTACTCGCCTCGTTTCCTGTGCTGCTATCATACCGCTACAGGCTCAACGGCATTTCTGTTCTTGCTACCTTTTCCCTTCTTGGAATTACCTGTTTTCGTTATTAATTTTGTTCATGATACGAGCTTTTATCAAGCCCCTACATACAAGCTGCCTTATTTGTTTACTCCCCCTCCCTTTGTTTTTTTTGTCCGTGTGCAACCCAAAGCTGCGCTCCAGATCGGGCGAAGCTGGTGTACCGTGTCCAACCTCGATATCCAGAATTCCTTTTCATTGTTCTTTCAATTCCTCTCTATGCACCTATTCTTTCTTTGATAATTTCTCTTACTCTGTTGCGACGAACACCGGAGCAAGCGGCGTATTGGTAGTTGTGGAGTGTGCTTTTTGTCTGGAGATAACGACTTGCTGCTCTGCGATACCGTTACACTAAACCCCTAGCACTTGCATGCATAATATTTAATAACCATCCCAGGATTGTTGATCTGAGGCCCCATTGCGCGTTTATTACACTTCAAGTGGTTCTATTCGCGTGGACACGTGATTTTATTGTTTTGATTTACTTCGTTTCCTTCTTTTGCGCGACTTTCGTTTTTTCCTTCCTTTTTTTTTCCAGAATCTTTGATGCTGAATGCAAAACCCGTGGGGCCCCCAAATAAAGTAAGAAAGCGAATCGAACGATTCGGGTTGAGGAAGAAAGAGAAAAAACAACACAAAGAACAAAAATGGCGCAACAACGACAAAACGGTTGCTTTTTAGGTTTTAAGGCGACGAGGTGAAAATGGGAAAAATGGGGCCGGAAAAGTTAAACAGGAAGACTAAAAAGGGCCTCAGTTCATTTTAATTCTGTTTGGAGAAAGATCATGGGCTCCCACGAGCAGGAAATGCGCAATTGCGAAATGCAGAACACGGGGCGAGCAAAATGGCGACTGGAAGCGCATGAGCGCAAGGGTGGGAAATTTATTCCTTTCTTTCTTTCTTCTTTTTTCTTTGCTTCTTTTTGATCCTCGATCTTTCCACATGGCTTGTTCAGATCGGCCGCCCGACGCGTTCATGTTACCATGCGAGGTAGAGAGTAGAGGGCGTGTACCATCTTCGATGGTTTCCTGCTGTGCTCTGCGCGCTTTGCTCTCTGCGGTGCCGCATCCCTATCTATAAATGCACGAACCTTTGGTGTGGTTGGTTTTAACCTGCGACGTGAGCTGGTCAATTGGTACTTGATTTCGTTTCATTTCTTCTGCTGTTTTTCTTTCGTTTCTGGAGCTGGCTTTTCGTTTTGGGATGCTCACCACGATGACGATGATATGATGAACACACTAAGCGCACGTTTTTGTTTTTGTTTTGTTTTTTGTGCAGTACAGTACATGAGTTTACTACGTATGAAGCTGCTCTGTACTGCTATTGGGGGAAAATGATAATGAGTTCTTGATTGGGTGACTTGTTTTGAGAAGGTTATGTATGTATGTTGGGAAAGAGAATGGGAGCCGGGAGATACGGTAAAAACAAAACAGACTAATGATGGGGATAGTGATTGAATTCAATTGGCGGGGTATGCTCTCTTCATCCCGGTCAATAATCTGTACGCCGCGTACTTGTCTTTGATATCTTGCTATCATGGAAATGTAGAGCTCGTTGATTAGTTAGCCGAGGTCCACTGGGCGCTTCCCCACGGGGAATATATATACAGGCCACGGACCATGCAAGTAAGGGACCTGCGAGAGCCTCGGAGCCCAGAAGTTCCTAAGTCCTGGCAGGCCCCTCGAATCGATGAGACCATCTCACAGCTAACGAATGCCTGGGGAATATTGCATGGACTTAAAACCAAAAATATCCCGAGGTCCGCTCGGATAAAGCTGCGACCGCCTCCAGAGCTGCCGTGCAACGACCTCCTCTCCTAATTGACCCCCCTAGAACTGGCAAAGCTGCCCGTTTTTGGGTTGCATGAAGTGAACGACTGTTTCCTTGCTGCGTCTTCTGCATCTTGTCGAAACCAGAATTCATATTGGCTATTACACACATCAGAGAATAATAATAATAAAAATAATGGATCCCGGGAAACAGTTTGGTAGTGCTCTTCCATGGGCTGAGCCGGCCTGGTGAGCTTACAACGAAGCCCTGTTATTTCGCGGCACTTTCACTCTCTTTGGCTTTATTACATGCTTGGGGATGGACATGTTTTATAGATAAGGGAGCAACAAAAAAAATTGATGCTTGTTAACAATTCAATTAATTGCAGGTACTCCGGTCGCCCTTCGCCATATTACAACGAATCCCACTTCAAACTGCGCGATGCTGTGCGCAAATGGACGGAGGAGGTGTGCCACACTCACTACCTTTCCTTCCCTACCTCAACTTCCATACAGGAACAAAAAATAAAGATGAAGAAAAGGAAAAGATGGGTAAAACATTTGAAATTATTCCTTCAACAAAATACTCACACTTTCTTTACCTGTTCCATTGCATAGAACACCATGGATAAAACCGAAGAATGGCGTGCACTCGGAAAGGTGCCGGACGACGTGTATCAAAAATGCGCCCGTGACGGGCTCCTGCTCCCGATAGCCTTTGGCAAGTCAATCCCGGAGGAATTTGCACATTACCCCATCATTGGCGGTATCAAGGCCAAGGAGTGGAATGGGTTCCATGACTTTGTGTTGTGGGATGAGCTGTGCCGTAGCGAGTCAATTTCCAGTGTCTTTGTCGGGTTGGTGGGTTATTTTCATCCCCCTTACGCTCCCATGGGAAAACTATAGCCCGCATGTATCTGTATACGTAATGACTCTATATGCCCTTGTTCCTCTAGACTGTGGGAGCGCCACCTATCCGGCAATTCGCGTCGAAGTGGTTGCAGAAGAAGATTTTGCCGGAGATCCTCAGCGGCCAGAAGAGGATCTGTCTTGCTGTTACAGAGCCTTCTTGCGGATCTGATGTTAGGAACCTAGCAACGACAGCAGAGAAATCTGCTTGCGGGAAGTATTATATTGTCAATGGAGAGAAGAAGATAAGTTTTCATTCATCAATTAATGTATAAATAAGCTAACGTTGACTTCACTGGATCACCAACGGCATGTATTCAGACTATTTCATGGTAAGTTCTTATTCAAATTGGTAAAAAATATAGGCCAATGACAGCAATGGAAAGAAATCCCAGCTTCCAACAATCCCAGGTCTGACTATTCTTGCTAGACGGCCGTCCGAACAGGTGGCCCTGGCGCGGATGGTATTTCCTTCCTCCTGATCCCGCGCACCGAAGGCATCCGGACGCGCAAAATCGAAATCGGCGCTGATGGCCTCAGCGCCACCACGTATATCATCTTCGAGGACGTCAAGGTCCCCGTGGAGTACCTCGTCGGCTCCGAGGGCCAAGGATTCCGATACGTCATGAGTAACTTCAACCACGAACGTTTGTGGATTGCGTTCCAGGCGCTTCGCAATGCTCGCACCTGCCTGCAAGACGCAATGGCGTGGGCTATGAAGCGCGAGGCATTTGACATGAAGCTAATCGACCAGCCGGTCGTGAGGTATAAATTCGGCTCGATGGCTAAGGAGGTCGAGGCGCTGCAGGCGTGGACGGAGCAGATCGTTTACGAGTTGGATCATATGAGTTATCAGGATGGAAATCGGCAGTTGGGCGGTGTTACAGCGTTGTTGAAGGTGAAAGGCGGGCAGATGAACAAGTTCGTTGCGGACAACTGTGTCCAGATTATGGGAGGGTATGGAGTTTCCCCATACGTTGCCACCATTATCGTCTCTCTTTTCCTTTCTTTTCCATTTTACCGTCAAAGGTTGTCTGGGATTTTCTAACAAGTTTTGAAACCGCTAGGCTTGGCCTCACGAAGACAGGGCAGGGTTCTCGTATCGAGGCAATTTCGCGCAGTACTCACTCATTAATCGTCCCTGGTACGTTTAATCTTCGGTGGAATAACCGGTAGTGGTTCTCAATGCTAACAATCTATGTTTTGTGTAGGTGGATCCGAAGACGTGCTCATTGACTTGGGAGTGCGAGAGGCACTCAAGCTCTCAGCTGCTAAGGTGAAGAAAGGCGCAAAGATGTAAATTTGGAATAGAGAATGGCTCTTGGGGATTTGATACCGGGCCCTAGAGGCTGATATAAAATAGAACTGGCGAATGCTGTCCGAGGAATGTTCCTAAGGAGCTCGTACATATACTTCCTAACTCATCACACCTTCCCCTTCGCTTCGGCATAGTATATTTTTATTGTTTCCGACATATTTGCTGGTTCATCCCAAACTGATATCTTAAGAATTTGCAGTCATTTCTTTTTGCATCCCCCCCAATACAATCCTCTGCTTTCACCAAATGTATTTTTCGTGTGCTAGATTGCCCAATTTGCTACTAACAGGAATCGGCCAGAAGCGTTGGTTTGAAACCCATCAGTACCAAATTTCCCTTGGCAAAACAACAATAAATATTGCTAGTAGTATTCCTTCAAACAAGGATTCTAAAGTTTGTGGTGAAGGACAAAGTTGCGACCGACATATTATGATGTAATATGTTATAACATACATGGCTCATGGCGTCAAACGTAGTCATTTATTTATACGGCAGACTACGCTACCACGTATGTCATTAGAGCTGTGTGCTGACTCAGCTTCCAAAGTTCCAAACCCGTCCAAGCGTCATTATTAGTACTTCAGACCTCAATTGTTGTGCTCTCGCTCCTTGCTATTTGGAATCATGTTAGCTTCAAATACACATTAACGGCCTCCACACGGGAAATATGCTTTTTTAGCGGTTTGTGGGGAAACTGCTCCTATCGCAACAGATCCTTGGACAAGGGCATTGGATTCCAGTGAGCTGCTCTGGATGGGAGCATACACCCCATTGATTCGCACAGAAATAGCCCAAAGTCAGACACACCTATAGAACATGATATTCAGATACTATACATTTCCCTGGCGATTGGGGGGATTGGTGCTTTTTGGGGCCGCTTCACTCTTTACCTCCCACGCTACCGCGGGTCCCTCAGTTAATGTCGCTCTACAAACCTCATTCAATGCTGCACCATATCTGGTAGAGCTTTTGTATGTTTCACTTCTCCGTGGAAGAGGCCCCTCTTGTCTTCTCAAAGATGGGGTCAGTGTTCTAAGCTAATTATGAACCTAGAGAAACCGCTGCAGATGAGAATTCTACCAGCTATTTCCCCCTCCTGGATCGCATTTCTGAAGGAACATTTACGGAAATTACAACGGAAAAGGGCCTCTACGAACGATTTATACAATTACTGCAGGAAGATGGACACCTTACTAATCCCGAGTCTATTTCTTCCTTTAAATTTGCGTTATCATTACGGTCCACTGCGCCACGGATAGAAGCTCATTATCAATATTATAATACGTCGGTGGAGCCATCGCTGATGATCGCGCAAGATGCGGTTTGCACTGTATGGGCGCATTACGATGGCGACCAGTATTGTTCACCCAGTTTAGAATATGCGCAGCAGAGCGTGTCTTGGGATGGGTGCGTGAGTGATGCTCCCGTTACCATGGAGAATGGGGAGCTGATGTAGTTCGCGCATTGATAGGCACGATCGAGTTTTACCGTTTGACAGAGTGTTTGGAGATCCTTCCTTGCCTCCATTGATACTATATGCGGATGTGGAGTCGCCTCTCTTTGGTGGATTTCACCACCAACTTATGCAGCAGGCTAGGGATGGCCAGTTCTCGTACAGAGTTCGATATCGGCCGGCTAGCTCTGCAACATCGAGGCCGCTTTTCGTCAATGGATACGGGGTAGAGCTTGCGCTCAAACGGACTGATTATATCGTGATCGATGACCGGGATGCGGAGCAGAGGGTTCTGAAGGATACAGATACAACGAATCCTACATTAGCACCAGCTGAAGATCTGGAGAACGAGCAACCTGCCGACTTGAAACCATTATCTGCCTCCGAAGTTTCTACCCTTGGCATGAATGCTGCCAGCTTCATTATGAGCAGCGATGACCCGTTCGCGACCCTGTTAAGGTTATCGCAGGACTTCCCGAGACATTCATCAGCGATTGCTGGCGCCAGCCGTACCTCAGAATTTACTCAAGAATTTGAACAAAATAAAGACAACCATTTACAAACAGGTCGCAATGTTATATGGGTCAATGGCCTACAAATGGAGGCTCAAACTGTCGATGCATTTTCACTTCTCGACCATCTCAGACGTGAGAGGAAGTTGATAAATGACCTTCGGAAGTTTGGTCTATCTGCACGACAGGCTGTGGACCTTCTGACCAACCCAACCATCTCCAAGAGCCTAGGAACTGACGATTCCATCAGATATGATTATAGAGATGATCTTGAAGGTGGCGGTGTGATCGTTTGGCTGAACGACCTTGAAAAAGACCATCGGTACGAGGGGTGGCCGAGGGATCTTCACTCCGTGAGTAGCCTTGAAATAATCCCTTCTCCCATTCTCTTTCTATGAAATGGAAATACTGTCATGGATATAAGTCTAAGTTCATCATAAATAGTTATTCATAATGACGGCTCATGGCCAACTTCCCCCAGTTCGCCGTGATATCCACAACGTCGTCTTCCCAGTTGATCTGGCGTCGTCAGAGGATGTTAGCGTAGTTTCTCAGAGTCTTCTAAAGGCCATTAAAGCGAGGATACCGGTTAGATTTGGTATTGTGCCATTGGTCCACAATGAAAATGCTCAAGGGCAAGCCAAAATTGTCCATCATCTTCTGGATACTTACGGCCTTGGCGCTGTGATGAACTACTTACAAGCTGTAAGTCTCCATCCGATTTTGTGTATTAGTTTTGCGAGTTAATATTTTCTCATAGTCATTGTCCGCAGACAAAATTGGCTCTCCAGATCAAGCCAGTTTCACTGCTGCGTTGGGAAACCATGAGTTGCGGAAGGATCGCACGCCCCTTACTTTTGAAGATGTTTTGAGGTCGGACAATTACGACCCGATAGTTTCCAACACCAAGTCCTACCTTAAGCGGTTGGCAGTTAAAGGAGATATACTACCATTCTTTGTGAACGGTGCTACTTTAATGCGTGAGGGAAACTTCCTTCAAAATATGATTACAGCACTCTCTAAAGACTTGGAGCATCTTCAACGACGTGTTTACGAAGGCGCTTTTGAAGAAGATATTTGGATTCCGTCTCATTTTCTCCAAGAAGCTCTGCAGAATCGAAGCCCTTTACTCATCCCCGAGAATCCTAGTGAAATTCAGATCACTGACCTCAACGAAATATATGCCAATCATCCGAATGTTTTTGACACCATTTTGCGGATCCCTGCGAGTGTCGAATCGGACGATCCGATGTTGGACTGGAATAGTATCATTTTGATAGCCGATCTCGACAGTGGTGCAGGGGCTGAGCTGCTTAGTTCGCTTTTAGAACTTCACAAAAAACATCCTGGAGTTGAAATTTTACTGCTGCATAATGGTGAGAGCCCATCGACTCCGGAAGCCCTGTCGACAAGACTCTATAGCATCCGGAATGGCCGTGACCTTGACCCGGCCGTTGTCACTGCAGCTCTTGCTTCTAAAAATGATGACTCGGCCTCAGATTCCGCAGCTGCATCCGCTTATTGGAACACTGTTCAGTTTCTGGTGAAAGAAATTGGATTTGGAACTGGCGAAATTGGAATGGTGGTAAATAGCAGGATTCTTGGCCCTCTGCCGTCATCGACCGTTTTGGGCACTGAAGACTTAGAAAACTTGCTTATGTACGAACACTCAAAGCGTATCGGAGTACTAGCAAGGGTGGCTTCTGAGATGGACTTGGATAGCAACATCCTTGATCCCCTGAGCCTTGCGAGGATGCAGGCCGTCCTCTCGCTGTCAGCGACCTCTGGCATATCAGAAAGTATATATAATTACGCCCCAAGTGCACGCACTCGTGTATTTGAAAAATGGAGTGGCATTCATACTGCCATATCGGTTTCAAACTCGGATGACCCCTCAATCAACATTGTTGCGACAATCGACCCAACAACTGAGGAAGCTCAACGTTGGGTTCCTATTCTGAAAGTACTATCCGAACTAGGTGGTGTCAGTTTAAAACTATTTCTCAATCCCCGGGAGGAAATAAAAGAATTGCCAATTAAACGGTTTTATCGACATGTTCTCGACGTAGCCCCATCCTTCAACGAGGATGGCTCCCTGGCGAAACCGCAGGCTGTCTTCCATGGTATCCCTGGCGAGGCGCTACTGAATCTAGGAATGGACGTACCTCCGGCATGGCTTGTAGCTCCCAAGGAATCGATACACGACCTCGACAACCTCAAACTGAGCACCCTCAGAGCAGGCACAAATGTTGATGCTATTTATGAGCTGGAACATATTCTCATAGAGGGTCACTCGCGGGATATCACTCAAGGAGGACCTCCAAGAGGAGTCCAACTGCTCCTAGGAACAGAGAAAAGCCCCCACTTCGCAGATACCATCATTATGGCCAACTTGGGCTATTTCCAATTTAAAGCTCAGCCGGGATGCTGGAAGATAACACTAAAACCGGGCCAGAGCGAACGCATCTTCCACATTGATAGCGTTGGTGGGCTGGGTTCTAAACCTACTCCCGGCGACGAGAGCAACGATGTAGCCCTTCTTTCCTTCCAAGGGAAGACCCTCTTCCCGCGCATCTCCCGCAAACCAGGTTATGAAAATGAAGATGTGCTCGATGAGGTCAATAAACCAGCCACAGCCGCGAAGGACTTCTTAGCAAAAGGCTTAAACTTCGCGTCCGAAATTTTACACCGCCTAGCCGGTCCCGCGCAAGGAACACACGCGGACATAAACATTTTCTCTGTTGCCAGCGGTCACCTTTATGAACGCATGCTCAACATCATGATGGTCTCCGTCATGAAGCATACAAAACACAGCGTGAAATTCTGGTTCATCGAACAATTCCTCTCCCCATCGTTTAAATCTTTCCTCCCCCACCTCGCCGCTGAATACGGCTTCTCCTACGAAATGGTCACCTACAAATGGCCGCACTGGCTTCGCGCCCAGACGGAAAAGCAACGCATCATATGGGGCTACAAGATCCTCTTCCTGGACGTCCTCTTCCCGCTCTCGTTGGATAAAGTCATCTTCGTCGACGCGGACCAGATCGTCCGTACGGACATGTACGAGCTCGTCACGCTGGATCTGGAAGGAGCGCCGTACGGCTTCACGCCAATGTGCGACTCGCGGACGTCCATGGAAGGCTTCCGCTTCTGGAAGCAAGGGTACTGGAAGAACTTCCTTCGCGGCCTCCCTTACCACATCTCCGCGCTGTACGTTGTTGACCTGAAGCGGTTCCGGGCCATCGCTGCCGGGGACAGGCTGCGCGGGCAGTACCATACCCTCTCGGCCGACCCACAGAGTCTGAGCAATCTGGACCAAGATCTGCCGAATAATATGCAGAGGATGTTGCCCATCAAGAGTCTGCCGCAGGACTGGCTGTGGTGTGAGACGTGGTGTTCGGATGAGTCGTTGGCGACGGCGAAGACGATTGATTTGTGTAATAATCCGTTGACGAAGGAGCCGAAGTTGGACAGGGCAAGGAGGCAGGTGCATGAGTGGACGGTTTATGATGAGGAGATTGCGGCTGTGCAGAGGAGAGTGTTGGAGGAGGAGGAGAAAGAGAGGATGGGAGCGGTGATTGAGGGGGGTGATGAGGAGGTGCCTCGGAATGAGGGTGGAGATCACGGAGACGGAAAAAACAAGAAGCATAAGAAGGATGAGCTGTAAGATGTATTTACCTGTTAGATAGAGAACTTTATTTGAATTTCCAAAAAGTTATGTTATGTACAGGACCATTCTCTATCTACCTAATATCGTACCGTATAAATGGTGAAATTCGAAATTCACATGAGCGAAAAGGGCTATTCGTTCGGTTGATGTTCCACCATGTTCATCTGCTGCGTGGTATTTTGTTTTGTTTTTGATTTTACTTGGTCTTACCATCAACTAAATACGTTTGGTTCGACGTGACTCCATCTCCTCCACCCACCCGTCAAACCCCTCATCGCCCTTCCGTCTCCCAAATTTGTAAGTGATCATCAATTTTTACAGTATGTAAGATACATGTATACATGTATACATTACAGTACACGCACATGCTCAAGACACGTACACCGGAATCGTGGAGCAATAACTATGGCTGCACTAGACGGTAGAGATAGATCGAGTCGATTACAACCTCTTGCTGAGGGGCCAGGCCAGGTGGTGCTCTCCCTCTCTCACAATGACTTGGTTTGTCGAGAGGAACTTGTCTCCCTGGTCATGAATTCTGCGCCGCGCCCCCCCCCCCCCTCCCCCCTTAAAAAAAACACCCCGACGAAGCGCAGAAAAAAATATGCCAGTAACGAAACACGTTTCGGGGTGAGACAAAGATACCCCATGTCCAGGAGGGAGCAGCTACACTAGCTTGTGGTTTGCGAGAAGGGGAGCGGTTGCCGCGGCGAGCACCTCGACATTTGTGCCGCGTCGAAGATACCGAGTCCAATAAACATCCGCTGCTGTAAGGGGAAGGGCTGGAAGGGAACAAGTCGCTCGCGAGACGGCAGCTGACCAACCTCAAATGCCCAGTGGGAGTTCATTTTGTGAGCGTGAGACTGCTCCAACAACAAGGTAGGTGAAACAAAGTCTGGTCACTCCCGCGGGCATTTCCCTATATTCCACTTGCAACGGGCCGGGCGAAGAGGTGAGCCAAGAATGGCTCACATTTGCCCGATGAAGCAACGCACCCAGGCCGAGCTTTGGCCAAACTTGGCAGGGAGGACGAATGAACCAAGCAGAAGGGGATATAAAAAAAAAAGGGAAAACCAATATTGCGGATACCCGAACCCACAGATACAGGAAGGAAAGTCGAAAACGAATGGAAGGTGAAAGGTTAAGAAACAAAACACTGCCCGCAAATCTTCTCACTTCGGGCCTGTGTTATGCCCCTCTTCTCTCCTTTTCTTCTGCATGGCCCTCCATTTGGCGGCACACTGTTCCTTGGTCCTGGTATGCCCCATAAGCTCGCTCACCTGGCTCCAGAGGATATTGTACGGGTCAATCTGATATATGTCCTCTGGCACCGGACAACCAGCGGCGTTCTCATCCTCGGGGGCCTGGGCAGTTCTCCATTGCCGCACAGCATTTTCGAGACGCACGCACTCTGCATCAGTCCATGACCCATGGTTTTGGGTGTCGCGATGCTGTACATGTTTCCGAAAGCGCGTGTTGACGTCGTCTCGGGAGCGGCCCAAGATACGTGCGATCTTGGCGAAGTCGGACCCGTATTTTGCATGCAACACGGCTAGCTCGTCATCCTGTTCCCTGGTCCATTGGCGTGGCTTTTGAGAAGTAGCCACGTAGTGCGAGCGCATATAGCGATGCACGTCTTTGCGTCTGCGACGAGGCATGAGGGCGTACAAAAGCTCCCAGAATTTGGATCTTGTCATGATGGATTCTGGGCACGGGAAGTCGGCACGGTCAGTCTCACGGTGTTGGACCATGCGACCAAAGTCCTCACTGGACATGTCGTTGGCTTGGCAGAACTGGGACTTGAAATCCTCAATGGCAGAGATCTCTGCTGCCGAATGTCTGCCCGTCTGGTTAGGTTTGTCCTTTGGCTTCCGTGGTTTCTTTGCCCTTGTTGACGGGTGGAGGTTGGCTGTGGGAGTAGTGGCATGATGGTTCAGTTGTAATCGGTGCTGTGGCTCAGGCACATTGAGGCTTCCTGCCGCTGCCAGAGGTTCTACCAGAAATTGTTCAACATGGTGGAGAGGACTCTCCTCGGGGCATCCTGGAACCAAGGCACACGCGTCAATGGATGTGACGCAATGAATGTATATATATGCAACATATAAAGGATGGAACATATATATAAATATCGGGAAGCCAGATATACAAGAAGAAACACAACAGGCCACAAGGATTCGATGGAGAAGGCATCGAACGAGTGAGAGAGGGGGAAAGACAAGAGAAGAGGGGGCTGTTGATGCCCGCCTGTCTGGCTCTCCAGAAGAGAGGGAAGAGCGGTTTATATAACCCAGAGCAGAAGAAACACGAAGAGAGAAAATGCCGAGTCCGGCAACAAAGGTGTACGTACTCCTTTGTGAACAAGTAGTACCGTGGTGGACATTCCGCCAGGCAAAAAAGCAGTCAACATAGAAGAAAACAACACAAACGGACGCATCCGCCGTCGTACAAAGAAAAGGAACAAAGCCGGATATGCCAGCGCATGCTAGCGTACAAAGAAAGAGCAAGTAATGATTTGAACCGCAATACTGGCAGTGCAAATTACATTACTTACTTTGTTTGTAGAAGCCACTATCGGGCTGAATGCCACTGACCGCAGCACCATGAGGATGATCACCAGAGTCATTGTTGTCATTACCATTGTCTTCAGGGAAGAAAAGCGGCTCATAACCCTGCTGGGGATTGCCAGCACTAGCCTGGAGCTGGGGGTCGACGTTGGGCAAAGGATTCTCCACAATTGGATTGTCATCGTCCAAACCAGCGCCAAGAGTCGGGGCAGCCCAGGCCGGGAGGAATTTGCCTAGAGGGAAAGACGTGTGTCAGAGAACTGGGGCAATACGCGGGACAACAAAGGCTGGAAGCTCCCAGTTGACGAGGTGAGGTTGGTGATAGTTCGTTGGAGATGGTAAAGGACGGAGGACATACCAGCGGAATCCACGTGATAGCCAAGTCTCGCTAAAGATTCCTCTTCGGGGTCAGAGTGAGCCGCGTCCAAGGCACGCTTCATAGTTGCAATCGGTAAACAACAGAGAAAACAAACAGCAGATGGATAAGGGGGTATAGAAAATGTACGGCAAAGCGCAAGGTATCAGAATTGGATATTTGTAATAAAGAAAACAGCAGGACCAATTGATAGACCACAGAATCACTAAATTGTGAGCAGAACAGAGGGTTGAGACACGTGATTTGTACTTTGGCTGGCTCTGTGAGTGTGATGGCGGTGAGTGACAGCAGAACAATACAGTGAGCCTGAGATCGGATATTTGTATTTCCGCATAGATTACGGCTAGCTAAGCGAGAACACACGATTACCGGACCCAGCTGGTGGGCACTGGTAATATACGTATCGCTGTTACCCTATATCGAAGCGGCTCTGCACAACACAAAGAGTCTTCAAACACATCAACGCCAACCGCATTTCGATCAGCTATGTGGAAAGCAGACAGGCTATTTAGGGATCCAAGTCCCCCAGCTCCCACGTTATTGCCATAGGGGATGCGGGATTGGGGGCGCTATTCTCTGGAAAATCCAATTTCAAGGTCGTTGTTCTTGGGTTATATGGATCCAGCGCAAGGGCGGGGGGTACCATGCAGCCAGGGTGAACAAAGCTAAACCCTGAGAGGTGAACAACAACTGCAAGAAGGGATGCTCGATCACCGGTGAGATGAGAGAGAACACCAGAGGCCCACCGCAGGAAAGACTCCTTCAGGCCAATATAAATGGTTTTCATCAGTGATGAACCTGGCAGCTTTTAGCAATGGTGTCGGTTTCCCTAACATTGCCCGCGTATTCACACCATGATAGCCGACAGAGTCGAGACTGACTCGCTTCAAGAGCCAACTTTCTCTCTTGGGGCCGCAAGAGCACCGTTTTCCTCAAAGATGCTCAGGGGCCTCCGGCTCGCCCAGCCTGCAAACTGTATATCCTCAGGAACATCTTGTTCTTGTATCCAATTCCTCCAAAACACATTTAACCAGTTGTGATTTCAGGTATATTCGAACCCTAAAATCCCGAGTATCACAAGATCATACGAGTTTTTAGCCTTCTGGGACAAGTCTCATCAACCTACCACAGCCCACGTGACACGATGTTGGGCGTGTTTAATAGACCTTTCCGCAGTGGATTTAGTGCGTCAGAGGCAAAACAAACCCGACCTTTGCTTGCTGGGACGAGTGTCTCTGCCTGTGATTGCAGGCACTGGAACAACTGCCACGCACTCTCTATGTATAGTCGTACATCCCTCCGACGCATCCAGGCCCAGCCACAGCCGCAACTCGGCGCCGGACAGTGTCCACCGACGTCCAAACAGCGTCCAAACAGCCGGAGCCGGGGAAATGCTTCGTTACTCGCCCCTATAACCTTAATTAACCCTATTACTCGATCGAAACTGTACCTAGATATGCGCGCGTGACCGCTCTCCACGAGCTAGCCTAGGAGTCCAAACGAACTAACAAGTGCAAATTTGAAGGGAAGAAAGCAGTGCAGAGGCCTATTTTTTCATTCCAGAATTTTCCTCGGCTGAACCTTTAGACATGGGGCTGCTGGCGCCCTCCTTCCAGGCCAGACTCTCGGGCCAGATATGTGTGGGTTTCTGCCCCCTCTGGTTTTCGGTTCCCCTATCCACACAAGGTTTTCAATCCCCAATCGCCACTTGCTGGTTCCCCTATGACAATAATCTCAATAAAATAATAGCCCCAAAACAGTTTCTCTGCGCTTGTTGCGTGCTGCTATTGCTGCTATTCCCTTCATCAACATTCGGCTGCGAAATACCGGACAAGTACGAAGAAAGAGCCTTCTTTTCTTCGCTTTCTCGCTTTCTTGCTTTCTCATCTCTCTCTCTCTGTGTCTGTTTGTCTCTCTTTCCTGCTGCTTTTGCTGTGGTGCGCTTGTTACGAGACTGGATCGGCTCCCTCTTCTTTCGCTCTATTCTGCTTCTCTTGCCAGCTCTCCGACATCCTGTCTTTTCTTTGTCCGGTTCTCCTGTTTCTCAACCCCAAATTTTGTACTGAATAAACCAAGAGAAACAAAAGTGGAAAAAAAAAAAAGTGAAAAGAAAACATTCATTTTAGACAAGAACCCCGTAACCTCCCATTCATCAAAGTCAAAAGTAGCTAGAACGAATCGGTCCTTTGGCACAAAGAGCAGCATCCTCCGCCGCGGAACCACAGCCATGGAGCATCCCACAGACACTCCCACAAGCACCACTACAGCTCCAGCTCCCGCTCCCGCTCCCGCTCCCACCCCCACCTCCGCCCTCGCAACTGGAGCCGACCCCGCCTCCTCCCTCATCGTCCTTGCTTCCACCCGTGCCATAATCTCCGGCCGCCTCACCGCCGCCACGATCGTCATCTCCCTCACCACAGGCAAGGTAACCTCAGTCTTCCACTCCGTCCTCCCACCCACAGCTTTTCCCCCGGGGACCCCGTACATAGACTACTCCCCATATATCCTCATGCCGGGCCTGGTGGATGCGCACGTGCATCTGAACGAACCTGGCCGGACCGAATGGGAAGGCTTCGAGACGGGGACGCGTGCGGCGGCGTTCGGCGGCGTGACTACCGTCATTGACATGCCGTTGAATGCCATCCCGCCCACGACGACGGTCGAGGCATTGCGCGAGAAGATTGCCGCGGCGGCCGGGAAGTGTTGGGTTGATGTGGGCTTTTATGGCGGGGTTGTTCCTGGGAACGTCAGTGAGTTGAGAGGGTTGGTGGAGGCTGGGGTGAAGGGGTTTAAGGGGTTTCTGATTGATAGTGGGGTATGTATGCCTTTCCTTTCCTTTCTTTTTTTTTTTTTAGCTTACCTGATCCAGCCTCTCTCAGATATATATATGTATATTCCTAATCACCCTTTTTAGGTCGATGAGTTCCCCGCCGTATCAACAGCGGATATCAAAGCGGCCATGCTTGAGCTAGCCGATCTGCCCACGACGCTCATGTTCCATGCCGAAATGCTCCCGGAAACCAACGGCGACACATCTCTCCCCCAGGGCGCCCCAACCTCCTATTCCACCTTCCTAAATTCCCGCCCCTCCACCTTCGAAACAACTGCAATCTCCGCCATCCTCTCCCTGGCCCCCCTGGCTCCCAACCTCCCCTTACACATCGTCCACCTCTCTGCCATGGAAGCCATCCCCTTATTGAAAGCCGCGCGCAGGCGGGGAGTAAACATCACTGCCGAAACATGCTTCCACTACCTCTCCCTGGCGGCCGAGGAAGTCGGCGACGGCGACACGCGCCATAAGTGCTGCCCGCCAATCCGCAGCCAGGCGAACCAGGACGCGCTGTGGGAGGAGCTGGCGCAGCATGCTAGTGTCCAGGGCGTGATTAAAACCGTTGTCTCTGACCATTCGCCCTGCACGCCGGCGCTGAAGATCCTGCCAGCGCATATCCCCGGGCATGGCCCTGCCAATCTTAATAATCAACACGATGATAGTGATGATAGTGATGATAATGATAATGATAATGAAAACGACAGTAACAGCAGTAACAACAGCAACAACAATAATAATACAAAAGGCACCAACACCAAGCCAGACGACGAAAAAGAAGGAGAAGGAGAAAAAGCAAAAGACGAAGAAGGAAACTTCCTCAAAGCCTGGGGTGGAATCTCCTCCGTCGGCCTCGGCCTGCCCATTCTCTGGACCGAGCTCGAACGCCGCCGCTCCGCAGCTAACAGCACCGCGACAGACACGCCGACGTCGACGTCATCCACAACCTCCGCTCTCGAAGACATTGTGCAATGGTGCTGCGCCAACACGGCCAGACAGGTCGGGCTGGCGTCGCAGAAGGGCGACCTCTCCGTCGGGTATGACGGGGACGTGTGCGTCTTTGACGAGAATGGGGAGTGGGTGGTGGAGCCTGATACCATGCTGTTTCGCAATAAGTGCTCGCCGTATCAGGGGAGGAGGATGAGGGGTATCGTGCGCGAGACGTGGTTAAGGGGCCAGAAGGTGTATACGCGAGATGATGGGTTTGTGGCGACGAGGCCTGTGGGGAACCTGTTGTTGGAACCTAGGGCGGCGTAGGGGGGAGATTTTATTATTTCTTCCGAGATATGGATGGCTTGGTGATAATATCTGTTATGTGCCCCGTTTGTTCTTGCATTCCCTCTTTCTATGATTCAGCATTGCATGTATTTATAGCGGTATATACCTTCGCTGTTTAGAAAAGAATTGTTGTCTTCTGTTTGGACGGTGTTTTTTTGTTCCTTTTGTAGATAGTCGTTCGGATACGGGTTGCACGATATATCTGCTATGTTTTAGCCAAGTGTGATACCCGGTTAAGGGTAATGGGAGATGTGAAAGAAAATGGAAGATGAGAATGAATGAGGAGGATAAATAAATGTATATATTACAAATACTCAAGAAATAGATCTATCAGTGGAAGGGGGAAAACACTACACATATATGTCAGTAACCAAGTACTCCATCAGCAGCGCAAAAAAAAAAATAAAAATTGGAGCAAGCGAAAACGTAGCAGACAACAAACTCACCTATTTTACATCTTTACTATCATCACCCTCACCCTCACCCTCACCATCACCACCCCTCCCTTTCCACCGCTCCTTAACCCTCCTGCGGGCTCCACCATTAACTCCCCGTCCCCATATTTCCTCCTTCGCCCCCTTCGTATCGTCAATGCTAACCGCAGACCCATCATCACCACCATGCCTTCCGTCACCTCCGCCAATCTTAACCTCCCCAATCACGACCTTCCTCTCAACAATCGCACTTTCCCTTCCCCTCGCCAACTCCACTTTCCTCAAATACAGCGCAAAAATACCCACCTCCGCCACGCCCACCAGCAGTGCGACGAGCATCGAAATAAACACCCGTGCAGGCTGTGAAGAGACGGCGCCGGGATGTGACGGCGCCGCTGAGGATGTGAATGTGAAGAAGGTCGGGATGCGGAAGTTGGAGAGGGCCCAGTACGTTGCGAAACCCGTGAAGAGGATCGAGACGAGAATGTTGAGAACCACGGATGGGGTTAGGGGGTCGTCGGCGTCAAGATCGTTGATGGTGTTTATGTTTATGTTATTGTTGTCGTTGTTGTTGTGGTGGTGTTGTTTGGGATGTGAATATATGTTTGTCGCTGGAGGGTCGTTGAGACCCCAAATCCGAGATGGAGGGCTTGAGGAGGCAGCGTTTAGGAGAGCATTGTACCTTCTTGCTTCCTCGGCGGCGACGAGGGAAGCTTTTAGGGCGAGGTATTCGGGCGTCTGTTTCCTGGTTAGCATGACTATGATGGTATCGATATGTGATAAGTACACTGGTATGATCAGTGTGTTCCTGGGGGCGAGAACATACAGGTTCCGGTTTTGGTGGAGGGGGGGGGAAATAGACCCTGGTGCCCTTGAGAAGCGAGTTGAGCGAGAAGCGCTCACATCGATTAACAGCTCCATTAGATGGATCTGTGGGTTTCTCTGTGAATGGAGGGTTGGACACAAGGTATCTGGAGAGGGCAGTGAGCTGTGTGTGTGATATCGCGGCGCTCGCAGGAGCAGTTGGCAGGGAGAGCTCGTCACGGATTGAGGCGGGCAAGCTGTCGAGGGCGGCCGCTATGGCCGGGGTCATGAGGAGGAGAACCATTGTGGATAGAGAGAGCTGCCAGGAGACATCCTCCCTTGATGCGAATATATATAGATATATATACCTGGATGAGGTGCGGTGTTGGGGTGAGGCTGGCTGAGTGTGTCTTTGTTGGTGTTTGTTGGTGTTCTGCAAGACGTCATTCCGGTCGGTGCTTCAACATTGACCATCTCCGCATTTGATAGACATTTCGACTCCACGCCCACCAACCCCGTATGCCAACTCTCGAACAGTGACTTTTCCGTCTTCCTGCAATACCTCTTAGTTCGACGGGGGAGGGGCTTCTCCCTTTAAACAAGTCGCAGCGGCATCATGTCCGACAACCAGGCGAAGTACAGAACCTGATTGTGCTCCCACTACTAAATATTTCTTTCGCCTACTAATAACCACTGCCATTCTGCAAATGTAGAAACCCCGCCGTCGACCCGTCGACAACCAATCCGCGCGGCATCCCCGTCGCACCATTTGTCGATAATGTTGCAGATTATGTCTCGTCACGCGCAGACGTCGAGCCCACACTGCGCTCGTTCCAGGAGATGATATCCAAATACCAGTTCATGGAGCTGAACACACAACGTCGCGGCCAGGGCCTGAAGGACAAGATTCCTGATATCAAGAAGACACTGGAGACGGTGACGCTGTTGCGGAACAGGAGAGAGGTATGCCATTTTTATGTGTTTTATTTCTCAACGTTTTTTTTTTTTTTTTTCATGGCGGGATTCATTCCTCTCACTCAATTCACTCGCTCACTCCCCACAGGCTGGCGCCGATACGCCTCTCGAGACCACCTTCGAACTCAACGACACTCTATACTCTCGCGCCACAATCCAGCCCAAGGACACAGACGAAGTCTTCCTCTGGCTCGGTGCCAACGTCATGCTTGCATACCCCATCAACGAAGCCGCGGAACTGCTGACAGAAAAGCTCTGCGCCGCTGAAGTCAGTCTCGCCAACTGCGAAGAAGACTTGGAGTTTTTGCGGGAGCAGATTACGGTATGCTTGTTCACTGTGCTTCTTTTTTTTTTTTTTTTTTTTTTTTTTTTTTTTTTTTTTTTCTAGCTAAATTATCAATTATCTTTCATTTCCTTCTCCTTTGCAATTCCTCCCTCTGTGCCCCTGGTCCATCTTGGGGGGAAAAAAAAAAGGTCGCAACAACAGCATGAGCCAGAGCCATCGATTCAGCTTTACCCCTACATATACGATGTTAGTAACTAACGTGTGTGCTTTACATTTGCTTTTGCCTTCACCCAGACTCTCGAAGTCGCAACCGCCAGAGTGTATAATTGGGACGTTGTACAGAAACGGAAGGAGAAGGAAGGGAAGGGGGATGATGGTGAAGGAAAGACGGGACCGGGTGGTTAGGGAAATAATACGAAGTAGATAAGATGAGAACTAACTAATTTTTGTCTTTCCTTTCTTCCCCCCCTTTTTTTTTTTTTTTTTTTTTTTTTTTTTTTTGAAAAACGAAATTTACTTAGGTCGAGTTAGAAAAAAAAAAGGATGAAACGGGGTGGGAGACTCGCATCATCTCCCATTGGAGCAAGCGAGGAATTGCATCAGGATGAGGTTCGAAAATATATATATATATAAATGTATACAATAAACCTTGCCAGCATGATCCCAGAAGACCATGCATTGAAATTTGGGTTTTACGATGGAATCCATGCTGCAGAGGGATGTGTATGGTATGTGCGAAGGTTCTAAACATGACATTCGAGCGCTTTGCCCGAGGAATAAGAATAGAAAAAGAAGAGAGATGTAAATAGTGGTAAGATTAAGTATAATTCAAAACGCTCCTCCATGTACGCCCTTCTCCTAATTCATTATCCTATACCCATTCTATATCATTGGTTTCCGCGTAAAGGGGGGGTAGAAAAATTAATGGGAGAAAGGAAAATGCGCCCTAATGGATCATTTCGCATCTCGTTATGCTGAAAAACGAACAAAAAGTGCAGGGAAAACACACATAAAATGTCGAGCATACATATCATGGTATTCATCGTAAAAAGAAAAACTGAAAATGAAAATGAAACGCCCATGAGTCTTCATCTGCTTCCCCATTCAAGGAAGAAAAATCTATCAGAAGCTTCAAATCACTCCAAGGTGAAGAGACTAATAACAGTGAATAGGGACGAGGGCAAAAACTTGAGGAAATTAGGAAAGAAGACAAGAAAACCCTAAACGGCCAACTCATCCGAACTGTGTGAGTGAAAATATCCTTCTCTATCCTTTTCCGCTGTCGCTGCCATAGCCGCCGCTGCCATTGATTACACCAGCTGTAGCCACATTATCAAGGCGGATATCGTAGTCCCTTTCACGTGCTCTAGTCTTCTTTGTAACGTCAGTCTCTGTCTCATCGCCCACGAAGGTCCATGAGTCTTCCATGGCCGCATCAGCATCAGCATCATCCTCACCATCACCATCGTCATCCGGACTGGTCTCGGATGATATCATAGCAGCTGATTCTTCGTTTGAGACTGCGTAAATCGCTGTCTGGGGGGCTGATGTTGTCGGGGACCGTTGTCGAACAAGAGTCTTGGCATACTCAAGATCGCGGTATATAGCTTGAATAGCTGTAGCTACGCCGTCCTCCTATTTATATTTATCAGTACGCGGGAGGGTTCATCTGCTTCTTCTTCTTCTTCACTCCTCGTCTTGATTTTAAGAAAAGAGAACAGTTTTGCTCCACATACCTTCCGAATTTGTTCCCCAAGCGTTTTGGCCTTAACAATAATCCGCTCGCTATGTGTAGCTTCCCAGAGTGCCCTAGAGAACACGCTCACATTAAGCCTCTTCATACAGATCCCAACACCAAGATCCTCCACACGCGACCCAAAAAAGAATTGATCCCCAAAGAACGGTTTGATGATCGTCGGGATCCCAGCTCGCAGACTCGCACCGGTCGTACCCGCTCCACCGTGATGCGCTGCTGCATCAATTTGTGAGAACAACCAATCGTGGGGCGCGGACTTAATCTGGTGGATCTCCGGAGGTAAAGGGATCTCAGCTTTCGCGCTGGACGGGTCACCAAGTCTATCTGACCAGCCTTTAGATAGAATGCATCGCACATCAGCCCTCAGCACTGAGTCTACAACAGTCTTAGTGAGAGCCGCTGGGTCTGAAACGACAATGGAACCAAAGCCGATATACACGATTTTCTTTTCATCAGCTCGGGCTTGTTTTATGAAATTCTCGAGTTCAACAGGAGGTTGCCAATTAGCGCCTTCATCCAGAAACCAGTAGCCTGTCACGCGAATCCAGTCGCAGAAATCAAGGGGCGGCGGGACGACTGACGGTGAAAAATTATATAAGAAAGGGACCTTGTTTGGTTGCATCTTGTCGAGGTTGGTGCTGCGAAGGCCTAGTTCTCGTTTCCGCCAACGGTTCACTTGACCTGCAATGGCTTTCCAAAACACGTTGTCAAACATAACATAGGTAATATAGTTGTATGCACCGCCCATCTTATGTTCAGGAACAGCAAATGCATGAGGGTATGCTCTAGTCCTGGTCCACGGCATAGTGAATGCGCGGAAGTATGGTATTCCCAGGGCTTCGGCGATGTGTATGCCAGCCATAGCGCTCGGGGATTCGATCAGTATGTCGCTATTTTGACAGCTTGTCCATGCGGAAGAGAGAAGGTCATCGATCCAGCCTCGAAACTTCGACGAAGCTTCTTTCAGGAACGAATAGGTGAACATCCCGTTTTCCACACAAATTCGCATAAGTTCTGCGGGGTCACCTTCAACTGGTGCGAAGTCGATGCCGTGACTCCTTATCCAGGGCTCAAACTCTCTATGTGTCGCGATTTTAGGTATGTGGCCCTCTGCCAATAGACCTTTACAGAGAGCAATGTATGGCTGGACGTCACCTCGGGAGCCTATGGTAAGACATGTAATCCTCAATGCCTCCTGCGGCTTGAAGTTGACAATGGAAACACGTGGATCGTCAAAGAGAATGGGCGAGCTTGTGGACGACAATGGCATAGATGTAGATAATGTTTGGGAACTTTGCTGTTCATCCATGCCTTCGAGCCTTGCTTCTTCCAGCATTTGGTGTTCGGCCATTGCTGCATCAGCCTCCTCTCGCTCCTGCTGTGCCAGCAAGCCGGACTCAACTAGGTATCGAATAGACTCGAGATTTTGATGCAAAGTAACTGCACAATCGTCTCGTGCATCGGCGGTATTGAATTCAAAGAACAATTCTTCGTGACCACTAATAATAACAACGAGCCCATGATACCCAAACCGAAAGCCCTTCTCTTTCTCCACATTTTCTATGTCTTTTAGTGGTAGGATCATTTTGGTTCGTGTACCCGGAAGTAGGCTCCGAAAACAAAATTTCCGATTGCTGATGTATAACTTGCCATAAAGCGGTATGACCCGATGGAGATATGCGAAGTATGTGGCTTGTAGCTTTTCCGATGGAGGCAGGGCGAAGTGGGTGCGAAATCTATCACCATGTTCGCATCCCTGTTCTTCATCTTCTGGATCGACCATTTTGTCATCAGAGAGGATAGTTTCGCCATCACCATAGTGTCTCTTTCCACCTATCCACATACCAGACACTTTTTCAAAGTACCCCATTGACTCGGTTGCAAGAAGGTTGCTCATGTGCTTCGATCGGTTTCTAAGATATCCAGCGAACCCTGCCGCACGTTGTAACGGATAGGAACCGGCCTTCATAAGTTCCTGAAGAGTTGGTGATGACGCAGAAGGCGCTACGCTTCGATGCTGCAAATCATGTTCAGAGTCACTACCAGCATCTTGTTGGGCCTGTTTCATAAGCGACTGTGTCGTCTGTGTTCTTAAAGGTAGAAGATCGGCGGATGTGGGAGGAAAACGAGCGGTATCCTCAGAATGGCGTCGGGGCGCTTCCCCAGATCCAGGCAATGAATTTTGTAGCCTGTGAATGGTGGGCGACCGAAATACATCGCTCCTGTTCAAAATCTGACTTGCAGACTCTACTGTCCCGCTTGTAGACTGTAAAATGGCAGAAGATTCCGTGGCATGTTCTAACGACTGAACAAACGAATCCGAAGAATTCTGCAGTTTACCCCCAGCAGACCTTTCATCTTGATTGTCCCCAACACTTGCTCTGTTTGTACTATCGCTCCTCTTTTGTTCAAACCCTGCCTCGCTGCATTCACGGCTATGCTGTCTCCTACCACGGCTAAACGTACGAAAATGGGATCTCGGAAGATCTTGACTCTGCTTAGGACTTCCATACTGGCTATCAAGAGGAGATAGCGGCCGCAGGGTGGCTTTGACGGCCTCAGCTAATAACGTTGTTTCATGAGTGGACGGATGTGAAATAACATCGACCGAGTGAGAGCGACGACACCCGGAGATATGGCCACCATCAGGAACAAGCATAGCTTGTTGAATATGCTGCGCTGGGGTATGGTTGGCCATTTTTTTTAAAACTTCAATTGCCTCCTTCCCACATTCAAAAAACGAAAAGAAGTACTACAGTGACACAAGAGTGTTAGCGTCAACTAATCTAGGATACTTATATATATTTCGTTCAGGGACGCGGGTTTAATTTTACCTCATCAATGGCATAACTTTCGCCGCTTTCAACCACACGGATTTTGAACGTATGCGCAAAGTCAATGACAGGATTCTCCTCTATGTCTATAACATTCTCGATCGGCAATGATATTTTAACGCTATCACCGTCGTTATGGGACCTGAAGATAACCTTCTGTAAGGTCTTCACCCATTCCCTCGCGCTCGTCGCACTATCGGCCCGAAACTGGTATATTCGATTGTTTGTCGTGATGGTGAAATCCTTCACGTTGTTATCTGTATCTTTATCCTTGCCCTTCTGTTCTGCGAGATTGGCGGATATCCCATAACGTAGGTCGACATGACCACTTGGAAAATACAAGTTTGAAGGATCCATATAATAGGATAATACATCCTCTTTGAGGGCAACCCAGTACCGATTATACTTCGGATTTTGGCGTCCTCGCTTCGAGAGATAACCTGATTTGATGATGGTATGGGGCTTTTTCGGAAGGTAGGCGTAGAAGCTGATATGCTTTTCGGTGATATACATATATCCCTGAAGCAACACACTCTGGAGCAACCAGCATTGATATTCTGATATGACCTTTTCCGGTCTATCAAATCCGAAAATATCCATGAGTCTCGCGGAAAGTAGGGATGAAGGCGACAATTCCTTTCGTTGACAACAAGTTTTCCCTGGAGGTTCTGTCGGGTTAAGCAGCGGTTCAGATTCGCCAAAGCGAGACTGTGCGTCGAGCATGCGGCTCAGGACTGGAGCCTCCGTAGCGGCTACCAGCCGTACAGCTTTCGCCGATGACGGCTCGCTTGTAACTGTTGGATCGAGATCCGGTTCCGGTTCAGGTGCTGGCACCTTGCCTTTACCCCTATGTGGTAGTTTCGCCAGTGACTTCAAAAACTTGTTTTCCGAAAGCCTTTTCCGATGATGCGGTCGACCACGGTCCTCCGCTGCGTTGGGTACTGATGACTTGTCCCGCTTAGCGATATTCAGAACATGGCTAGTTGAAGCACCACCATCACGACGACCATCGACACCATCGTTCGATAAGAAGCGGTCCTTGGGCAGCCGGGCCACATCGGCATCCTCATCTTCCGCATCGCTAGATTCATCGAAACGGCTGTGGAAATCGTTTTTAGAGCTCGCGGCAGCGATCATGGAGAAGACGGACTGGTGCATATATGGGAACCTCCCTCCACGGCCAGCTGTGCCCGCAGGCGGAGCGGTCATATCCTCATGTTCATCATCGCCCATTCTTAATCGGTCAGGGATATGGCTCTGTGGGAGACGGTACGTGGACGCGAGATGAGGTTTCGAACTGCTACTGGACCTTGCAGTTCTCGATTCGTCGTCAGGAGGCATGATTGCAGATAAGGTTGAAAGCTGTTATGATGTATCAAAGATAGAAGGGAGGGTTGTGGGTTTATCGAGCAAGTGACCTAGTGACCGAAAAGGGAACGTGATGTCAAACGTAAGGCTGCTGGGTGACGGGTTAGATTTATGCCCTAGCGGATACATGAGTCGACAGTTGAATTTAGCAACAAAGGAACAATAAATGAGAAAGAAACGGAAGGAGCCTTGCAAAAGGTGTGCGAGCTCCGTTCTTCGTTATCGGAAAAAGAGAGATAGCCAAGTGTGTAATGTGAGATATTATTGGGAAATCGAGCAGATGAAAGCTTACCTG